GTCAATTTCGTCTGTCAAACAGCATCAAATTGTTCAGTTTTGTTGTGCTTCAGTGTGACGCCACTATTCATTGAAAATGTCCAATAGGACAGGGATAAAAACAAACATTTTTTATAATCTCATATAAATTAAATAGCATTATATGAAGATTAGCGAAGCAGTGGCGCAGTAGGTAGTGCTGTCGCCTCACAGCAAGAAGGTTGCTGGTTCGAGCCTCGGCTCAGTTGGTGTTTCTGCAGGGGCGGTCTGGGACAAAAATTCAGCCCTGGCACTGAAGCCACACAAATTAGCACACCGACACAAATTACCACACCGACACAGCCCCACCCACGGACACGCACATACACTATTAATTTTGGTGTACAGATGGTGAAATAATATGATATTCTCGCCAGATTTTGATCATGTCCAGGTAACCTCGGATTGGGTCGGCCCATCTTGAAACCAGGCGGCAATTGCCGATTGGGCCAAATGCTTAACATTAATTATTATTATTATTATCATCAACATAATAGCATCTAGCAAGAGATAAAAGCTGTCTGCACTTAAAAACAATACATATTTAAAAAAATAAAATAAAAAAAACCTGACCGGCCCACATTTAAAAATGGGTCCGGCCCTTCTGCCATTTGCCAGAATTGCCAGATGGCCAGTCCGCCCCTGCGTTTCTGTGTGGAGTTTGCATGTTCTCCCTGCGTTCGTGTGGGTTTCCCCCACAGTCCAAAGACATGCGGCACTGGTGAATTGGGTAGGCTAAATTGTCCGTAGTGTATGTGTGTGTGTGAATGTGTGTGTGGATGTTTCCCAGGGTTGGGTTGCAGCTGGAAGGGCATCCGCTGCATAAAAACTTGCTGGATAAGTTGGCGGTTCATTCCGCTGTGGCGACCTTGGATTAATAAAGGGACTAATCCGACAAGAAAATGAATGAATTTGAAGATTAGTGTCCAATAATAAAAATAAACCGCTCTAACGCTACTTGCATATTATTAAGTGTTGTTTTTCTTCACTTTTGCTGTGTAACCACAAATTTAGGGTACATTTCAGTAACAGTGTTTACGAAAAATTGTGAAATAAGAAAGTGAGTGACACTTTAATTTCCCTCCATCATCAGACTTCACAAATATTTCAATTTGTTTTTCAAAAATGGTGCTTTATTTGTCAACAACCTTAATATATTTGTGTCTCACCCTCGGTGTTTGTACGCAAAGAAATCCTGCTATTATTAGCCTAAACATTTTTTTTTCCTTTCCTGAAACCTAAAGCCTCGTATATGGAGCACAGAAGTGTGGGAAACTGTGTTTAATGCTGATATATAACTCCCGAAACAAGAACTCAATCTCCCAGTCTTTGTGTAGTAATGGAGGGTGTTGGCTTTACCTGTCTGTCTACATGTGTTCACTCCAGCCTAAAGGAAGACAGTCGCCCGTAAAAGCTTGCTCACCCATAAACCCATTGCTCTGTTTGTTTCTGTTTCTGAGATTAAGTCCTTGTAATCCTATCGTCCGATAATACGCTGAGCATGTTGTGGAATTTGAACAGAATACTGAAGTGTGACTGCTTTGTGCTGTCGACCTTGCTTGTTGGGCTGTGTGTTATTACAGAAAAATGCAGTATGTGATAGCAGGCTAAGTAATGTGATATTCGATATGATATTTGTACTATTTCATATTATTCAGGGGAAAAGAGAGCATCACTACTGCTTCTAAAAGTGAACAGCCATGTAATACTGTTGCATAAATCAGTTTGTTAGATGTTTTAACAATATAAACCAACAAAAATTTTATACAGCGAGTAAAATAAGGATTGCACACACGTTTTTTCAGGGAATAATATTTCTAAAGGAGCTGCTGACATGGAATGAAACCAGATTTAGGTAAAAACCCAAACAATACAAACGTAAAACAAAATCAAATGAGTTCTGTTTAATAACACTGTAATGACACAAGGAGAAAGTGCTGAAACGTGTTTAATACTTTATATAAAAGGCTTTATTGGTGACAGAAGCTTAAAGACGCCTCTCAAATGGAGAATGAAGTCACATACATTGCTCATTAATCTTTTACCTCATTTATCATTTTTTTTTACCTCGCATATCTTTTATTGCTCATTTATCATTTACCTCGTTTATCAAATCAACTCATCTTTATTTCTATAGCGCTTTCACAATGTAGATTGTGTCAAAGCAGCTCCACATACAAGATGAATTGATGATTTGAAACGGTGTCAGTTTTATTCTCTATTGGATTTGGATCAGGTGATTGGCTGGGCCATTCTACAGCTTGATTGTCTTTCTCTGAAAGCCTTTGAGAGTTCTCTGGGCTGTATTTTGGATTATTGTCTTGCTGAAATGTCCACCCTGGTTTCATCTTCATACTCCTGCTAATGCAGATGTTGGACTGAAGCAGCTGATCTTCATTTACACTGAGGGAGGGCAGAGGCTTGGTGAAGAACTACTGAGAGATTTCAGCTGCTGTCTGAGCTTTCACTGCCTTTCCACACCTCCCTTTCTTCATGTGTTTAATACTTCTTCTCTGTGTCATTTCATTTTTTTTTTACACAAAACTTAACATGTTAAATAATTAGTTTAGTTTTCTTTGCATATATAGATTTATTTGGTTGGTACCAACTTCAGGTGAAAATTTCCAGTCTACTGCACACTTAGAAATGTGTTTTCTGACAAAAATGGTGATGTGTTCAATACTTATTTCCTCCACTGTGTGTGTGTGTGTGTGTGTGTGTGTGCGTGCGTGCGTGCGTGTGTGTGTGTGTATGTGTGTATGTATGTATGTATGTATATATATGTATATATATATATGTATATGTATATATATATATATATATATATATATATATATTTATATATATATATATATATATAAATAAATAAATAAATTAAAATCACATATAAATGTGAAATGCAAATAAAATCACATTTTTGCTGTCTTATTGCTTAATTTACTGGTCCCAAATGTTATGGTAGGCCTTTAGTTTGCCCCTTAGGTATTACTTTCCAGTGCAATGTACAAATCTGACAAACCAGCGGTCAATGGATGGGCTTTATATGAAGAGTTTAGATGCGAAAACCTCTAAATGCCATTTAATATTTTTTCCTAAAATTAGCATTTTTCTCCAACTCCTGTGTGTGGACTCTGTGAATCTTACTTTTATAGTGACAAATAAGTTCTTTTCATTACCTTTAATAGTTAAATAACTGAACATAAATATAGGAGGATGAGATAAATGCTCATTTTAGGAGGCATTTAGAGGTTTTTGCATCTGAACTCTTCTTATATTCTTCTAATAGTGCCAGCAAACGTCTTCCATAATACTCTTTAGTCTTTCAGCAATGCTAAATGACTACGTTAAAAAAACGTACGCTAACAAATGGATTGTTGGTGTATATGACAGAGTAAAATAATTAAATTTGGATGAGCTCGAAATTATTAGTTCAGACTGAAATAAACCCCAAGCACATATGTCAGGGGTAACTGGAATAAATATGTGTGTTTGCAGGTGAGCAGCTGTCAGCCGAGCGCTTCATGGAGGAGCTGGACAACGGCGTCAGATTGTGTCGATTAGTTGGGATTCTGCAGAGTAAAATCCCAGAGGACTCGGAAACACCGGTGAGTAAATGAACATTCAATGTAATGGAGCTTTGCGTGAACACACCACTGTTTGTTTCTAGATCCTGTGTCTGTGTTTTGTTAACAGATGCCCTCAAAGAAAATCCAGTTCAAGAAAAATGCCTCTCCTGGATCGTTTTTCGCGCGGGACAATACGGCTAACTTTCTGTCCTGGTGTCGTCACATTGGAGTGGATGAAACTTATCTGTTCGAGTCCGAGGGTTTGGGTAAGAAAACTGCCTGTTTGAGAAGTTTTATCAAGGTGCAGCTCAAAGAAAATGCTAATTATGTATGTTTTGTATTGAGGTGCAAACTAGATTGGAGGTTTTCTGCATTCCCGCATCTGTTTCTAGCCGTGCTGAATATCCAGATTGTGCCTCCAGAAAGCTGTTAAACATCATATAGATAAAATTAGGTTGTCACTGTCTGTAGTTTCATTATATAAGGACTTAAACATGAATTTGAGCTTCAGAGCTGATCTGAGATTTCCTTTACCAACATTTCACACATTTATTTAAACTCAACTCAACTTAACTCTCTAAATAAACGTTTAGTTTAACTGAAAGAAATGATGACAAATGTTTTACTATTGTATTTAGAAGTGTATTTTGCAACCTAATATTAATTATATACTTTTTTTTTAATTGCCTTGCTTACGGCCCATTCACACAGGGCGTCAGCGTCAACGCTTCTCATTCACTTCGAATGGGTGATGTCAGGCGTTGCCGAACTGAATTGTGGGTCTGTCGGCGCTGCTGGCTGCAGAAGTTAGGACTTTCTCAATTTTACAAGCGCCAATAGAAGCGTCAGCCAATCAGATCGCTGTATGCAAATACACCAGCTCAGACAGTAACCGTTTGCTGACTCATTTCATTGGCTCAACTTCAGACACGCCCTCTGCCAAGCGTTGACGCTGAAGTCCTGTGTGAATAGGGCGTTATTGTCACACACTATTTTTGGCCATGCTTTATTATCAACAATAATCCACATTTTAAAACAAATTGTTTGCTTTAAAAAAGACTAAATTAAAGTGTTTAATTAATAATTGAAGAATTCATTTTTTTTATTAATTAATCTGTAAAATTTTTACGTATGCCATACCAAAATGTTTGGCAACATATTTTTATAAAATCATAAAAGAGAGTATTCAAAAACAGCAATACTGAGAATTTGTTAAAATAATAATTAAATTATTATTTAAAATAATTTTATTATAATTATTATTATAATTATTATTATTATTTTAATATAAATTGCCAGTTTTGTTGTTTCTCTTTTTATAATTTTATTATTTTTATTTTTATTAAATAAATATATAAACATTATTATTCTAATAAAATATAATAATAATAATTCATATTATAATTATTATATCAATTATTATAATGTTATAAATATCATTTATTGTAATTATTTCAGTGGTAATATTTTACTATTATTAATAAATACATTTTTTTTATTCTAATAAAATATAATAATAGTTAATAGCAATAGGAATTATAATTATTATATCAATTTATTTATTATAATATGTAATAATTATTATTTATTATTGTAATTATTATTTCAGTGTTAATATATTATTATTATTATTCTTTATTTATTTATTGAGGTTTAAGATATTAAAATGCAATCCAGCACATTAAAACCTGAAATTTGTGGATCCAAACTAAATCAGATCTCTGTCTGCTTGCTTTATGGTTCATGAATTTTATATAAATATTATATAATACATATATACATGAATATTTTATATGAAAGTCACAAATAATAGTGAATGAGGCATTGTGCGTGTAGAGTGGCTCTCCAGATTGGACATCTGTAGTCTCTCGCTGTATTATCCATTCGAACAGGACTTTAATCAGGTTGGCTAAATTAATGTCTTTAAATGGAGCCCGGCATCCTTCTGTCCTGTCCTCTGTGCTGGTGTGTGTTTCTCTGAGCCCGTAATCGTGTCAGAGGATCTGCGGTGTGTGTACGTCAGCTGATCTGCGGCCCCGTAAATCCCACATCTTAACGGGTGAACGGGATTTAAGGTGTCAATCATTAACCTGACGGCCCGGAGACTGACGCTACGTCCTAATTGGCATACTTGTATTACATCCAAAAAGTATGTCGTTTCGAGTGTGTAACAGAAGAGTATGGAAGTAATCAACTTTACCGAAGCTTCTTTACTTGATGGCTGGTCTCGCATGACTGCCATGTTTGTAGTTTGTTTATACCTTTTTACCCAAGTTTGTAGTTCTAATTCATGTCCAAAAGCGCAATGTATTGTGGGTAATATATCAAAGAAAGTACTTAGAGTGTGTATCCTTATTAATGTGTGTGAGTGTGTGTGCTGTGTCCCTCAGTGCTGCATAAGGAGCCGCGTCAGGTGTGTTTGTGTCTGCTGGAGATCGGCCGGATCGTCTCCAGGTGAGTGAACCTGCCTTTGATCCTGCAGGTGACAGATGTCAGCCTGTCTGGGGGGGTCAGAGGTCACGGGGCTGCTTTAGGGGCTTATAAGTTGGGTTGGGGGCAAATTTACCTGGATTGTGGTGGATTGCAGTGGATTTAGTTCAGTGCTTAGAGCAGCTATTGTACTGTGTGTGTCTACACTGTTAAAAATGCAGGGTTCTGCACGATCCCTTCATAATTTTCCAGCGCAAATAGATTAATTTAACTTAATATGTTGACAACTTTATTGATTGTAAAACAATGGCAGCACGGTGGCTCAGTGGTTAGCACTGTCGCCCCACAACAAGAAAGTCCAGAGTACCAGCTGGGTCAGTTGGCATTTCTGTGTCAATAGGTGAATTGATTAACTAAATTAGCCATAGTGTATGAGTGTGTGTGTGTGTGTGAAAGTGAGTGTATAGGTGTTTCCCAGTACTGGGTTGCAGCTGGAAGGGCATCCACTGCTCAAAACATATGCTGGAATAGTTGGTGGTTCTGATAAATAAGAGACTAAGCTGAAGGAAAATGAATGAATAAATAACTGATGCCGTTATTCGGCTAAAATGCACGGTTAAACAGTCAACATGAGCGTCCCTAGTTGTGATAGTAAAGATGTTTTGTTTGGCTAGGTACGGGATCGAGCCTCCTGTTCTGGTTAAACTGGAGAAGGAAATTGAACTGGAGGAAAGTATGATGATGACTGATCACTCATCTCCTGTGAAAACATTCACTGTGTGCTGTCAACATGGAGCCATGTATCACGCTGTGAGTATCACACACACACACACACACATTTACTAAACACTGCTTGCTGAGAACAGGCTTTAATGCTTGACTTGAAGAACTGTCTCAGTATTTTTGCTTTATTATTTATTAACCATCCTTGGTTGCGTTTATTATTGTTTGTTGCGTGTGTAAATCACAGCTGTTGTTTAAAGCTTCATAATGTTTGTCTGGAACGCTAACAAATTCCCTCTCTGAGCCCAATAACAGCAGGAAACCCTCAGGACTGGAGGTCTGAGGATGACCTTTATACATATAATCTCCAGCAAACTAGCTCTTATTTTTCCGGCATGTGCAATTAATTGAACTTTTCCCTGATTTCATTGACACACATTGCATTGATTTGTAGGATCGTGCGGATCAGGATGAGCCTCCTTGTAACTGCACACAGAAGTTTTCAATTGAGTATCTGTCTGAAGGACGATACAGACTTGGAGACAAGATCCTGTTCATCAGGGTAGGGACATCTTTTTTTAATTATTGTGTCTGTAGTTACATCCAACATCCATATATATATAATATATATATAAATATATATATTTATATATATATATATATATATATATATATATATATATATATATATATATATATATATATATATATATATATATATATATATATATATATATATATATATATATATATATATATATATATATATATATATATATATATAGTTAAAGTCAGAATTATTAGCCCCTTTTGATTTGTTTTTTTCTTTTTTTTTTAATATTTTCCAAATTCTGTTGAACAGATTCAGAAAATTTTCACAGTATGTCTGAAAATATTTTTTCTTCTGAAAAAAGTCTTATTTGTTTTATTTCGGCTAGGATAAAAGCCGTTTTAAATTTTTTTAAAAACATTTTAAGGTCAAATTTATTAGCCCCTTTAAGCTATATTTTTCCTATATAGTCTGCAGAACAAACCACTTCGTTATAACCACTGTTATACAAAAACAGTGGGGGGCGGCTAATAATTCTGACTTAAACTGTATGTATAAATGCACGGGGACTTTTAATTTTGAATAAGTCAAGCTGAACAATTAAATCAATTGAATTAAATTACATTATCAATGCTGTGAAAGGAACCTTATGAAATTGAAAGTAGGCACTGCAACCTTTCACCTAAAGTTTATTGGTGGCTGAAAAAACACTTGCCGTGCATAAAGGCCATTGAATGCTGAAATTTGTCAGTGGTTATTTAACATGGAGGAAGGGTTAAAACTGCATACATCAGCAGAGAGAAGTGTGTGCTTTTCACCGGAAGGTTATATTGCATTATTACACTATTGTCTGGTATATTTGATTCTGATTGGTCAGTCGCGACATTCCACAGTATTTTATTTCCAGAGAACAACTGCATAAATTTATGACACAGGCTTAAAATCATCTTAATCTTCAGTGACTCTTATCTGAATATCATATCTATCTATCTATCTATCTATCTATCTATCTATCTATCTATCTATCTATCTATCTATCTATCTATCTGTCTATCTGTCTATCTGTTTGTCTGTATATCCATCCATCCATCCATCCATCCATCCATCCATCCATCCATCCATCCATCCATCCATCCATCCATCCATCCATCCATCCATCCATCCATCCATCCATCCATCCATCCATCCATCCATCCATCCATCCACCCACCCATCCATCCATCCCTGTTTGGCACCCTTTTGTGTCTGAAAAATACATAGGTTAGTGTATGCTAGGCTTGGGCGGTAATACAGTAATATGTTATACCGAGGTCTCTAAAAATAGCAACGTTATTAGTTTCAATATTGTTTTACTGTCATGAAAAACAATGCACTTATAGATGACACAAGGATTAAATGTTAAAAATAATTTAATCCCTAAAAATCCGTATGCGATGTTGTCATCACGGAACGGGGTGTAGGAGAAAGAGAGAGGTGTGGAAAGATGGCGAGCCGCACACTTTTTTTTGTATTTTTTATCAACTGCTATTTGTTGCTAATAAAAGTTGTTAATATTGTTGTGCGTGTTATTTTGCTGTGGTTTCAGTATTAGTGTTTAGTATTCAGTTTCTGAACGATTTAGGCAAAAGCCAACAGTTTGGTGACTCTGAGCCTTATGTCAGTTTTTTTTTTTTTTATTATTCATGGTAATACCGTATACCAAGGTAAAATAGGGAGGAGGTTTGACGGTATTAAAATCTGGATACGGCCCAAGCCTAGAGTATGCTACATTCAGCATTTTTTGCCTTTAATTAAACACTAAATAAACTTTTATTGCTCAGAACAATGTTTTGGATGTATAAATTACATCGAGGAGGTTGTTTTCATGTGAGGCTGCTGATAAACCTGACGGCATCATTCTGAGACAGCAACCGCATGGATGTACTTTATTCCTTACTTAATGAATTAATTATCAAATAAACATTTCAATGGTTAGTTTTTAACCTAATAAAATCTTTTGTTTCCATATAAAATGAGTATCTGTGCGTCTCCAGTTGATGAGGTTACTTACTAAATAAACTCGTCTCTCCAGATGCTCCACGGGAAGCATGTGATGGTGCGTGTGGGTGGAGGCTGGGACACTCTGAAGGGATTTCTGCTGAAATACGACCCGGACCGTGTGCTGCAGTTCACCACTCTAGAGCAGAAGATTCTAGCCTATCAGAAAGGCCCATCCAGCTCAGGCTCCACCCACAGTTCACAGACAGCACAACCACCAACTATGGACCCAATCGCAGCAGTAAACCTCCTCCCGGAATCCTCCTCTTCGTCATCTTCATCCTCCACGACATCAGTGTATAAACCCAGCACACCCCGCAGCGTCACCCAGTCGCCCGCATCCACGCCATTAATTGCTCGTAAAGCTGCAGCACCCAAGAAAATCTTTAACACACCCACATCTTCCCCTAAAACCACCCCTCTTTCATCACCCGTCCCAAAGCGAAGCCCCCTTCCCCAGTCTACTCTATCTGGAGTTTCTCAGAAAGCAGTTCCCAAGACTAAACTGCGTCCACGTGGATCTCCATCTCAGCCCCGCAGTCCCGTCTGTCCCGAACCAACATGCAAACAGCCCAAATCTTCAGCTCCGTCTGCGCAGAAACCTCCAGCGGGACCCGTCCGCACACGCATCGCACAGAGACGCCCTCCATCCCCGGCTTTAGACTCCAAAAAACCCTGCTCTGGTTCCCCTCGGGCTCCTATTCCCCTTACAAAACCCTCTCAGGGTAAATCTGTAGAGCAGAGCACAACTGCTAGCAATAAAACAACCACCAGGAAACCTTTGGTTAGCAGTAACCCGCCTGTTCAGGTTGCTGCTGTGACAAAACCAGCTCCAATAAACACTAAATACAGCACACGGACTAAAGCCAGCAAAAGAGACGAGCCCTACTTTGAGATGAACAGTAAAAGAAGGGGGAAGAACTAAGGATGCTAGGTAATATACACTGTACAAACAAATCTGTTAAGAGTTTCTGTATTTTGTGCGTTTTCAGTTTAATTATGGATGTGAATGGCATTATGGGATGTTGATCTCTGCTCTGTTGACTTTAGATGTTGAAAATTCAACTCTACAATTTAACAAAATGACATTTTAGTCGCTTGAAATAATGTATACGTCATAATATATCAGGAAATAAGTGTGTAACATAACAGAAAATGTACTGGCAGTTTATTACAAGGTTTATTTTGTGTAATATACAACACCAACTCAGACAATATAGCACTTTAAACTATTAGAAATGATCATAAAATTCTGTTTTACACACTTTTCAAGGTTAAAAAGTTGATCCGGATCTCATAATGCAATTCAAACGCAGAAATAAACAGGGGAAAATTAAAACAGGAATCACGAAATACAGAAAGCTGCTCATTTACAGATATTTTGACAGTGTTTTCTTTCTTTGTTTTTTAATTAGGTGCAATTCACTCTTGGCTCTAGTCTAGTCGGATACGATATTTAGTTTGATTGAATGAATATGAGGCAGTTTAATTGGTTGTAGATTTCTGAATCTGTGAGTAAATGGTTTTAGAAAGCATTTCTAGTAGACAAGCTATGAAAATTTGACTTGGGTACAACCTACAAACGACTTAATTTTTCTTTGATATCAAATTAAATTTGCCGCAAACTGTTTTCTTTTGCATCACTCTGCAAAAAAAGATTTTCTTTCTTGAGTTGTCTTGTTTATAATATAAAAATCTAAAAAATCTTAAATCAAGAAGCATTTTCTAGATGAGTTACATATATTGTCTTGTTTTAAGGAGTAATAACTCAAGTTAGAGTTTGTTCTTATAAAATAACCAAAATAATCAGCTAGAGGTGTACGCAAAATAAACTTATTTCAAACCAAAAACAAGATTATTTTGCTTATTTTAATAATAAACTCACTTAATTTTAACCCATTATTTCTGAAAGCCACACAATACCTTCTATTTGTCTAAAAATGCTTCTTGATTTATGGATTTTTTTAGATATTTGGACTTGAAACTCTAAGAAAGAAACCCTTTTTGCAGTGGTCTTTTGTGCCATACTAAAACACATCAGGACATGCCTCGGATGCATTTATTTCTTTTTAATATTGATTTCTAGCTACTGTAATTATCATTATTTTAGCTAAGAGGTTATAGGGTTTAATTTAAGTCTAAAAGGATGCACGGTTCATTTATATCATTATTGTGCTTAATATCTGTTACTCTTCTAGGTCAGTTCATGTTTGTAATTTTGATCTGACTCCTGATTGAGTTCAATCTGGATCATGCTGATTATATATCAATGATGCAATTTTTTTTACTGTATGTTGATGTCTTCCATCTGAGCTCATTAGAAAAGCCAGCAGAAATGAGGGTAAAAGTGTGTGCGTATATATGTGTGTGTGTGTTCATGTATGAGCAGATGCGCTGTGGGCATTCAGATCATGTAATACTGTAAAACACGTGCCGTTTCCACTTCATATTTAGATTGGGAGCTCTGTTTTACTGTTTACATAACCCACCAAGCAATTGTGTGTTAAATAGACGTCTAATAGACAGCTAGCATGGATGCCTTTGCTAAAACAAGGCAGAATTTGGACTTGCACTGAAAATCTAATAGCCCAAAACTAGACTAATCATGAAAGAAATAGATTAGATATGTTCACATGTGTTGCTAATAATTCATTCCTGTGTATTTGATGACTAGTCTAGATTTGGGCTATTCTTAGATGCCTATTAAATTTTCACAGATGCGCTGTGTGCATTCAGATCATGTGATACTAAAAAACATATTGACATTGAAAGCAATGGTTTTACTGTATTACATAACCACCAAGCAATTGTGTGTTAAATAGACATCTAATAGACATCTAGCATGGATGTCTTTGCTAAAACAAGGCAGAATTTGACCTTTCGCTGGAAATCGAATAGCCCAAAACTAGACTAATCATCAAATAAACAGGTTAGATGGATTCACATTTGTAGTTATAACTAGATTTGGGCTATTTTTAGATGCCTATTAAATGTTCACAGATGCGCTGTGTGCATTCAGATCCGTTTCGTATTTACATTGAGAGCACTGTTTTACTGTAGTACATAACCCTACAAGCAATTGTGTGCTAAATAGACATCTAATAGAGATCTAGCATAACTGTCTTTGCTAAAACAAGGCAGAATTTGGATTATCAGTTAACATCTAATAGCCCAAAACTAGACTAATCACCAAATAAATAGATTAGATAGCATGTGTGGTTATTTATTGCTGTGTATTTGATGACTAGTCTAGTCTTGAGCTATTCTTAGACGTCTATTAGATTTTCACAGATGTGCATGCATTCAGATCATGTAATACTGTAAAACACATGTCGTTTCCACTTAATATTTACCTTAAGAGCACTGTTTTACTCTATTACATAACTCACTAAGCAATAGTGTGTTAATTAGACATCTAGCATAGATGTCTTTGATAAAACAAAGCTGAATTTGGATTTTCAGTTAACATCTAATAGCCCAAAACTAGACTAATCACCAAATAAATAGATTAGATAGACTTCATGTGTGATTATTTATTGCTATGACTAGTCTAGCTTTGGGCTATTCTTGGACGTCTATTAGATTTTGACTGACAGCCCAAATTTGGCTTTGTTTTAGCCAGGATGTCTGTCTATTAGACTTCTTTTAAACACAAAAGGATGCTTGCTGGGACACGTGTAGATGCTCTGACACCCCATAAATATGCAGAAACCTTTCTCTACGACAGCCAAAGCAGATTTATTTTGTTTGCTTGAATCTCAAATAGCATTTTTAGAACACATTTTAAACTTTTTAAATGTATTTAGGGTTTGTGTGCCTTACATTTGTGTTTTGTTGGAACGTGTCTATTGTCAATGATCCATATTCAATCTGGATTGTTGGTTTGGTTTAATCTGCATGTGTGTTTTTGAGTTGGTCGGTCAGCCAGCTGTCATTAAATAAACACTACATCCTGTACGGAGCACAAATATACTACTGATACAGTCATGCTCAATAACACCTCGGCTATTATTATGCTAAATATTTGGTTTAAAGAGTTTATACAGAAAGGTTATTATATAAAGTATTGGTTTTATGATTGTTTTGGATTACGGTTTATTCTTTTAAGTGTTTTCATGTTGTCAGATTGTGTGAGAGAAATTCTTCCAGCACTTTATGAACATGTTTGTTTTGAATGTAGCTTGTTTTTGTTCGTCTGTGCTCTTGAAATAAAGATCTATACTGCATTTGTTGACTGTTTTTGAGCATCTTCTGAAAGCTTACTGTATAATTGAGTTATCTCATTTCATCTGCAGGCATTGTGTGAACTTTTAGTATGATATCTCAGTGTAACTGGTTTCACTACACTATTTTTTCCTCGGTTATAATCCATGTAAATCTATGCAATGCTTCTTGATGAGATCATAATACGAGTTGATGTGTGAGATGGTGCTGCATCCTTGTGGATAGAAAGACAAAGTGCAAGTTAAATGTCAGCATTTCACGTTTGATTTCCACAATAAAATTATTACAACTAATTATTATACTTTAATTCGACTGGTATTTACAATTCATTATGTTAAATGTGCTAAATTAACTAAAAAAATACTTATTTAAATACATATAGTCGTTTTTTAATTTGTCAACGAATTTCTTTAAATATGCATGACATTTTATTTTGCATATAAACTAAACCACTTAAACCGAATGACAATTTAATGGATGTCTACTGTAAATCATGGTAAAACTGTGTAAAAAGCCAGGAATCAAACTGCATTGAGATCATCTTCAATGTTTAACCACAAGAGGGCGAATTTGACCAACTTTTACTAACCTTATCTGACTGTTTGCAGCTTGTCTTGGTTTTCACACACACACACAAACGCAAGCTACTTAATATCTGGGGTCTTCTGAGTTTAGCAAAACTAGATAACGTGTGTTTTAGTTGTGCATCTTTCAGATAATGGACTAATACTAAACAGATTAGGTGGACAATCTGGTGCAGTGGCTTATGTCTAATAACTACTCTGATGATGCAGGTTTTTGAGTTTACTGCATTAAGGCTGCACGTAAACACAATCACTGTTCAGTTTAATGCCTGCATTTTGCTCTCTGTGAGGTTTGAATGGCTTCCCATAGGACTTGTCCAGTCTATTTATTTATGACCAGATCATATTTTATATTTTTAAAGACATTTCATGCACAAAGAACAATTGTTTTTGATAAAATCCTGATCAACATAACGTCGTTATACTCACGTCCATCACAATGCTACATTATCATATTTAACATTACATGTTTTCGATCAGTATCCGGTAATGTTATCAATGTGACGTTGTTTTGCACGGCTATACATATACAACTAGCAACATTTATTAACAGATTAAAATAATATACAACCTTACAGTACACAACCGTTCATAAAATATGGGGACAGATTATCAATATTTACCAAATACAAAACAACCCGCACAATACCAACAGATCATATTAGTCAAAATATATCAAGACTTCACATTAAATGCTAAGTTTTCTAAGCTTTATTAATGTACAGATGTGATATAAATCTAATCTGGTGGATAAATGTATCTTGATGTGTCTTCAGCCGCTGAGCGCTCGAGCTGCGTCAAAGCCAGAGCGCGCGCACATTATTCTCCATCTGCCGCGCGACGCCACAACATATCAGCAGGCGCCGAGAAAAACATCCACAACTCGCTGAAAACAGCGTTGGAAATATTAAATTCCGCTTTTTCCAACTGCTCGTGTCGTCTGCTTGACAAAATGGGGTCTTTCGCGTCGAGTTCCGCCATTTTGTGGCTGAATAACTTGCGAGAGGGGTGCGTGTAATGGTTGAATGTAGTCACCCCGTGTCGTTTATATCCGCCCGGCGGTTACCACAAGGGACCGGGAGAAAATTACCGACCGTTCGCTGCAACAAAGCGCAGATTGTACTACTTTAACTTCAGACACCACGGTTTAACTTAAGCTATTAATGTGTATTTCCGAGCAGCGCTCTGTGCCAGATTAGTACTGTTTTTTAGAGGACGACAAGTCTTTGAACATGCTATTTCATGCCATTATGTCACACCAAGAACATATATGTTTATGCAAATTTACATTTTACAGCACAATGGCAACTCTTTGATTATCAGTGGATGGAGGTAGTCATGACTACACGTGACTGAATTTTAAAACAAACATTCATTTACGCTTCTTCTCATCACTGTCTGTCGAAGCTGTGGAGATTTTACACGACCAGAAACTACTTTCGACTCAAGTTTTATTATTTTCATGACGCTAGTGTAAGTTGACAGTTCCCTTCCCCCCTCCGACGCTCACGGTTGGGTTCTGTTTTAACGGTTAACCAGAGTTTCGCGACTCCCCCTTTCCTCCAGCGAGCTCCGTCTATTGTTCACAACGGCGCTGTGGCGGCTGCAGTACTGTCGTTGGCCTGCTGGAGGCGCCGTGGAGCCGCGCGGCCTCGGGTCTTTTTGTCTGAACTGGATCCCGCTGCCGCTTCACAGTGTGCGCGATTAAACCGGAGCCGCGTCCGTCCCGCACTGTCAAAAACCCACTCCAAACACCAACACAGGCGCAGCCGGTACCGTCGTTTCCCCGTGCAGCCATGAGCAGTGCAGCGGTGCAGTTAGGCTGAGCTCGCTCGGGTTCGCGGGCTGCTCGGGCTGCCGCTGGAGCGGGTTTCTCCACTCTCATCCTCCGTCATTTCTTTAACTTTTCAAACACGCAGCCGCGCCGGAGCGGAGCGGACCGGAGCATGGGATCCCCGGACTCTTAGAAACCGAATCTGAGCCGGGAGTTTGACCGAATTTCAGCGAAACGATGGCGAACTCGACGGGGAAAAACCTCCCCGAGCAGCGGAGGAAAGGACAGGCTTTCCTGGACGAGCTGCGGCAATTTCACCACAGCAGAGGGTGAGCGGGAATTTCGCTCTTATTATAACTTGTGTGACCCGTGCTGGACGCGTGAGGGGCTCGGGACCGACCACGGGTGTTTATTCTGCCGTTTTTCTCCACAGATCTCCGTTTAAAAAGGTTCCCGTGGTGGGTGGGAAGGAGCTGGACCTGGGCGCTCTCTATGTGAGAGTGGTGTCTTTAGGGGGCTTCGCGAAGGTAAGTTGCTCTCAAACATACACACACACTCACTCATAGTAAACTCTACATTTCTCATCTCTCACACACACTTCGAGCTCAACTCCCCAGCCCGGTCCGGCGGATCTGTGTTTGGATCTGCCGTGCATCGGCCTGTGTAAGTCTATGTCTGAGTGAGTGAGTGAGAGAGTGTGTGTTTGGCCCCGGACGCGCACACACACTTTCACACATACTCACTTCAAAATTACCGGGCGGCTTTACATCGATCACCAGGACCGTGGAAGAGGGACCGAATCCCGTCCGGACCCACCGTGTTTATCAGCGGGTTTATTCCTCCCGTGTTGCCGAGGACTGTGAGTCTGTAGGCCGCATACAGGCCTGTGTGTTCCGCGGTGTAAATACAGCTGCAAACCGCACCAGATCCGCGGTCCAAACCCTGGGCTCGGACCGTTTCGCCCCTGAACACGTTGTTTTTCGGTGACGGGTCTGTTTTATTTATTTCACTCAGGAAATTGTAAGTTAGCCGGAGTGCTAATAGGAGTTAGCATGCACTCACATACACACAGAGAGACACTCTTACACACACGGTCCAGCATCTGAACCGAACCCCTCTCACCTGTCTCTTCACCCTACAGGTGTCCGACAAGAACCAGTGGGTCGAGCTGGTCGAGGATTTCCAATTCCCCAGGAGTTGCTCGAATGCTGCTTTTGTTTTGAAACAGTACTACCTTCGGTGAGTCTTTCTTATTCAGTTTCTCTGTGATCAACTCCAGCACATGTGCTCAATGTTTACAGGCGCTTCTCTGCTCTGATGCGGTCAAACATGCGGCTCGGTTCCGACTCACTAGCCGGTGTTTTTGGACGATTCTGTGTTCGTGTTTCAGACTTTTTGAGCTGTTTTTACACTAATTTCGCCTCTGTTGTGTTCACTGCCAACATCATGGCGAAATGGATGTAAATCAGGCAGTTTTATTGTTGCAGATGGTCGTTTTGTCACTTTTCAGGATTCATCCTTCATCAGCATAAAGTCTTGTGTTTTATAGGCATTTGTGGATTTATGCACAAACTCCAAATACGCTTTTTAGTTTAGTCTTTCTGTTCTACAAATGCCATGACGTTTTTCTAATGCAACATTTGCTTTTTACATTAGGTGTGTTTTGCTGTCTAAATCAGGCTGGGTTAGATGCTGCTTTGGACATTTACTTGGGTCACTTTAAGGGATGCATGTGTCATTTGTCGTTATCAACAAGAGCCTTTTTGTCTTGGAGGTTGGTTTTGTGGTTGGATACGTATTTAAGTTGCCTGTGTTGATGCTTTTATCTTTGACAGTGTCTAAAAAGATTAATTTTATGGTGATGCATGATTGTTTAGCATCTGATATGGTGTGATGAGAATTTAGCTTAACTGTCAGATTATTTTGCACAGTCGTGTGCCTTTATAGGTTATCATCTGTGTTTATAAATGTGGTTAATGGTGTTTTACAACATGCACAAGCTTAATTCACCTGTAAATGTGTCGCCAGCTGTAGCACATGCATGGATATTTGTAGTATCAGAAGCGAGCAGTTTTGCAGCGGTGCTGTTACTCTACAGACTGTGCGGCTGCTGGTTTTCCACGTGCATGTCTCTGTAGTTTAGTAGGTTATGGGGGGGTGAGACAGACAGACTTGGCAGCAGGGAGCGTTTAGGCTGTGTGGGCCGCACTGAGACACACACCTGCCATGCAGTGGACTAAACATAATTACCATGCTGCAAAGTCTCCTTTAACATCATTGCAGTAGAGGTTGTTTGTGTGCAATCTCAGAAGACGAACGATGCAAAACTACATTCTCCTGTGTGTCGTCTTCCTCGTGCGAACACCATAATACAGTGTGTATTTTTGACTTTAAGCTGGTTTTATTTGTAGCATCCAGTCATGCATGGGCTGAGGAGATATGCCCTCCTTTGGTTTTATTTTCATAATCAAAAGTCTTGGAGCATCTGAATTCTGCTTGTTTTTGAAATTCTGCCTTGTGTCATGTTGAGGTGTATCCGTCTCATAGGGAGTTTGGAGCGGGAGTAAAAGCTTTTAAGAGTTAGACAGACATGATTGCTCGCAGGAAATCCAGTATTTTGTGATGGAGATTTTTTTCCAGACATCAAACAGGAGAAAATGTAGATGGTTTTTGCAGTTGTGTTCATGCCGCTATATTAGTAAACACACATGAAGCTATTAATGTTATTGAGCCCTGTGTTTTAAGTGAGCTGCAGGCGTTTTGATTGAATCTAAAAGGTGTAATGCTTCAATTAAATACTGTATGTCATGTACAAAGCCTTATTTATTTTCCAGAACTGTTTAAGGTTCATGTCAAAGCTGCAGAAAAAAAAAACACAGGAGCATCCACCTCACATCACACACTGAAAAAGTCCTGCAGGCTTTTCCATATCCGAAGGGATTCAGAGGATCTTCCTCATTTCTGTTGCATCTCACTTTGTCCAATTCTCTCACCGCTGGGCTTATGATGAAATTTTCAAGTTGCGACTGAAGCTTTTTTTCACAATATTATAGCAATATTATTGACCTAAGCTGCAAGTAAAGTTACTTTAACAGGTATAATAACACAAAAAAAACATGCATTTTTTTGTTTATGCATGCTCGGAGTAAACAAATATTCATTCTACATTAGTTAATGTTAGCATTAATATTAAAATCAACAGTGAGGAAATGACAGAATCATTATAGTTACCATGTATATATTAAAATAAAGCAGAATACGTCGGCGCCAGTGGTGTAGTGGTTAGTGCGTCGACATTTACTCCGGTGCTCACGGCGACCGAGTTCGATTCCGCCTCGCGTTCCTATGCCGATCCTTCCCCTCTCTCTTCTCCACATGCTTTACTGTCAATTCTCTACTGTCCTATCAAATAAAGGTGAAAAACCCTAAAAAATAATAATAAAAATAAATAAATAAAAAATACAGCTGAATATTAGTCATTGGCGTTTAATAAAATGATTGCATCTGATTTTAAGGTGTTATTAGGAAATTAAAATCACCTAAGATTAAGAAAAGCTTTTGCAATTTTCATCAGGAGTTTAATAAATTTGGCATGTTAATTATTGGAGTCTTATTTCTTGTGTCGAAGTACAATAGCTCTATAAATAATCAGAGAAGTTTCAGTAGATATTTTAGCATGTAGTAGGCTAGATTAACTTGATAGTGTTTATACTATTAAGCTAACTAACCAATTAAGTCTCCAAGCATTTGATGCTGTGATGAACACCACTGCAAATACAATAATATTCTTAAAGCACTTTTAAGTTTAAATAGATATGTATTCACAGACGTTTGAAGTGCCCAAAATATCAATATAGTGCATGTTCATCATTATATATTGAATAATTGGTTACACTTTACTATAAGTTTGCATTATGATTGCTTGATGAGTTTACAAATGAACAAACAACGTACAGTACTATAATATTTATATTTACCGTATTTATTACAGTATTTGTTCATGTTAGTTAAAGAAAATACAGATGCTCAGTGTTAACTCGCGTGAATTTGAAATATAAGGCAGTAATAAATGTTAAACTATGATTAATAAATGCACAAGTATTGTTCATATTCAGTTCATGTTAGTAAATCCATTAGTATAGCCTTATTGTACAGATATTGAATATCTGCATTTGTCTACTCACAAACTACACGATCTCAGAGCCGCTGTCTGGCTCCAAAATGTCTCGTTTTCTCCACTGACACTACTATCTGGCTTCAGTCAGTAATAAAAGAATTTAATTTTCACTTTTTGATGGATTGCAGCTGAACAGGTGTCTCTGTAAGGAAAGGGTTGTGTGTTCTTGCTCCTCTCTCAAGGAAAAAAAAGCATTGTGTTTTTGCTGTCACAGCTGAGGAAGAGCTAGCGAGGGATTTGAACTTGGGTCTTTGGGTTCGTGGTGTGATACGCTTACCGCTGAACCACTCAGCAGCGTTCAGCACATGTGAAATTAGTCATTTAAATGTGGCATCTGCAGGCAGGCACTCCGGCTGCCAACTGAATAAGAGGAGAGTAGATAAACGGCACATGTTAAATGACTTGGTAATTGGCAAATAGTTAGTTTTTTTGTTTTAAGGACAGGTCAGCTTTGTTTTTTTTCATGCATTTTCATATTGTAGCATCACATCTGATTGGGTTTGTTATGCTAAGGGCTTATGGATGCAGAATATATAGTTTTAGCATTGATATTGCAATGTGCATATTCACAATAGTCACATCACAGCATGTGCAATGGCCAGTCATGTTTGTAGTTGATCAGATACTATAATATTTTTAAGGAAAATGCTTAAAGTGTCTTGAGAAATTTTTGAATATTTATCATTGATCAAATTGAAAGATATCATACGACTTTAGCAGTGTTGTTGTTATGTGCATGTTTTTTTTTTTGTACAATGAATGATTAAGAAACTGATTTTAAATTATATATTGATTTAGGGAAGTGCAGTATATAGTTTTATCATTGATATTGCAATGTACACATATGCAATAGACACATCACACACTGAAAACCCTAATAAGTTGACTGAACTAAATTAATTGAGTTAAACTCATTGCTTCAATTTAATTGAGTAATGGAGTCTCCCAAAACTTGCATATTTAAGTTTATTTAACTTGCCAGTTTTGTAGACTATACTTAAATTGTTCAGTTCAACAAACTTAGTAAACATAACACACAGACACACGCACACATGTTTACATATGCATGTGTGTGCTTGTCTGTGTGTGTGTAATACTATGAGCAAAATTTAGAATATATTTTAAACAAATAATAAGTAGCCATGTATTCACATTATGAATAATTATAACTGAAACCATTTGTTTTCTGATTTAAAAAAGACCTTGCACTTAAAATGTTGCACATATTGGAATTTTACAGTCAAGTCCACATTTGTGAAAATGACCTAAGGATTAATAATGATTTTGAGCTCACTACACTTGAAATCTTAAGTTTATGCATTTTCATGCACATACGTTAAATTGACTTAAATATGTTTAAGTGATAGGACCAAAATGCTCAATTTTAAGTTATTTTCAGTCAACGTTACTTAAATGTTTAATTAAAGACAACATTAGGGTTTACAGTGCAGCATGTGCAATGTCCAGTCATGTTTATAGTTGATCAGGTACAATAGTTTATCCATAATGTAGTGAAATTCAGTGCATGTGTTAAGCATTTCACAAGTGCTTAAATGCACAAAAAATGATAATGTTTGTAGCTTTAACAAAGATTGTTTATATAGTAAAGTGACATTTTGCGTTTGCTTATTAAAGCTCTGTGTCTGAATACTATACGACGACTCAGAAAACCAAAAAGCACCATTGTTTCACTTTTATTCTTACTCTGTTGTATTTATCAATGCTTATAAACAGTTTATTACATGATATGCAGATGCATTGTCCTACAGAATCCTCCTAATCAATGAAAAACTAAATTGGTGAATGACGAAATCTATCCATACTCAATCCTAGTAAGGCCTCACATTTTATTTAGGCTAGTTTTAATTTTAGTGAGTTGACTCGCTTTGCGTCTGGTCAGGTAATGGTTCACCTGTCATAAGTGATGTTTCCACTAATGAATGATGTAAGTTTTAATTTTAAGCCTAACCCTATAATAAGCACATTATTAGTTTTGAATACTCATTCAACATCACTGTGGCACTTTCTTTATTATTGTTGTTTGAACCTTTTTCTAATCTTTTTACAAACAAAGGTGTAGCACTCTCAATGGTTATTGTATTCTTGCTATATGATGACTATAAATCTATATAATGACTGATATGTGGGGTTTTAAAAGACACTTTCAAATAAAGAGCAATCCAATGCTTCATTAAGTATTACTTACACACGTCTGCTGTGCCCAAATAAGCTTCAAATGTTGTGATGTTCACACTTGGTGCTGTCACATCTCAAGTTCTTTCTCTTGCTTGAGTCATTTTGTTAGTGCATTGTAAATGGACTGAATGCATCAGTTAAACAGCAGCTTCAATATTTCAGTCTATTTGAACTACATGCAAATCAACCTCAAAATGCATAAATGCAATTTCAGTTGTCAATTCTGATCTCGGATCTGTTGTGGTCGTTCTGTCAGTTTGGCCTTTGTATAGTATTAACCTTGCATGTAAATATGTAATATATGTAAATATAAAAAATATGTAAATATGCATAAGTCTCATACACATGCTATGATAATGCATTCATAATAGATATTGCATTAACATATTCCAGTTTATACTTGCACTGCTTTGCTCTGGTATAGTATTTGACTAGTATTGAGCCACCAAACAGGACATAACTTTTAATTCTGGATATGTTGCATAACTCTTGTCTCTAGTCTGTTGATTCTCTGCTAGACACACAGTCCATATATTCAACAGTCCAGCAGGTGAACTTGACCTTTTCACAGTTTCTCCAGTAGAGGGCAGTAAGTCACTGTCTGGACCTCAAAAAATGGGGCCGTGAGCGTAGGCTGGATGTCATATACTATTGTTCCTTCTTTGACAGCTTAATTTACTGTGTTTACATCCTTTAATCTGATCAGCAGATGCCTACTTACATTTTAGCTTTGTGAATGAGACGCACAGTACTGTTCCTCATGGCCCGGGCAAGACAGAATCTGCGAAATTGTTTCGCTATTTCTGCTGATAACTTTGTACAAAATCTGTGGATTTATGCGGAGAGATTTTAGATGGTATCATAACTAAAAACCTAATATATTAATACCTTTTTATCTTTTATTTAATGTTTACAATGTAAATCCAAACAGATCCACTTATTTGGTAAACAAAGCAAGTCTGGTATATCTACTAAAAGACAGAAAACATTACTCTACAAACTGTAGTGTTAATAAATCATATGAGCATTTTAATATTACTAATAACATATCACAATAATATTAGTGAAGTTAATTTATAAACTGAATAAATATAAATTTACACACATTTGCACAAGTTAATACATAGACTTAATGATGGGCTAAAAATCTGCAGATTTCTGTGTGGGCATTTCTGCAGAGTTCAGTTATATCCGCTCCAACAATTATCATTGAGTGATACTGATAAGATCTCAATTAACTGGTTGAGGTTTGTGTCTGGTTTTGTTTGGAGCTTAAGTTTACATGAAGGTAGATTTCCAGAGCAGATTTATACATCTACACACTCAGAAATAAAGGTACGCGATCTGTCACTGGGGTGCAACCTTTTCTAAAGGTACAAATTTGTAGCTAAAAGGTTATGTTTATGTTTTTATATGTGTATATATATATTAATTTTTAGAGGAACACTTTTGTACTTTTTAGGTACTAATATGTACTAGTGAGGTATTAATATTGACCTTTTAAGTACAAATTTGTACCTTTTGTAAAGGTTGCACACCAGTGACAGATTGCATACCTTTATTTCTGAGAGTGTATATTGATTATAATCTAATATTCATCATCAAGATTTCATCAGATTAACCAAGTCATAAGCATCTACAATTCATTGTGCTGTCAATACAGTATGTAGTTGCATAATTTGCATGTATAGGGCTTTGCAATTAATACAAAAGAAATCAATTAGATTTCAGCCTCCAGTGATTGTGAAATTACAGTAATCGTAATGAATTGATTATTGCAAAAATAATGCTATTATTTATATAGTGCTAATATTTCTTATTTTGATTATGCATTTCTGTTTATTTAAATTTGTGCTTTTAAAGCAAGTTTGTTTTATTAGTGTTATTTTTATTCTGTATTTTAATTATTGATTTTATTACTGATCATTTGTGTATTGTCAGTAATTATTTAAAAGAACTTTTGTTTCTATGTCACTATAAATTACTCGAGTATTCTGCTGTGGTATTGAGAATTGCATTTTGCAATTGATTTTATTGAAATTATGCATATATGTTGCTGGTCTCTAAATTGAAGATGTCACAGGAACCATATTTACTGTAAATATATTTAATGCATAAGTCGCTATTTAAGTTCATATGAAGGTATTATTATTATTATTAATGTTTTTTTTTTTTGGTCATATTGTCCAGTGTCCACTAATAATTTTAAAATTTGACCAAATGATTTTTTTCCCATAATCAAGAATGATAATCTACAATTTACAGGGGCATTACCCTCGAAAATGCTAATCCTGTTATTTACTCTCCCTCATGTTGTTTCCAGGTTTCCTTAAAAATATTTTGAAGAATGTTCATAACCAAGCAGTTTCAGTTCCTTTACAGATCACTTGTAAATGTTTTGTCAATGGGAACCAAAACTGTTTACTAATTTCATCTGTGTACAAGAGAAAGTCATGCAGGTTTGCAATAACATGAGGCAGAGTAAATAATGGCCGGGTAGAATTAGCTGCTCTGTTGGTCAGTGTTGAGTGCATCTGCTTATCGCATTCAGCGAAATTATGCATCATTAATTAAAATCCAGAGTGAATGAGTGTCCGCACAGTGCCGTGTGTCCAGTGGAAGGGGTGTTTTCTAGTGTTTATGGTGTGCAGGTGTCTATTTATAGTGTTTGTATTGTAGCACGTGGGAGGTGTGTGTGTGTGTGTGCGCAAGTGAAAGCTCATTCAGTTGAGGAAACACTCATGAGTCATATTCACACATGGAGCAGGGCTGTGAATATTACTATTAGACTCGCAATAAGGTTTTATGCCCGAGTCTCTGCAATATACTGATCATGCTCTGACCGCCAGCATGTGAAGAGTGTGATTTATTATAGGACAATGTATGGCTGCTCGATATAGACCATTTCAGTGTGGTCATGCCATCGGCCCATAAACATTTCCTGCTTGTTTTATTTCATAACTGTAACAAGATGCAATTCAACCATACTTAATGTTAAAACAGCTATCATAACATCAATATGTGGCTCTTTTTGGATTCTCGGAAGCTGTAGAAATTAAAAATGGACAACAGGAAGCACATGTTGTTTTTGTTTACAAGTTAGGATAATAGTATATGCAATATATGTAATGCAAACATGTGATGCATTTCATGCAATGATTTCATTTCTACTATCATGCACTCTTAATGTAAATGCACATTTTTAAACATTGATGCCTCTTCAGCAAGTTTGACGTCAGTGCCACTTTTGCTTTGTAAAGATGCTTTAAATATCAGCACTACCAACTTAAACATGAATGATTTGGAAAGATTTTGTTTTGTTTGTGGATTTTACAGCTGGATTAAATGATGTTTCCACGTGCTAATCCTCCAAAAACTTGCCTTAGAATTGACTCTGTCTGCTTTATTAAAAACAATGTTTATTTTAAACAGTCGTAAATATAATTTTGATATTTTACTTATTATGCAAAGAGATGCACAAATAGCATCATGCAAATTAAAAATAAAGTCAAACAAAAAAATCAAGCGAATAAGAAAACATCCAAGACATGCATTTAAAAACTATGAAATGTATGTTGCTCTTATAAGCACTCGATCTTTTAAACAGTTCCTCATCGGTCAGATAAACACAACTGAATGTTAAAGTCATTGTCTTTTAAATCTTCCAATGATCTGTGTGTTGTTCTGCATTTTAATGCATTTCTCTGCTCTCTTTGCAGCTATTTAGAGAAGTATGAAAAGGTGCATCACTTTGGAGAGGAAGATGAAGAAGAGCAGCCGGGGAATCCTAAACATTTGCTTCCGATTGGTGCAATACCCACGTCATACAACTACCAGCAACACACTGTATCAGGTACAGAAAGGGGAACTGAAGCCTATTTGTAAATCGAATATGATTATTTGGTTGCACTTTATTTTAAGGTGATGTGTAGATACAGTGTAAACATTCACCAAACTCTGAGAGATGTTAATTAATTGCATGCACTTACTGTAGGGTTTGGTTTATGGTTAGTTAAATGTAGGCACGCAAAATTCAGTGTAATTGCTATAGTAAGTGCATGGAACATGTAACTAAGCCACCTTAATTTGACGTATATAAAACATATTTCAATACAATGTATATTTCAGAATGATATTAGAGAGTTGTGTAACTATCAGCTAGGGTTAATGCACGTTTTGAAGTATTGCATGAGAAATAAGTGATACAATTGCCAAATTTCAAATAAAGTTCGATTTGCAAAAATGTTTTGTAGATTAGCTTGAGTTAATATGCAAAATAAAGTTCATGTGAATAATATCAGATAGAGTTGCATTTGCAGAATAAACTCTTAACATAGTAAACAATACAGCTTGTTCTGTTTTATAGATGGACCAATAAGGTTGCACAACATTTCTAATGTGCCCTTTAGCTTTCTGAATGTCATAGCCACAGGTCGGGCATAAAATGTCTGGTCACTATGACCTCCCAAAAAGCCTGCAGATGATCTCTTTCCCATATGTACAGTATATAGGGGTTAATGTCACCGTAATGCTCTTGCTGCATGAATTCTGCATGTCTTCTTCTGTGTATGGCTTTATTTTTAGCAATTGCAGCCTGCACAGCACTGGTCACTAGGTTATCGATGCTAAAGTCAGACGCTCACGAATTTTAAGTTTTATATAAAAAGTAATCTAAGGTTTCTAATGTTTTGATTTATTTATTTAATGTATCAGCACTTATTGATTTAGAAAGTTTTTACTTGTATTGATCTTGCCATAAAATATGTTGCTGATGTGGCTGTAAATTAGGCACATTCAAGTCGCGACTAAACACACATCTGTTTAGCTGTGTGCCTTTACTGAATGAGCACTGTGCTACGTCCGACAGATCGCACTACTGTGCCTTTCTTTCCTTTTTCATTCTTTTATAACCCGTTTAGCACATTTTCATCTGTTTTTATGTTTTTGATCATTTTAATATTATTATTATTTTTTTTTTTTGAGTTTAACAAGACAATACATCATAGTATACAATACAACAAAGGAAAAATTACAGTGTCTTGTTTTTCTTATTTTCCCACTATCCCCTTGAAATAAATTAAATTAAAATGTATGAAATATCAACAAACATATCCTCTAAAAGAAATAATAATAAATTAAAAATAAAATACAAGAATTAAAAGAAATTGTTGAACAATATAATAATAAATGAGCAAGTTTACGATAAAAGCAAAAAATTTAATTAAATAAATAAAATTATAATAATAACAATTGAAAAAATAGTAATTGAAAGTTCACATTAAGGAGTCAATATTTCCTCTTTCCAATTAATGACTGTTTATTAGATCTGATATCGACTAAACAAGGTAAGCCTTTGATATAGTCTAATCATTTTATTATTTGTTTTTATTTTCTTACACTTTTATTCTTGTTATGTAAAGCCATGTGCCACTGTGTAAGAAATGTGCTATAGAAATAAACTTGCTTGTCCTAAATTAATAAACAAACTGACAGTCAGCGGCTCTTGTAACCTGATGGAAATGCATCTAATTTACATTTGTAATTTATTTATTTTTTTGATCACTTTTGTGAAACTTTGTAGAGATTTGCTTCATGCTAAGTTGGATACCTGGCTAGTGAAACTTTGATTAGTTTTAAAGGAATGGTGGCAATCATATTAATAAATAAGTATAAATTCTCTAATTTAGTACTACAGTTAAGTGTATGTGTCCAAATGATAATTCAGTTTATTAAACATTATTACTTTCACCCTCTTTTTTTTGTCTAAATTGCAATGTTAATAATTGTTTGATTTATTTGTAAATATTTACTATATATATAACATTTATTAACCTTGCAATGATGAGAGTACCATAAAAATCTGTGTTGTCCATTTAGGAAGTTTTATGATCTGTAGAATTGATAGTAATCCAATGAATGTTTAAAAGTTTAATTATTAAAATATTGTTAACAATTTAAACACAAATACATTTGGGAAATCATTTTTAGGAAACACAGTGCTGAACAACAGAGGATAAAAATTTAGATGCTCAAATTTGGAGATTTTTTTTTTTTTCATTATTATTAATATTTTTCTTCTTATTACTATTATGATGATGATGATTATTATTATTATTATTTTGTAAAAGGTAATGATAGTGTTTAATACACTGAATTATCATAAATATGAGTCATGCATTGTGTAATATTGAATTGTAGAACTTATACTTGTTTAGTAAAATAATTGCTATTATTGCTTCAAAATAAACCAAGTGTTTAGAAAGATGGATAGGTCTATATGAATCTATATGAGTTCACCCCTCACAAATCTCTCGTTTATATTAATATTTTCTATAGCAAGCTTTACAATATTTTATTTGCGCATATACATTTAGATGAGCAAAATCTGGGGATAATCTAACAAAATAACTTATGATAACGGTCCAAATTTATGTCAGGAGAAAATATTAAAAGAATTTAAAAAAAAAAAGTAAAGTAGCAGAATTTAAGAGAAACAAAAAAATGTATAAAATTTGTCATTTTTTATTTGTTGTTCTAATATTTTACTTCAAATGTATGATTTTTCTCATTCTAAAGATGATCAGTGACTAAAATATTATTTTAATAAATATCTGTTTAATAAATCTGTTTTGTTCACATGCACCAAAATATATGACCCATATTCACTGAGAAATAACAAAACAAAAAAAAAGTTGGGGTGTACTCCTTTATGTTGAGCATTGTGTGTGGTCGGCATGTACACATTGTGTGAATCTCTAAACCCCCTTTTCTTCTATTGGACAGACTATCTCCGCCAAAGCTATGGGCTATCGACGGATTTTATCCCTCCATCCGATTACAACAAACTGGTGCTGTCCCTCTTATCTGGGCTCCCGAATGAGGTGGACTTCGCCATTAACGTGTGCACGCTGCTGTCCAACGAGAGCAAGCACGCCATGCAGCTAGAAAAAGAGCCCAAACTCGTCACACTGCTGCTGGCACACGCCGGAGTATTCGACGACTGTATGTTTGCATTTCTGATTTAATACTGCACTTAGTGTTTGCACTTTAGATAGTATATATGCATTTTAACTTTACATGCATTTTTATTTTAGCATTAGGCAGCTTTTCTGCTGTATTCGGGACAGACTGGCAGGAGAAAACGTCACGAGATTTTGTGAGGGTAAGAAAATGAGCATGTCGACTTGATTTGTATGGAGGCTTATGAGTTGCTAAATCAGTTTTTAAGTGTAATATGCAAAACTGGCAATGCAATGTTACATGACGATGTATTTCTGTGCTTAAAATTGCATGTGCAAAGTTTGGTGCAAAATAAACATTTAATTACATAATTTACGTTTGCCATTTCCAAACACTGTTTAAACACGGCCATCACGAGAAGGCATTTTCAAACCACTTTGACTCTATATTTGTCATGAAATATTAATCAGGGTTTCTGCGGGGTCTTGAAATGTCTTAAATTTAAAAAAACTAAATTTTAGACCTTTTAAAAAGTCTTAAATTCACTAAAATATTGTCTTGTAGGTCTTGTGTAAAGCTACCCAATCGATCCAACACTCATCCAGTCAGCAACAAGACATACTTTTAGCAAAACTATTTTCATAACTAATATTTTAGCAATCTGTTGTGCATTAAAGATTTCTTTTAAGTTTTGTTAAAATTTATGTATAAAACTAGGGTCTGCTTGTTTTGACACACTATTTAAAATAATATAATTTGATGGGGCAAGTACATATTTTTTCTGCTGGGCCTTTAAAGATATCATTCACGTTTAGCCCTATACATGTCTGAAATTACAATCTTCATCATTTTAAAAAGGTCTTAAAAAGTCTTATTTGACATGATGAAACCTGCAGAAATGCTGTTAAGTGAAAATAGATTTTTAAAGCATCTTATTGGTTGTCCGGGATGTCTTATAATGTTTTAAATATTTTCAGATCTTAAATTCACTGCAGTATTGTGTTGTGCGTCTTAAATCATTTTAAACAAGTCTTGCGTTTTCAGTGCCCATGTAAAGCTACCCGATCGAGCCAACACCCATACAATCCATCTCATTAACTTTTAACAAATGTTTTATTTATTGACTATTTGCTTTATTTATTAACTCTATAACATTTCTTTGAAAGTTTATAACATTTGTTTATAGCTGCATAGCGAGGGCAATGATCTGTGCGGACTGTTGTGCATACATTTATTTCAGAAGTTATGTTGAATAAAGTTTAGGATTATTTATCTAGTGTTTTCTTGTTTTTACATTTTAAAAATGTTATGTAATGTAAAAATGTGATGTTTTTACATTATTTAAAATGTGACTAAGAATAACTAAAGTCAGGTTTTTTATTTTTTAAGCGGTAAAAACTTTTTAAACTGACCATTTGGAAAAGTACTTGGTGTTTAGCCTTTTATAAGTCTCTAACTTAATTCATAAAGGACTTAAAAGGTCTCAAGTCTTAAATTTGACTTGGTAAAACCTGCAGAATCCTTGTCTTAAGTGTGAGTATTTTTTAACTCAGCATTTTGCCATCTATTTGCAATGTTCAGAATGCACTTAAAATACGCATTTAAGTTTGCTACAAGCATCCCACATGTATTAATACAAATGCAATCCTACATTTCCTACATTACATTTTCAGTTTAAATTTATTTTTTTAATTAATTTATTTATTTTCAGCACCTTATAAACCATTAATAGTAAGCAGTTTACAAACTGAGATTGAAAACAGCAAATGTCAATAAAATAATTTTCATTTCGCGCACACTTTGCCCACATCATTGAGAATGCACTGTTAAATAACAACATTGGCATTTTATAAATTGCATTGTGGTGTTGTGCATTATTAAATATATATTTTACTGATATGACTTTTACATTTATATAATGCCATGCATGTTCATTTTGTTCTGACTTCTCCTGTTCTTTTGTCATAGTTTTGGAAAGATGTCATTGAAGACAATGAAGTCAAAGATCTCATCTCAGATAAGAGCTGCACACCTCAAAGTATGTGTGTGTTTTTTTATGTGTCTCTACTCTGATTTTCTTTCATGTGGTGAAGAACAGTTTCATTTTGATTAGTCAGTGTGAAGTAATACTCAGTTTAAAAACACTAAGCGAAAACCATTGTCAGGCCTCTCACCATAACACATATTTTAATAGTGACATTTTAAAGATGTCTAGAACAGATTTTTATACTCCAAGCACTCATTTAAAAACATATGCCCAGGAATAATTGTAAGTTATATTTTATCCTATATATACTTTATATTTTTGTAATTTTATTTATGTTTGTGTCAACTATTTTTGAAATATGAAGTTGTTAGTGAAGTTATTATGTAAAATGTTTTACCTGCTGTATATTGATTTTTTTTTTTTTTTTTTAAATCTTATCTAATGTTTAAATGTACCTCTAAAAAAGTATTTTTATGTGTTTATATATTTGGTATCCTTTCTTATTGGAATATGAAGTTGTTATTAATATGTAATATATATTTATCTATATTGATCTTGCCATTAAATAGCCATAAGTTGCTGATGTGGCAATAAATAAACAAACACACAAATCACAGTAAGCTAGCGAAGCCTCTTTCACCATACGTATTTTATTAAAATGTTTAAGTTTAAGGCCATATAGACATAATTTTTACACTATTTTTGTATTTTATATTTATTTATTTTCTATCAACTTTTACTGAAACATGTTGTTAGTAAAGTTATGCAATTTGTTTTATCTATATTGATCTTGTTGTGAAAAGCAACAATTTAAAGAATTGTAAGTTAGGATTTTCAAGTTGTTCAAGTTTAATTTGAGAAATATCTAATGGTTTTAAATGTACTTTTTTAAAATTTTGTATTTATTTATTTTGTATCCTCTCTTATTGAAATATGAAGTTACTGAAGGCATCATTTATGAAGAAAAAAAAAAGAATTTTGTAAATTTATATCTAATGTTTTTAATCTTCAGTTTTGTCATTTCATTTTTCTGTCAACTTATTGAAATATGCTGTTAATGAAGGCATTATTTAATGTTTTTATCTATATTGAACTTGCCACAAAATATCCACTAGTTGAAGAAAATCTAAAACAGCTGAAAATTCAAATCTAAGGTTTTTAATTAGTTTAAAATGTTTGTTTGTTTATTTATTTCTATTGAAATATGAAGTTGTTAGTGAAGTTGTGTATTATGTTTTTATCGATATTGGTCTTTGTCATGACATTCACACGTTAAAGAATTTAAAGCTACTTCTCAAATCATATCTTATGTTTGTAACGTACATTTTTGTAATTTTTAATGTTTATTTATTTGAAATATTTATGTTGTAGTATGAAGTTATTGAAGGTGTAATTATGTAATGTTTTTTATCTATTGGAAAAGCCTTAAGTTGAAGAATTATTTCTCAAAAATGTCACATCTTAAAAATCATCTGTCTGTAATGTACATATTTGTGAGTTTTTTTTAATTTGGCTTTATTTGAAATAATTATAGTGAAATATGAAGTTGTTATTGAAGGTGTTATTATGTAATATGTTTTTATCTTCATTGATTTTGCCATAAAGCATCCATGGGGCAATAAATAAATGAACAAATCACCCTAGACATTTTTTAAAATCCATTTTTTCTTTCAGATGGATTGGAGCTGAGGGACATCTGCACTCCTCTCTTCCACCCGGCCCGTAACACCGGCATTGGGGACGTGGAGGGCCAGCGGGTGCTGCAGGTTGCGATGATCCTGAGGAATTTGTCCTTCGAGGAGGCAAACATTAAACTGCTGGCAGCTAATCGCACATGTCTGCGCTTCCTCTTACTGTGCGCTCACTGCACCTTCATCCAGCTGCGGCAGCTCGGCCTCGACACACTCGGAAACTTCGCCGGAGAGGTCAGAGTTCACTCTCTAAAAGATGCAAATAGCGTTGTCTGCAGTGTTGAAGAATTTTTGTTGTCTTGGTTTATGGATATCTGTTAGCTAGTGTGCTCAAAAATAGTGACAATTAGCATTAGAGAAAGTATAAAACTGATATACACATGCAGAGCTTGAAATTTGTCACTTCTGCCTAAATTGATTGGCGCTTTATTTGATTTTTTTCCACGTCACCTTATATTTTTGTTTAATTATTTGTTTATGGAACATTCTGATGCACTTAATTCACCACAAGAGGGCGTTCATTACAGTTATGTGACTAATATAAATTATTTATTCTTAATAATAATAATAATTCACTTCACACTTATTTTTGTTGTTGTTTTTTAATGACATTTTTACTGAAATAATGTATTCAATCAATCAAAACATAAATAAATTCTAGGTTTTTGTCTTAATTAAATTGAAGTGTAATTTACACAATTCACCACAGGAGGGCCACAAACTTACTTTTACAAATGTATATTACAGGTATAAATAGATTTCTTGGCGAATCAACGAGCTGTAATTTGGCAGATTTTTAATTTATCTTTGACATGGGACATTCTGATGCACAAAATTCACCACAAGAGGGCGTTCATTTAACTTATGTGACCTACATTTATATTTATTTATTAAATTGTTTAATTTATTCTTTATAATAAATTGATTGTCTATTGGAATTTTATAGTTCTGTTCACATATTTGTTGTTTTTTTTAATAACAGTAACCTTTTCACTGAAATAATAATGCAATAAAATCAATCAAATATGCTAGTTTGTCTAAATATACTAAAGTGTAATTCACACAATTCACCACAGGAGGGCGACAGACTTCCATTGTTTACAATTTATATTGCAATATAAGTATATATTTCTAGGCGACTTAATCAGAGGTATTTTGGCAGATTTTTAATGATTTGTTTATGGAACATTTTGATGCATATAATTCACCACAAGAGGGCACTTACTGAGATTATTTTAACATTGTAATTATTTTATTACATAATGTATTAATATTGTTAATAATAATTTAATTGTCTATTGAAACAGTGCAGCTCACACATTTTTTGCTGTTTATTAATAACAGTGACTTTTTCGCTAAAATAAAAATGTATTAACATCAGAATTGTGTATCACCACAGGAGGGCGCTCGACGTGTAAACTTATATTGTTTGTTATATTGAAGATTTAAAAATAGATATTTCTGTTAAAATTCAAGCATTTTTCTCATTTTTGTTCACTTTACAAACAACAAACCCAATATTATAATTGATTTACGTGACAACTGATACAATGCAATTGATGTAATTAATACGACTCACCACAGGAGGGCATTGTTTACATTGATTTAATATATACAGGGCTCGAAATTAACTTTTTTACTTGGTAGCGCCGGTGCTCCCAACTTCAAATATTTAGGAGCACCAAAATAAATTTAGGAGCACCAAAAAAACTTTAGGAGCACCACCAAAAATGAATGAGCACCGCTGCAAATTGCTTTTTAAGGGATTTATTGTATTTTAAAACAACATCAATAGGACTGACAAAAACCAGAAACAACTATTGAACTAATGCTGAGAAGACATTGATATTTGTGTGCAATAATTCCAAAATGAATGTCTAATAATTAGGCCATAGAATATTAGTGATGATGAAAATGACAATAATAGTAACAATGAATTACATTTCTCATTATGATACTGCCTTAAATGTGCATGAATGTAGGTTATCTGCTATACAAAGTCTGTTACTTTGTGAAAAATAAATGTATAGTTTGCATCAAACAAAAATGAAGCATTGCAGTAAGAAATATTGATTTTGTACTGCTGTTTTTATATGCATGTCAATTTAATAAATAATATTTCTGCTACAAAACAAACAAAAGATTATAATAAATCATATAATTCAATGATGAAAGCTGCAAAGCAGTCATCAGTAAATAAATAAAAAATAAAAATAATATAGCTACACCTCAAAAAAGAATAGACAAAAGAAAGTAAGTAAAGTCTCACTTCTATCACTCTTTAAAAGTTTTGGTTTCAGTTTGTGTCAATTTAAAGGTTCAGTCTGAGATGATCTTCATTTCTCTGTGTTAGTGGAAAAGCAGGCGAGTCAGCCGACCCAATTTATGAGCAGGCAGAGCAAGATTCTTGCGGTGACATCCGGCGCAATATCGCTCTTTGTTATGAGCCGCAGTTTCAGTGTAAACTTAGTAAAGGCGAGCTTCTTTGGCGATGAAATGTGCAGTATTAGATTTGACTTTTAGCGGACATTTGCGCTGAACACGCAGTGAATGCGACGCATGGAGATTCGGGCACCTTCTCCAAGAAGCGCGTACTCGATTGATCTCAGCTGGTGGATCATTATTCACCACGTGACGTGTCATGATCGCTCTCATCTGCGCCTCAACTTTAGGTGGGGTTTGCAAACCTGTGTGCTTTAAGTTTTCACTCTTCAGCCTTTTGCATTTCCCGTGCTCATAAAAGCTCCTTCCCTGTCATCTGACAGCGGAATACCTTGAGTGATTGACAGCTAATATGAACCAATATAGCGGCAGGGAAGAGCGATTCAGCACGTTTTTACAAAAAATCAAAACAGGTCGCACTACAACCATTATCTGTAGTCGCACTAATGCGCCAAAATATATTAAATGGTCGCAATTTCGAGCCCTGATATACATAGCCTATTCAATTATTCTTGAATAGATGACGTTGATTTAATATATATAGTCTATCTATTCATGTTTTTTAAATAAAAGTTTTCACTTCAGTAGTAATAATAATAATTACTATAAATCATCTCATACTTCAGTTTCTCATCAAATCTTCTGACCAATCAAATGGTCTTTAGTATCTGACATGCCCCGCTTTTTTCATTTGTTGCACTTGATCACATTGGCAGAGCTGTGATAAAACAAAACGCTATTGGCTGTTTTATAAAAATGGGAGGAGCTAGTCTGTCTCACTCTCTCTTCATTATTCAGTTGAAAATACGTCAAACATCGAATAACAATATGTACATTTCACAGGACCTTTAACAAAAAGCCCAAAAGATTTTTTTGATAACACTTTACTTGAAGGCGTGTTTATAAGACTGTCCCTAATTTAAATACGACTCGTGATCCAAAGACGACTTGCCATATATAAACAACGGCTCCAACTAAATTATTTATTAACATAAGATTACCAGCAAAACAATACCAAATGATAAGAGATGGGGAGCTCAACAACATAATAAATAACCAGCAAATAAACTTAAAGCAGATTGGAACTCCCGACACCAAACAAATATTAAAAGGAAAGTATAAACGAGAACACGACTATAAAGCTGTCAAAAACTGTGGTTGCGCAATAGCTTGGTGGTTAGCGCGCTGACAAATGGTGCAGTAGCTCGTCAGGGCGTCCAGAGTTTGAATCCCGGCTCGAGGACATTTCCCTACCCTACCCCCTTTTTCTCTCTCTCTCTCCAACTTCGCTTCCTGTCTCAATACTGTCCTATCTAATAATGGCATAAAGGCCAAAATAAATCTTTGAAAAAAACTGATGGCATGGAGGAATGAGGGATCGCGAGAAGTCTGCTTCTGTCCGTTTTAAAGGCCTGACGCTGCCAAATTAACCATTAGAAAACTGAAAGGGGCAAAAAGACAAACAAGATCAATTGAAAGTAATGGAACAAAGACTTTTATAATCGTGACATGACACATCGTGAATGTGGAGATTTTATGCATGCTTATAACAACTGTCATTTAGTGTCGTTCGCTCTGTTATGACATTTTAAATGCACAGGTGATGTGCAAAATACATCACAACCTGTTTTTGTCATGACAACTTGACAGAGTCTATGTTTTTTACCTTATTTTTATTTAACTTTATTTTTACCTTAATTCAGAATGTTTTTTGCTATTTATGCACATTATATATAAAAATAAAGAGCGTAGCTCTGCTTTTAAACAAAAATACAACATTTTTAACAAAAAAAAAAAAACAGCATTTTCATTTTCCAGATTATTTATGTGTCTGCTAATATGACTAATGCTTAAAGCATTTTAGTCTGTTTTAAGCAAAAATAATCCCTGCAATATTTTACAGACTGTTTATTAACTGTTTGTCAGATCTTTAAGTAATAGTTGTCTTTCTGGATTGTTTGTTTCAGCTTCAGCTGGATCCGGTTGATTTCCGAACAACGCATCTGATGTTTCACACCATCACCAAATGCTTATTGTCACGGGATCGTTTTCTCAAAATGAGGGGTGAGTGTTTTAAAGCAAACATTTGTGCAGTCAGAACTGCTGTTTTCCTTTTGGAATTGCTTAAAGGGATAGTTCACCCAAACGACTTGCCCACTATTTACTTGCTTCAAGCCTATAGAGATTAAAAGGCACCTATTATGCATAAATCCCTTTTATAAATGGTTTAAACGCAGTTGTGTAGAAGCAGTCTGTGAAAATAACCGGCTTCCAATGATCAACATTTATTATTTTTAGATTTTATAATCACTCTTGATGAAAACAGTCTGCAGAAACACTTTGATTGACATTCTCCCTTTGTACGTGTCATCAAAGGGGGAAGCCTTTAGTGACCATCTCCCTCATTAGCATAGAATGTTAGTCTTGTTTTTGAGTCTGCCACTATACTGATGCACATGCATTTATAGCTCCGCCCTCTTTTGAAAAAATCTGATTTGAATTTAAAGAGACGGTCACAAAAGTGGCACAATTAGGTTCAAAGCCTAAAAGGGGCAGTTTCTAAAGTTATAAAACATTATTAGTGTGGTATTTGAGCTGACACATAAGACTCTCTAGGGACATCAGAGACTTACTTTACATTTTGTAAAAAGGGACATAACAGAAGAAACACATGAAGATATTCTGATGAAACTAGAAATCTGTAACCATTGACATCTATAGTGTTTGTTTTTCTTACTATGGATGTCAATGGTTACAAGTTTCCATCATTCATCAATATAAATAATTTGTGTTCAGCAGAATAAAGAAACACCTAAGGTTTATAACCACTTGAGGGAGATTAAATAGTGATTACAACTTCATTTTTGAGTGAACTATCCCTTTAAGATGTTCATTGCATCCTACAGCCATGGAAATCCTGGGGAACCTGAGCAAAGTGGAGGATAACGGTGTGCTGATCTGCGAGTATGTGGATCAGGAGTCATACCGAGAAATCATTGCTCTTCTGACGCTGCCGGACGTCATGCTGGTCATCTCTGCGCTGGAGGTCCTGTATCAGCTGGCTGAGCTCGGAGAGATAACCTGCTCCAAAATCTCCTCCGTGGAGAGAAGCATAGGTTTGTGTTCAGCTAAAAAATTCAGTCTGCCGCTAGCTGCGTTTCCATCCACCTATTTTTATGCACATTTTGGAATATGGGAAATAAAATGCCAAGATGCACATAAATTGTCAAAATGTGCATAAAAAACTATGTATATTATATCATAATATATTAAATAAGATTAAATCAGATTAAAATATATTATATTATTTTAAATTATATTATTATATTATATTAAATTATATTATTTTAAATTATATTATTATTATCATTATTATATTATATTAAATTATATAAAACTATATTATAATAAATTATATTATTATTATATTTAATTATATTATTATATAAAATTATATTAAATTAAATTATATTAAAGTATTTCATATTATATTAAATTACATTATAAATTATATTTAAATTATATTATTATTATATTTAATTATATTATATTAAATTAAATTATATTATAATAAAGTTTATTATTATTATATAAAATTATATTAAATTAAATTATATTGTATTATAACAAATTATATTATTATTATATTTAATTATATTATATTAAATTAAATTATATTATAATAAAGTTTATTATTATTATTATTATTATTATTATTATATAAAATTATATTAAATTAAATTATATCATATATTATAATAAATTATATTATTATTATTATATTAAAATAATTTTATATTATATAATGTTATTATATTATACTATATAACAGGAAAGCGAATAATTTTGACTACTTTTTAACTGTAGGTCAATATTATGATAATACTATATATCTTGATAAAAGCTTCAGGAATTAATTGCAACAAGAACATTTGATACTACCAGAACCAAGTGAACTGATCAGTTTTTCACATGTGAAGATCTTTTAGTACGGCTGGTCTCGGTGGACCTGCAGACATTCGGACCGGATGCACTGACGGCAGTGAAACTGATCGAGCATCAGGCCTCCAGCTCTCAGGTGTCCGAGGTTCGACCGCAGCTCGTAGAGCATGTTCCTGCAGCTACGCAAGGCACTCCTGCTGCTGGTGAGTCGACTGTGTACACTTGCTACTTCTGTACAACCGGGTTATTCAACATAATGCATGCACATGTCAGAAGGATTGATATATATGGTGGCAGAGAGAGCTTAACGTGCTGCAACTTACGAAAACTCATGCAATAACCAAGAAATGCCTGCAAAGTAAGCGAAGATCCTTACTATTTTGACTGTATGTGTGTTGCGAATCATCACAATGTCACATGCACAGAACACAACAGAAATAGACCCAAAAATGTGGCAATTACCAGCACTGAAAATAATACTATATAGATTTTAGGTACAGCAAGTTCTAACATTGCGTTTGTATTTATTTCAATGTAGTAAACAGGACACCTGTGCAGTCTACGCCTCCACCAGGGATCGTGGAAATAGACGGAGAGAAATTTACGACTCAGTGGTAGGACTCCACCTCTGCCTTCTCTTTACACTTCTCAAACCTATTGAAGGTGTTTTACGAATGCGTTCTGTTCTCTGTAGGCTAAATGCTCATTTTGAGGTGCATTCAGATGGGTCAGTCTCGCGCTCAGAGATGTACTCTGAATATCTGGCAACCTGCAGCAAGATGGCACGGGGTGGTGTGCTAACATCCAACAACTTCTACAAATGCCTGCGGTGAGATTGGTGAAAATGTTGAGGAAATATGCTGTCCAAATCAGGAAATATGTTAAAGCTAAAGCTCACCACTTACATGCTCTGCCTTTTCACAGGACGCTGTTTCCTAATCACACAGTAAAACGTGTGGAGGACACACGGCTGAATGGGCAGGCTCAAATCCACGTGGTTGGTGTTCGAAAGAGGGCGATTCCTCTTCCTGTCCAGCTTTATTATCAGCAGCAGCAGCAGCAGGCCAGTCCTGCACCAGTTCCCAAACATGAAGCCCCCTCAGAAACCCCTCAGGCCCATTCAGGTACAGACACTGTTTGATTATTGAGACACTCTTGGTCTTGCAGTTCTGGGAGATTATCCACAAGTTTTTTTAAAGCCTAGTGAAGTGAATAATAGCTCATTTGTTCTTTGCATCTTGTTTATCTTGCAGCATTGCCCCCTGGTGTGGGTGGGCAGCCTGTCCGGGCACCAGCACCAAGCCTTACTGCCGGCCAGGCAGCACCACAGGTGGCCTTCACCATGCATGCACCGCCGCTCGCTAACGCTCCTAGTGCTCCAGCTCCACGACCCCCCCTCAACCCACCAGGACAAGCCGCACTTCCCCCCTGCCCACCAGCCGCTGCCCCAGTTCCCATACGCCCGAATGACATCCTCAAAACAGCCATGATCCAGAGCTCCATCCCCACGGCCTCCGCTGCTCCTGCTGTTCCCAACCACAGTGGCTCGTCTACCCAGCAGCCTCTGCTCCATCACGCCCCCGTTGCACTGATCCAGCAGGGGCCACCCCCACAGGGACACGTATTTACTGGTCAAGTGCATGGGGTCTGTACATCGGTGGGCCAGCAGCGCCCTCAAGCCCCTTCCCAGGAGGCCATGGTGCTGGCGCAGCCTCAGTATGTGACCACACCATGCACTCCACTGATGGCAGGAGGGCAGGTTGTAACTGTTGCAGGCGTGACAGGCTCTCGTGTTGCATTTCAGAACATTGCCCCCAAACCTACACATCAAGTACAGTCGCCACAACCTCCGCCAACACAACCACAGAGCCTAGTCATCGTCAGCCCAAATCAACAACCCAACACTGCATTTGCCCCTGCCATCCATCAGATCGTTCTCACCAACCCCAATCCACAGCAAACACCGGCTCCTACTTCTCCGAATGCGGCGGTCCCGAACCCAGCGCCGGTGCAGCCGCACACTGTCAGCCAGATGCTGTCAGTAAAGCGTCAGTTCCAGCCCACCCCGCCACCCGCTGCTTCCCCAGTCCAGCCTACCTCCACTGAATCCAGTCTGATCAAACAGCTACTGCTTCCCAAACGCGGTCCTTCCACCCCTGGTGGAAAACTCATCCTCCCTGCTCCACAAGTCCCCGCTCCTGTTAGCACCAGGGCGCCCAGTCCGCAAGTCGTATACCAGGTGACGAACAGCGCTCCAGTGCCACCTCAACCACAGTTAAACGTTCAGCTTATGCAGAGTCCCGGTGCCGTTCCCATCTCCATCCTCCCCGGACAGATCATCTCCACCTCCACCTCTGGCACCATCCTCCAAGCCACCCCCAGCAACCAAGTTACCTTCACAGTAGTGCCAAACTCTGGCTTTCCAGGCCAGGGAGTGCAGACCCCACCCACAATCGGCCTGCAGCTGACTCAGACTCCGCCTCTGCCAGTAGCAGGAGCCACGCCCATCCCGCCTTTCAGAGGCGACAAAATCATCTGCCAAAAGGAAGAGGAAGCCAAGGACGCCACAGGACTGCACGTCCACGAGCGCAAGATCGAGGTCATGGAGAACAACTCCATCGCCGACGCTTCGGCCAAAGCCAGCAACGGGGAAACGGCAGAAGCGGAGGCACCCAAGCTGCTTAACGGGAGGAAATTCGACTCTAGTCTACCTCCATACCACTCAGGGAACAGCCCATCAGAGGCGCCCAATGGTCCTGTAGCGCAGAGCGGATGCGACGGGAAGCAGACACCTGCGGACCCTAAAAAGCTAATGGTGAACGGAGTGTGCGACTTTGAGCGATCGGACGCCGCTTCCCATCCAAGCAAAAACATTCCAAATCACAAGGCTTCCAAACACATGGGGAACGGGGAGGTGCTGTCGCCGAAAGCTCACGGTGCACTGGGCCTTGCGGAGGACACTGCCAGAGCAGAGCCACCTGAACGCCTGGCCAACGGGCCCTGCCACGGCGCAGACCTCTCCAATGGGCCCAGCTCAGAGACTTTAAGCTTGAGGCCACAGCACGCTCCTCATAACCACTCGCCGCCTCCAGCCACTCCCAACCCGCCGTCAGCTAACGGCACCGCGGAGAGCCGGACGCTGAAGAGACCGCTGGAGGACGCGGACCGAGGTACCTCCGCTATCCCTGCTAAAATGGGTGTACGGATAGTGACCATCAGCGACCCCAACAATGCCGGTAACAGCGCCACCATGGTGGCTGTGCCAGCGGGCGCAGACCCAAGCACAGTAGCAAAAGTAGCAATAGAGAACGCAGCGCAGCAGAGACCAAGTGTGCCCTCGCCGCTGCCTGAAACCAATGCTCAGGTAATCTTTGTCTTATTTAGTTCATCTTTATTTCTATAGCGATTTGACAATGTAAATTGTGTCAGCAGCTTAACAGAGATAAAGTTCTAGTGAATTGGAACTACTTCAGTCGAGTTTTCAGTTTAGTTCAGTGTAATGTAAGTCTTGCTGCTGAAAGCCAAAACACTGCTAAGCAAATCCAATGATCATTAGATTTTTCTAATTAATAAAAAAAAAAATATATATATAATATATTTTTTTTTTATTAGAAAAATCAAATGATCATTGGATTTGCTTTGCAGTGTTTTAAACATTTGCATTTATTATTTTGCGGTCCACACTAAATGCCAATTAAAGATTACAGTATATTAAATGTATAATAATTTAACAATAAATTATAGACATATAACAGACATAAATTATAATTAAAGAAGTGAAATGTTTTCAGTATACATTGTGTAAGTGTTAAACTGTTTTGCATGGTAACAGCATGGTACATGCGCAGGAATTTAATATGGGTGATTTGCTTTCATTGCATGTCAGGCAAGGAGAAATAAAACACCCCCAAATACACATTTTTGTATTTATTTTATTCTATTTAATTTTATGACGTCTGGATTTTAATTGATTCATTTCTAAAAAAAATTGTTTTGTACTTTTTTTACACTGAGTTAATCGTCAGCAGCAATTTACAGTTTACTTAACATGCATATAATGTATAATACTGTGTGTATTGCAGTTTTTCATGGTCGACTACAAATGTTTACTAAACATAATATTATGACAAAATATTAAATACAGCACCACAAGGGTACTGACAGCTATTGAAGATGACAAATGCAACACTTGAAACTATGTTTGACTTGACCAGTGCACCTACAAATTAATTTGTGCAAGGGATAATGTTTTCTTTCTTGTGTACATTTATATTGTGCTTTCCATTTAATATCATTATCATGTAGGACCCATTGATTTTATTTAGATTGAATGAAGTTTTCCCTTAAGCCTTCTTTAAAATTAAATAACTGTTCGTGTGTGCAGCAGCCTGTGTCAGTGCAGACTCCGCCTCCTGTGGATCCGGCTGCACAGGGAACCAATCAGAGTTCTCCAGCACCCGCCCTCTCTCCAGAGCAAACACGGAAACCTGGACAGAACTTTAAGTGTCTGTGGCAAGCATGCAAACGGTAAGAAAGCATGCTTTACGGATGTACTTCGCAATGTGAATAATAGCCGTATTATAGTTCTTTTTTAATGTTAGTTTTAACAAAAAAGTAGTAATTGGCTACAATTAATTAAATTTGTTGATTGAATAAAATCTTTTGGTTTTAAGGGTTGTTTTACTGGCATAAACTAAGAAATGAATATTAGCTAAGATAAGAAATGTTGGCTTCAGTATAACTGATTTTATTTCTGTGACTGTTTCAGGTGGTTTGACACGCCATCACAGGTGTTTTACCATGCAGCGACCCTTCATGGCAGTAAAGACTCATACCCAGGGCAGTGCCAATGGGAGGGATGTGAACCTTTTCCTCGCCAGAGATTATCCTTCATCACACACCTACAGGCAAGATCCTGACCCTCTGTTGTAGTGATAATAATGACATATATTTTTCCATAGTTAAAGGCCCTTGAAATTAAAATAAAAGTAATAAGATGTCTTAAGGATGTCTGTAATCTAGTGTGCTTCAAAACAGTGACGATTTACGTGTAGAATATATAAGACTGATATAAACATCCAAAGCTTGCAGTTTTACTTCAGCTTCTGACTCCGCCCCTTACTCAATATTCAGTTTAAGTTGGAAATACATCATCATACTAAAATAAACTCCACCCCTAATCAATATTCAATTTTATTTGGAAATGATTATCATACAGAAATAAACTCCGCCCCCTACTCAATATTCAGTTTCAGTTGAAAATACATCATCATACAGAAATAAACTCCGCCCCTACTCAATATTCAATTTTATTTGGAAATGCATCATACTGGAATAAACTCCGCCCCTACTCAATATTCAATTTTATTTGAAAATTCATCATCATACTGAAATAAACTCCGCCCCTACTCAATATTCAATTTTACTTGGAAATTCATCATCATACTGAAATAAACTCCGCCCCTACTCAATATTTAATTTCAGTTGGAAACACTTCACGATATTAAAATAAACTCCGCCCCTACTAAATATTCAGTTTGTTGGAAATACTTCATATTAAAATAAACTCCGCCCCCCTACTCAATATTCAGTTTCAGTTGGGAGTACATCATCATACTGAAATTAACTCCGCCTCCTACTCAATATTCAGTTTCAGTTGGGAGTACATCATCATACTGAAATTAACTCCGCCTCCTACTCAATATTCAGTTTTAGTTGAAAATGTCATCATACTGAAATAAACTCTGCCCCTACTCAATATTTAGATTCAGTTGGAAATGCATCCTCTTGCTAAAATTAAGCTCTGCTCTTCCATTACACAGACAAACCTGAATCACAGAAATGTCTAAAAAGAAAAGCAAAACAATATAATCTGAATTATTCCACTGTTTTGAGCATCTGTTTGTGTGTGTGTGTTTTGCAGGATAAGCACTGCTCGAGGGAAGCACTCATAGCTGCACTCAAACTGGAGGAGCAAACGCAAGGCAGCAACCCCAACACTTCCAAGTGTGTATAGCATCTTAATATCACAGAGACTGCTGAGTGTGTATGATTGTGGTGATAATCTGACTGTGTTGATGCGCAGGTCTCCTCCAGCGGCGGTCAGCAGTCCTCCTCCTCCTCCCAGACCCCCGAAAGCACTCGTCAACCACCCCAGTGCAGCTCTGATGGCGTTACGCAGGGGCTCCAGGAACCTCGTGTTCAGGGACTTCACAGTGAGTTTACAGACCAGCATTTACCATGGTTATTTTGCTGGATCGCGTTGACTGTTTACATGTACATAGTGTTGTCACGATAGTATTTGCAAATAAGTTTATTCAGTACAACAGGAAACAATTTACAATAAAGGCGGATTTATACTTCTGCCTCAAACGGACGCGGATACTACGGCGTTGACGCATAGCCCTATGCCGTGGCCGTCAGCGTCGCTGACGTGCACCTCTCAAAAAAAAAAATGTAACTACACGACGCAACAACGCATAGCGCAAGCTCTGTGATTGGTCGGCTTGGTAGCGCTGACAGGTCTGGTCGGGACCGAGAGCCGCGCGAATGGCGCGACCCCGATGGAGCGATTGTTTACAAGTGTGAGTCCTGTGAAGGAGCTCCGGATGGAAAGTTTTGTGTTTACCTCATAGTTAAAGTTGTTGCACGGCCGCCGGTTCCTGCCTCAAAATGAGCAAGTTTGAGCCACTTGTACATTTCAGGAAGCGTTCAGGAAAAGCAAAACAGCAGCGAAGAAACTCGACACAGAGGAACACAGCGTTGCATGCGCCGTGGGTTACGCCAGTCACTTGACGCAGAAATATAAAACAGGCTTAAAGGCTCATTAGGAAACTTTACTTAGTTAATGCATTTAAATAAACATTTAGAAATAGCAATATTATAAAGTTTACTTAATAAAAAATACAGCTAAATTAAGTAATTAACCCCATTTAATAAAATTATCACTTGATTTTAGTGCTTTATATGCATTAACTGAGAAATTAACATCAGCTTCATGTTTACTTGTGGCCGCATGTTTGCCTCATTCATAAAAGGCAGAACACGCAGGATTCAGCACGTAAATGCACTAGTTACTCCCCAAATACTTGCAAGTAAGTGTCTGGTGTACTTAGAGAAGAGTAGATTCAACTTTATAGTAACTTTCACCATGTGTATATGATATGAATAAAACACATCAGCAAATTATATTTGTATGGATTGTTAGACTTTTTTGTGTGTTTGACAAACTCTAAATGTCTTGTTTTACTAGTACTTGTGTGTATTTACATGTCTAAAACATAAATTAAGCATTAGGCGGTTAAAACGCTGCATAATTGTGATATGACGACACGTCTTTCTCAGCGGGTTAAGTTAGGTTAGGTTAAGTCTTTTCCGACGACCCCTTACTAAGAGCTCTGCTTAGAGCTCTCTCTCTCTCTCTGGGTCAGCGCCAGACACTGTGCCAAAGCTCAGTTTGATTTTCTCAGTTGTGGCTCTAAAGGAAAACGATCTAACGCTAACTTTTCAAGCTAGATAACGAATGAAACATCAGCACCAGAGACTTTACGGTCCTCACTTCAAAACGAAACAAAAGTAAGATTCTGTAGTGATTTACTCCTCTGTTGCTCCCTTCCTCCTCATCCCTGTCTATGAGGCCAAACTCTGTATCAGTTCGCGAGAGAGACCGTGTTCACTCCGCTCCGCGCTGAACTTTTTTTTTTTTAATAATCAAATGTCCCTGTGTCTCGCGACACAATGAATCGTTCATGAAATTTGTTGCAAACACTTTTGGTAATTGATTTTAATCTATTTAATCGATATGTTGTTGCAGCCCTAATAATTTTGTAGACATCATTACATTAACTTAAGAAATTAACCTGACTATAGTGATAACAAACAAAAGGCCTCTGAATAGTCCGAGAATTTAATGTCGTAGGCCAGATTAACGTGCAATTTTAATGTTTGGAAATAAATCATCTATTAAGTCTTTAATTATTTGTTGCTGTGAAATACAACAATACTAATATATTTTTTAAAGGGGCTGGTCCACTACGATATCATATTTTAAACTCTAGTTGATGTGTAATGTAGCTGTGTGAACATAAACAACATTTTAAGCTTTTACAGTGTTAGCTTAGCAAAACCTACAGTAAACGAAGTTTGGGGAGTATAAAAAATACATCTGGGTTAGTGATGTCATAAACCCTTCAGGTTATGCACATACATCACAGCCAAGAGGTGTGGCCAGAGGCGATGTAAAGTTGTAACAGATGTTTCTTGGTGATGTGGAGCCGATCACAGCACATTATGTTAGCTGACCAATCAGAGCCTCTTGAGGGCGGGTCTTCAGAGGATCTAGGAAATATGACAGTCGTTTTCATGTTAGGCGAGTAGCTGTATATAATCAAAGTAGGATATATGAAAAAAATAACAAATAAAGCACGTCTATATATACACAACCAAGCCTTAAAATAGACTCTGGACCACCTCTTTAAAGCACTATAAGTTTAAATGGAACATAATTATTCAAGGTTTTTTCTCATGCATGTTGATGATGATGAGGATGTATTGAGTTATTGAATATCAGCATATGCCTAATAGCTGCTGTTTGTTTGTTTCCTCTGCGCAGGATGATAAAGAGGGACCAGTGACCAAACACATTAGACTAACTGCTGCCTTAACGTTAAAGAACATCGCCAAGTACTCTGATTGTGGACGGAAGTAAGTAAACCTTTTACATATGGTGATAATATTGTAATCACAAATGCCAAAATCAAGTTAGAAAGATAACAAAAGATCTTTTGTGTTATTTATTGGATTATCCATTAATTGTATTTTATTAATGTCTACCCCAACCATCACAGTGATGTAAAAACAGTTAATGTAGTGAGTATTAATTGTCACTTACTAAATGACCCAATATGAAGATGGCCAAATAAGAACTTTTCTGTCAATGCAACTTGTCAATTAGGGTTGGGCGTTGTCGACCGATTTGACATTGTAAGATGTCTCATGTGAAACATCCTGATGGCATCATTGTCATAGGCGGCGGTGAATTGAATATTTGTAAATAATTGAATACTTAATTTAATTCACTACGAATTAATTAGTTGTAGCCTACCGTTTCAACTACCTGACCCGCATGCTCTTTGTTTTACCAATAAGTAACCAAATGATTAATAAATAAAGGTAAGTTACACACAAATGACCACCTGTCAATCACTTTTTCCACAGGACTCTGGCATGAGTAGTCAGAGTGATCTGTGATGTTATAATGGCGTCGACAAACTGTGTGTGTGTGTGGTCAAGTGATGTGCGTTTTCAGCAGTATAGTGTAGCATAGGGCTGTTTAGAAACGCCAGTGTGAATGCGAATCAGTTTCGTTCTAAAATGGCATTTTAAAATGAAGCTGCACCAAACGGGGCCTAAATGTGCATTTTTTGCGAGTGGGTTTGCGATGGGGCGAGGAGAGGATAGCGATGCTAACTCGGCATCATGATGTCTATCGGCCATCGGCAATTGATGATGACATCATCTGTCTACCCATCCCCATAGTCAATGCATTCATTAATACAGTGCATAAAACACACTGGGTACAGATTAAACAGGAATGGAGACGAGTGTGATCTTTTATTATCATCACAGCTGTCAGTCAGCACCTGCTGTTTATATATATATATATATATTTTTTTTAAATTAAAGTAATTTGTTCCCCTTGTTATTGCACATTTATGTGCAGTGTAAATACAGATATCGTGTGTATAAATCACTTTTAAAAGATGATGCATTAAAAAAAATCTGAATTGATTGTCAAGATCTGGAGTGTAAATGCAGCCATTAGCCCCTTTCACACAGTGATACCGGTAAATATCCGGAAAATTTCCAGAACTACTTTACCGGTATATTCAAAAAAGCGCTGTTCACACAGGCGAGGACGTTACGGAAATTTTCCGGAAAAGAGCATTCACACATCCATTCCAAAATACCGGTAAATTCTGACATCATTCACCACAAATGAGCTTTAAACGGCTGCGCTTGTATTTGTAAACATTTGACTAAATTACAAACTCTGTGGATGATCAATATTGTGAACAACTTTCGCAGGATCACTTTCACATGTCGAGATGTTCATAATATGTGCGTGTGCAGGCGCTCACAGGTTGTTTCACAGGCACACGCAAAGCTTAAAGGTAAACAAACAACGGCTTATCATAAGCATCTCATCGATGATTATTTACACAGTTGGCATTAAGAAGAACATATAAACGTGATCTGACTAACTTCTAGCAGCTAAATGCGTCTGGAAAAATATTCAAAGGCTTTTATTCTCACAAACCGCGCGGACGTAAATGCGTCTGACTGTTGTGATTGGCTAAAGCAGACGTCTCACGTCAGCACGTTCTAGACGTGCACGCGCTTATTACGGCAATCTTCCTTCTGCATTCACACAGCGCAGCATTCCGGCAAATTACAGGTAATGTTACAACTTCTCTTTCCAGAAAATAGCCAGAACGAATTTTCCGGTATTTTCAAAAAGGACCTGTTCACACATACAACCTTTCCGGAAAATTGCCGGCAATTTTCCGGAAAGGTCTGTATGTGTGAAAGGGGCTCTTGTAAGCAGTGCTGGAAAGAGTACTGAAAGGTCAAACTCAAGTAAAAGTACCATTACTTGGCTGAAAATGTAGTGCAAACAGAGTAAAAGTATCTAGTAAATATTACTCGAATATGAGTAAAAAGTAGACTTTTATTTACTGACCAGGCATGAGAAAACTGTCTATACTAGATGTCGAATTGGGCATTCTAGGTTGACTCATTTGTATTTACTGAATGTTGTTCACCTAAATGTAATTACTGCCAAGCTGCTCTTACCATTAAAGTTTGAATACCATTAGACCAGTGGTTCTCAAACTGTGGTACGCAGGCTTCCTTCTAGTGGTACGTGGAGGAATGAATATGTCATGTACATGCTACATACATTTCAAAACTTATCAAAAATGATGTATATAATATGCCATATATGACATGTAGCCTATATTTCTGAGGTAATCTGCCATTTTTTTTTTTAACTGTGCAGAGTTGTAGCTGCTTTACTGGGCCTACTGCGCTACTGTATTTCAAAACTGCTCATTTTGGTGGTACTTGGAGAGTCAATTCTTTTCTGAGGTGGTACTTGATGAAAAAACCACTGCATTAGACAATTTTTATAAGTAGAGTACTTTGGACATTTTTAAAAAGGTACCACCAGGAAGAATCTTAAGTTACTTATCAAAAATTGAACTGAAAATTCATATTTAACTTACTATATACTGTATTAATATATACTTAATATACTGTATTTTTGTGTGAATTTTATTCATTTCTATCCTATATACATGTCTAAGTGACTTTTTATTGTAATTCGATTTTGTTTTTATCATGTAATATTTTTATGTATATCCATTTTGCCATTAAATAGCCATAAGTTGCTGATGTGGCAATAAATAAATAAATAATTAATTAATAGACCTTTTACTGAAGAGTATTATGCTGTGAGAGGCTGACACGTTTACATTTGTCCATGTGTATGTGAAAACGTAGCATTCTGTAGTGCGGGGGTGTCCAAACTCGGTCCTGAAGGGCCAGTGTCCTGCAGATTTTGGCTCAACACACCTGCACGGATGTTTCTAGAAAGCCTAGTAAGAGCTTGATCAGCTAGCCCAGGTGTGTCTGATTGGGGTTGGAGCTTAACTTTGCAGGACACCGGCCCTCCGGGGCTGAGTGTGGACACCCCTGCTCTAGTGCATTTCGTGATTAAGGCCATTTGGCGATTTCGGTCATCATACAGTAAACATCCTGCATCTTCTCATCAGTGACGTGCATCTAAACAGTGTGTCATTGCGTGTAAAGAGTTTGAGCATCTTCTTGGACACTTCTAATGGTTGCAAATGGTTTGCTGCGTTTATAAAGCGCCCATGACTTCAGCTGGTTCAGTATGATGCAGATGTCACAGCACTGGTTGTTCTACTGTAGCCAATCCCCATAGACGAGTACAAATAAAGTAGTGAGTACAGGATGAAGGAAAATAGTGGAGTTAAAGTACCGAATCAGCACTAAAAAAATGCACTCAAGGGAAAGTAAAAGTACACTTGTGCAAAACTACCTAATTAATTAAAATTTCTGGGGAAAAATTGCAGTAGTTTGAGTGTTTGTAGTTTGTTACCTCACGCCACTGATAAGCCTGTATGTGTATCTGTGTTCAGGATGGTGAAGCGGCATGAGAATCATCTCTCTGTGCTGGCGCTGAGCAGTATGGAGGTCTCCACCACGCTCGCTAAATGCCTTTACGAACTCACGCGCTCTCTGCAGGCCTGAGCTCAACCCAAAAAACCCTCGGAAGGAGACGGAAAAACCTCCCATTTCCCCCATTCTGCTGCCACACAGGTCGCCAGCGGTGTTGGTTCCCTCCCTCCCTCCCCGCTCCTCTATCTCTCTCCATTCCACGACTCCCTCCCTCAAAAAAAACTGCCACGGGTCTTCCACCAGCCACTCAGAAACCAGCGCCCATCTCACTCTCTCCATATTTATACGCCTGGCCCAAACGAGCACATTTTTATAGTCCCAGACGAACGAGCGCCTCTGATTGGGCGGAGGGGGATTCTGTGGGCGGGGCGAAGTGGACGGCGAAGAGGTGCGGCTAGAGTTTTTGTTTCGTTTCTTTCTTTATAACTTGATGATAGCTTGGTTTTTTCTTACTTGAGCCGATTATATTTTCACTTATTTATTATTGAGATAAATACCGCTATGAGTAAATGAGAAAAACAATTGTGTACATATTTGTGAATAGATATAAAGTTACAACAAACAAACAAACAAAAAAAAAAGAGAGAAAGAAAAATCACCCTCCTTCATGCCGCTGCTGCCCTCTTGGTATCAGAAGCATTACGTTTGTTTAATAGTAGGTTGAGACTCACTTTTGGTTTGGTTCTTTTTATATAAATATATATAATTTCAACCCCTGGTTAACTCGTATGAGACGTGATTCTATACTCAGCAGTGGATGAATGTACTTAAAACCCTGTAAATATTCTGCGAAGGTACTGATGCTGTAAAGTTTTTCTTTGGGAGGGCTGAGATTGTTTTTCTTTGTGCAACTGTGATTTGTTTTTTTTCTCCCCCTTTTTTTTGTACTATTATAACTTGTAGAACTCATTTTGCTGGCTGAAAGAGTATGAAATAATATATCATATGTCATTTTGTAGAAGAGACACACACAAAAAAAAAACACACACACACAAATATTGAAGGTATTCCCCTCAACCTGTATTCACTGTAAGCGTGGAGTACGAGCCGCTCGCCCGTACCTTCCTTGATTCTTTTTGTATTTGTAAATTGGTTTAAATACATGGAGTTTTATACAGGTTTTCTCATGTGTTCTTTGCTTTCTGTGCAGGTATGATATTTTTCCTCCAGACCCCTTTTTTCTATCTTAATAATAATAATAATAGTGTGGGATTTTATTGTACTTCATTTCTTTTGTTTCCTTTTTGTTCATCCATTCTTACGACCACGCCACATTCCGGCTCCCGGACCCCAGGCTGTCCTCTCTGCTGTGTGTTGTGTAACATTTATTACTGCCTGTTGTGTTAGCATCCCAGCGGGGGCGCTGCCCCTGACCTCCCCCTTTCACCATTTCTGCAGTGTCTGTAGGGTGTGCGATGATACATATATCTAACAGTCTGATATAGATTGGCTTCAGTCTACTTTGGTGACTGTTTATAGTTTTTAAATAAAAGACTGAACATTTTTGACACATTGTTGACATGCTTTATTTTTTTATGGACGCCCGCCTCCACACCCCGCCGGTCATCATCGATTCAGGTGTGTTTTAAAGGGATGGTTTACACACAAATGCATTTACTTGTTTTAAATCTGTTTGTTGAGCACAGAAGAAGATACTTTGAAAAATGTTGGAAAACACTTACTATCTGAATCATCAGCACTTTGACTTATAATATGCGCCATCTAGTGGCTGTTTCACATATCGCACTGGAGTGTTGCCCCTTGGTGATTTTAAGCTCTTTGATTAAAGATTATAGGGGCAAGCTATGCTTTCCCTGCTGAAAAATCCAGCTTAAACCAGCTAGGCTGGTTGGCTAGTTTTAGCTGGTCGGTTTAGAGGGGGTTTGGCCATTTCCAGGCTGGTTTCCAGCCTGGTCTTAGCTGGTCAGGCTGGAAAATGACCAGCAAAATCCAGCTAAAACCAGCTTGGTTTAAGCTGGATATAGCTGGTTTTGGCTGGACTCCCAGCTTGGCTAGGCTGGTCAAGCTGGTTTTAGCTGGTCATTTTCCAGCCTGACCAGCTAAGACCAGGCTGGAAATGGCTGGAAACCAGCCTGCAAGTGCCCAAAACCCCTCTAAAACCAGCCTGATCGACCAGCTAAAACCACCCAACCATCCTAGGCTGGTTTGAGCTGGATTTTTCAGCAGGGTTATTTTCTTAATGACATGCACAGATGAATTGTTCACCACAAAGCTAGCAATGTAAGCTAACAAAATCAGTAGGGCTAGTTTTGATTTCTTGGGGACTTTAAAAGAGCAGATGGTTTATTATTAAAGTAAAAATGTATTAAGACATGTTTAAGCACTGATTTATTGTTTAAAACTAGCATTGTGAATTATCATTTCATGCTAGACTTCACATTAAAGTAGTTGTTGCCAAATAGATCACAAACAAATAAAGTGCAGCTCTTAATTCGCTGTGCTACGCTAAATTAAAATGAGGTAGAAGAATATGCTATATTTATATCCAAATCACAAACCAAAATAAAGGTTATACGCTCATAAATCACACAATATATTACATTGGCAATGGGATGGTCTATAACTGAGATGAACCGAACAGGGAGAGGTTTTCGCACGGTGACGTTGTTGTCATAATGGCGGTGATCAGAGTCAGGTGCGTTTAATTGGAAACAGCCGTGTGAAGGGCACATTTTCAGTTCTTGTGGTAATTCTTCATGTTCTTCATTGCTGCAGGAGGAATGAGGCGCTAATCTGGAGCCAGAACAAGTAAGTGGATAATAACTGTGTTTGTTCTGGATTTAAAGTCCGTTTCTGATCGGACACATCGAGACGCTGATGATGATGATGAGAACGAGCGGCAGCTGCTTTAAATGGGGTCTGATGATGTAGTTCCTCTGCGTCAGGTGTGCGTGATGACGACATTTCTGTATTCTGTAGCTTTTTTATTGGACAGTGTAATAGCTTAAATTAAAATGTTTTAAACTCATTTCAGCGTCTTCATTTTTCTAATTCAAGTCATTTATATTTATGATGGGATTATTTTGTTTATGCCCCGTCTCCTTGTGCTCCTGCTAAGAGAAATAAATATATTGTACATAGTAATATTTAAACTAATATTAATATAATTAATACATATAATTATTGTTATATTAACATTTAATTCAATTTGATGTGAGGTTTTTATCTGATCTTACCAAAGTAAGAGTGATGCAATTCCTACAAATCAGGACTTTTCGCTCAGGATTTTAAGTTCGTATTTTGTAGATATAAGAATATATTTGTACTAAAATAAAAACAAATGTAGGTTGTCAGATCTTTTATCTTTATGCATGACCATCAATAAAGTATTTAAATGTATTTAATCTCCGTAAAATAAATCAATGTAAGAATGTTGAGATTGTCATTCACACAGTTCACCACAGGAGGGCGCTTAACTTTGATTCAAATGACTGTCGTTCACGTTTTTATCGTCATTAAATTATATTTATTTTTATAAATTACGGAGAACCAATTTGTAATGCAATTCAAAGTATTTCTGCCATGATATTTTACTGTTGAGATGTTTTTTAGCACAAAATAATCCATTCATATTTATATTAATGTTTTTATTTCTTAAATAAGGCACACAAAAAAATCAGACATTCATAAAAACTATTTAGATTAATCCACAGTATTTAATGCAAGGCTCTGAGACTAAATATATCATACATATATGCACATACAGTAGTCTGGTATTGTAAAAAAAAAAAAAAAAAAGACCAAACCAGTAATGTATGCTATTCACCACCAGAGGCCCTCAGTGTTTTATACATTAAAGAGAATTTAATATATTTCTGTTAAACCAAAGATTGTGTGTCCCAGATGTTTTATCTTTATACACGACAAGGTTACTGTCATTAAAGTAAATTAAATCACTGCATAATAATTTAATCCAAGGTTGAGAAATTGCGCAATTCCCACAATTCGCCACAGGAGGGCGCCCATACACATTTTCACAATGTGTATATTATATTACAGGTGTGTAAGAATATGTTTCTAGGTAACTTGAAAAGATGTAATTACATTTTTTAAATATATTTTTTTAACATTTTGATGCACATAATTCACTACAAGAGGTTAGGTTCTCATTACAGTTTTTTTTTCTCATATTTTTTCCTCATATTCTTATATTTTACAGTATAAACTAATATAAATTATTTTTTATTTTTAATAATAATAATAATTCAGTTCAGATTTATTTTGTTGTTGTTTTTTAATAACATTTTCACTGAAATAATGTATTCAAATCAATCAAAACATAAATAAATGCTAGGTTTTTGTCTTAATTAAATTGAAGTGTTTCGCCACAGGAGGGCGATAGACTTATTATTTCAAATGTATATTACAGGTATAAATAGATTTCTTGGCGACTCAACGAGCGGTAATTTGGCAGATTTTTAATTTATCTTTATCATGGGACATTCTGATGCACAAAATTCACCACAAGAGGGCGTTTATTTAGCTTATGTGACCTACATTTTCATTTATTTATTAAATAGTTTAATTTATTCTTAATAATAATTTGATTGTCTATTAAAATTATGTAGTTCTGTTTACTTATTTGTTGTTTTTTAATAACAGTAACCTTTTCACTAAATCAATCAAATAAATAAAATCAATCAAATATGCTAGTTTATTGTCTAAATATACTAAAGTGTAATTCACACAATTCACCACAGGAGGGCGACCAAGACACCAAATATACAGATCATAGATAACGTTTCTGAACACGAGGTATTTGTTGGATGTTTTAAAAGTTGTAAAACTATTTAATAAATAATATTAAGTCAACACACGATAATTGAATGCAGTTAGATTGTTTAGTTACTCATAGTAATTGGAGATTTATGATTCACATGATTGTCCACAGGAGGGCGCTCGGTTAGGTTTCTGTTTATTATTTCTTTTTTAACAAAGATGGTGATGTTAATAATGCATTCATTTAGTTTTTTATCGGCTAAGTCCCTTTATTAATCAGGGGTCGCCACGGTGGAATGAACCGCCGGTAATGGTAATAACACAAAAGATAATTAATATAATCCATGATAAAAATTCTAAAAGATTTTGTCATATTTCCTTTTTTTGACCCAAAAATATTTTTATATTAGGAAACAAATAGGTTTAGCAGAGGTTTTGTTGACAGTGTATAATCAATAATTATAAAATAGTTTAAAATTAACTAATATTAACCACTAATACAAGGAAATTCAAACATTGTAATTCCCGCAACTGACCACAGGAGGGCGCTCAATTCAGTTCTGCGCACTGGCTTGATTTAATTTCAATACATTTTTTAAGGCATTTTAAAATAAAAAATAAAGCTGTTAAAACATTTATATAAATTAACCACTAATTAACAACTAATCCAAAAATAAATGCAAGTATTTTTTTGTTCAGATTTGGGTTAAATAGCTGTAGATCCGTATTTAAATTAAAGATGTATATTTACTAAATAAGAGGCCATTTTTTGTGTCATTTTATTTAAGTCGTAAACAATTTTTATGGTATAAAACAAAAGCAAAATCCTTTAATATTTGTCCTCTCGCTTGAGTTTTAACTGTAGAAATAAATCTACATTAATGTTATTCCTACAGTTGACCACAGGAGGGCGCTTGAATATTTATTTGTTTATTCCGGATAGAAAAATAGACTTTCTGTACTGCATAGATTTCTGACAGCTAGATAATTGTTTGCATATTTATTAAGTCAGTTTATTAAGTCAGTTAGTTTTTTAAATGAGGTTTTCCTCTGGTTCTGTTACTATTTTTTCTCATTTTACTGGCTCAATTCAGAAATATATTAATTATGGTGAAAAAAATAACATTTAATTTTAAATAACAGATTAAAATTTAGCAAATAATAATAATGGTAATAGTAATAATAATATTTATAATAAGTTTTTGCATTAGTTTAACTGGAGGTATTTTGTTTAAGTGTAATTCACTCAGTTCACCACAGGAGGGCGATCAGATTCCAAATCTACATGTATATTATAGTGTCCACCTTATTCTTTGCAGACGCAGCCATCTGAATCTCTTTGGCTCAAGACTTTCGCTCTCATTCACTTCCATTCATTGTTTAGACGTTAAAACAGCTCGTTAATCTTCCTGATGTTGCAAACTGATTGCTGATTTTCTTATTATAGTATTATATTATTCTGCTTTGTCTGTGTAGTCATGGACATACTTGATTGTAGAGTTTTCTGCTGTTTATTATTCCTAGTCGTTTCTCCCAGAGGAAAAATTGTAGAATGAGGTCAATATTACAGTTAGTAAATATTTATCTTGCTAAATTAAACAGGTTATTTGACAGGTTTTTTGTGCTTCATCACTTGATAATACACAATTTCCTAGACAATTTCAGGCTGAATCTTCAGGCAGAATCAAAATGAGTGTAATGTATATGTTTCACCACAGGAGGGCGACTCGTGTCAATTTAATTCAACAGATTTTATTGAAATAACTTTGATTAAAAAAATAATTTAAAGCGATTTTAAAACACTTCAATCCAAAAAAAGGGGGGAGGGGACAAACAAAAATTGAGTGAAAAAGGTAAGTTTTAAAAAAATGTTATAATGTTAAATGTTTAAAAGTTTAAAAAAAGTTTTTAAAAAATGGATCAAAAAAGTTACAAACACAAGTAAAAAAAAAAGTAAAAAAAATGTTTAATAAAAAAAAGGTAAATAAAAAGTTTTTAAAAATAAGTAAAACAAAATGGGTTAAAAAAAGTAAAGTAAAAAAAGTTCAAGCAAAAACTTTCAGTACAAAAAAGAAACGGGTAAAAAAAAGGTAAGTAGAAAGAAAAGCATCAGTCCAGCGAAAGCAGTCAAGTCAAGCAGAGGCTGTGCTGTGGGCTGAGCGCTGGCCTCCTGTCTGGAAGGCAGAGGTTTACTCTCTCTCTGATGGACAAGACACTTGACTTCCACTGGCTTACCATCGTGAGTCATTTGATTTGAATCAAAGAGTTGAATTGAACTGAATCATATGAATCACCTGTGGAAGTGAATCTTTCACATGACACTTTTTCTGTCATTTTTTACCAGGCAGCAGGAACGAAGACAAATTAACGAAAAAATCAGGTATGAGTGTGAAAGCTCCAGTGGCTCAGTGGTATGGGCACGTCTCTCTGTAACGGAGAGATCCCGGTTCAAGGCCGGACTGGATGCGGAAGCATGACTGTGGAAACACAGTAACAGAAACACGGTTGCGGGAAGTGAGAAGGAACAGGATACGAGGGAGGTGACATCCAAGGCGCCTCCCCCGGGGACCCCACGGGACAAGGACCAGCAGGGGTTATATTGCTGAAAAGTATCACTACTTATAAAATATCCATATTCCTCCTCCACACTAAGTCCTCCCCCTCCTTCTCACCCTACTCCTCCTCCTCCACTCACCCTGAGCTCCCCCCTCTGGGCTGGGGGAACCCGGGCACACGCCGCTGCTGGTCCAGCGGGGATTCGTACCCGCAATCTCTGCATCTCCAATGCAGTGCTCTTAACCTTTGAGCCACAGACCAGCTGAAGATTACTGTGCTGGAACTTATATTTGACCTGCGTCCTGCAGGCCGTGCAAAAACAGGAAAAAAAACGATGTTTGAAAGCGAAGTCGTTGAATCGTTTCACGATATTCGCCGATTCGTTCTCTCAATCGTGATTCTGAATCGCTTCCAGCTGAATCCTGAGTCAGTGATTGACTCAAATTTGAATCACTCGGAGAGGATCAGTGATTCAATTGCAACTCAGTGATTCAAGCTACAAGTGAATCCCTGATCTTTCTCTCTCTGAGGTTCAAGCTTACTACTGAATCACTGATCTCTCTCTGAGGTTCAAGCTTACAGCTGAATCACTGATCCTGCTCAGTGGCTCAAGCTACAGCCGAATCGTTGATCCTGCTCAGTGATTCAGCAGTAACTTGAACCACTCTATCACTGAGAGGGATCAGCGAGTCAACCGTAACTTGAGTCACTGAGAGAGATCAGATCAGTGATTCACTTGTAAGCTTGAACCACTGAGAGAGAGATCAGTGATTCACTTGTAAGCTTGAATCACAGACAAGAAGGTAAAGATTCAAACACTGCAGTCAGTGTTTGAATCTTTACCAAGTTCACCAAGTGGATGAAAAGATCCAGAGTTAACGAGTCTCCTAATTGAGTGTGTTTGTGGTAACGACGCTCAGGTGTTTGTTTGCAGAGAGTGACCAGAGACGGGATTCAGAGAGCTGCTTTATTTCATTGCTTCTGGGAAGATAAACAGACACAGTGATTGAACTGCAGAAAACAGAAGTACAGGACTTTAAACCTGGATATATGACAACAAAATCTCAGCTCACCGACCGACAAAACTACCCGTTGTTCTGTCCACTTAAGATCTCAAACACACATAATCAAACACACACACACTCGGAATCTGCAGCGATTAATAAAGCTAATGCACATGGATTGCTGGGCTGCCTCTAAAAGGGGGAAAATGACAGTCTTTATGTTGAAGATCTGGAGAAAGAGAGAGATACAGACGTACCAATGAATCATTTGATCATCATCTAAACTTAGAAGCAAAATGCAATTAATAGCGACACCATTACAGACTTTTAACCCCCTCTGCACTCACACACACACACACACACGCGCGCGCAGACATAATCCAATAAAGGGCATTTGCACTATATCAAATCCAAATTAAACAAAATATCATCTCTAGAAAAATCTTCATTGTCGTATGTAAATGTGTTAAGAGCGGCTGTGGAGGAATTGCACTTGTTGCGTCAGCAGCAGCTCCGCCGTCCTCAGCTCTTTTCAGTTTTGCTCTTGCGGATGTGTTTGTATTTGTCCACATACGCCTTCACCAGAGTGGCCACCTTGTCTGCGTTCACCTCGCCACTCTTGCTGTGACACACCTGAGAGGAGGAAAACAACACCGTCAGCAAAAACACACATTTAAACACCATGCTGGAACATCAGAGACGACACTTTAGCTGTTTGATAAACTGCAGCAGTTTAAAAAACAAATCATAAAGATTCTGCAGTTTGGCGCCATCTTGTGGCTGAATAATAGATTGCTCCATCAGCCATTTTAATTCTAAAGTATATTATTCCCAAATAACAACCAGTAACACTAACAAAGGCTCATCTGGGAACTTTGAATAATATTGAGCATCAATACATAATATATATTTACTAGTAGTTAAATATTGATTTATTTATTTGACATGAACATCACAATTACACTGGACAATTAAATGCATTTGTTTAAGTTTTAGCAAACTTGCTAATTCTGAACACCTGTCCACAGGGGGCTTGGAAAAAATGACAGAATGGAAACATAATAAATACATATACACAACAGTATTTTATATGTTTGTCTGTTGCTGTTTTTATTTTTGGGAAAAAGTTTGGCGCCATCTTGTGGCTAAATGATAGATTGCTCCATCAGCTCTGTTCAGCCATTTTAATTTTATCATCACACTGGAAAAATAGATTTCTCAGTAGTTTAACATTTCTCAAACCAAAAAGCATTTTCTAGAGAAGATAAAAGTCAAAATGAAGGGAGTATATACTAAGCTAAAATTATATATTCGTATTTATTACAGTGCAGTCTGAAATACTTGATTCTGATTGGTCAGGCATGACATTCCATAATCCCAGATTACAACCAATGAAACTAATAACATCTGGGAACTTAAAGGAATAAGCTTAAGCGTCTGGGAATACGTTCACATGTTTGTATGTTGCTGTTTTTTGTTTGAGAGTTTGGCACCATCTTGTGGCTGAATAATAGATTGCTCCATCAGTTCTGTTCAGCCATTTTAATTTTTTATCACACTGGAAAAATAGTTTTCTCAGTAGTTTATTATTTATTATTAAAAAGCATTTTAAGACAAGAAAAATATTGCAAAATAAAGCAGGTATATACTGGGCTAAAATTAAATAATGATAATTATTACACTGCTGTCTGGAATACTTGATTCTGATTGGTCAGTTGTGACATTTTAAAGTTTATTATTCCCAGATAACAACTAGTGAAAGTAATAACAAAGGCTCATCTGGTAACTTTGTATTCACTGATGATCAAGGTTATTCATTCACATTTATTCTTCATTCACAGGTCTGTTGCTGCTTTTTTTGTGTGCGAGTTTGGCGGCATCTTGTGGCTGAATGATAGATTGCTCCATCAGCTCCATTCATTTTTTTTATCACACTGGAAAAACGTTTTTCAGTAGTTTATTTAACATTTCTCAAATCAAAAAGCATTTTCTAGTCAAAATGAAGCGAGTATAAACTGGGCTAAAAATATATCATGGTATTTATTACACTGCTGTCTGAAATACTTCCATTTTAAAAGTTGAATCTTTGTTTAAAGTGTGTCTGAACTACATTTGTATTAAATTTTGTGGGACCATCACCAAGAGGAAAGTTTTTTTTACTCTGTTCTGGCTATTTATGTTGTGCTAATTTGCATCTTTTCTCTCTTATTTTTTCATTATTTTATTATCGTTATTACTTGTAACTATTCCAAACTGCATACATAGTTTTAAAAATGTTAAGGATTTCTTGCACTTTAATATGAGTAAATCTAAATGTAAACTTACCTTCTCCACAGCTTTGCGCACGATCTCTTTATATTCGTCCTTGTTGATTTCGTTCTTCTGATAATATGGCTTAATGGCTGCTTTCACCTCATTGACGGCGCGCTCCTGAATCTGCAGTTTCTGTGTTGAAGAAGAGAAACAGAGTTCAGTGAAGAGCAGCACAGACATCCAGCACACCCTTCAAGAACACATTTGCAGGAGTGTTTAACCCTTGTGTGCTGTTAGAGACGTTTTCACCAACTCTGGGCTGATTCTGAGGCTTAATGTACCCACATCTTCAGGCTGTGTTATTGAATAGACTGATGTATTGCTGACAAATCTAATTATTGACATATTTTTGGGGAAAATGCTTTGGAACTTTTCAAAATCTCAACAATACACTCAGAGCAAATTGACTCCCCTTTCATTATGTTGGGGGCTGTTTTTGCCCCATTGACTTCCGTTATAATCACATTTATTGATTGCAAAGCCATGACAGCATATAAGCATGCATTCTTGATTGTTGCTGGTTTTCTCTGTTAGGAAGAGCTACAATTTGTCATTTGTAAAGGGTAGTCAATTCGAACAATACTCAAGGGTTTATGGCTGCACAATCAATGGTTTCAGCATCGATATCACAATGTGTGCATCCGCAATAGTCAAATCAAAGGATCTGCAATGCTGAATCGGCATTATTATCGACCAGAATTTGAAAAACACTCATAATTTGAGGAGTTTTTGCAACATTCAACCATAACGTTACCAAAACACTCATTATTTATGTGTGTTTTCATCATTTAATTCAGTTTAAAAATATTCAGGCATAAGAATTTGCATTTCTAACTAAAGATTAATTGCATACATATATATATATGATAAAGACTATGGTGTTACTTTGCATTTGATTATTAAATATTACTAGACTTTACAAAAATCATAAAGCACCATATATTTCAGTTGTACAGTATTGTTGCTCTACTGTATTTCTCAATGTTAATGATTGGTTTATTATGTTTTATATAGATGCATTCTCAAAATCTGACTCAAAAATCACCTTCAAATCAGCCCAATGTATCGAAAATGATGAATTCTTTCTAAATAGACATTAATTTCTGGTTATATATTCAATATAAAACATAAAGTAAAACATTGCAATGTCAGGTTTTTTTCCAGTATCGTGCAGCCCTAGAAGGGTTAATATTATTTTTTTGCTTTATTTATTTAACATTTTAGAGTTAAATTACATACAGCAAGGCCACCCAACACAAAGTTAAATTAAAATAAAAACTGTATTGAAACATGTCTGATAGAGTCTCACTCATATTTGACCAGAATTGTACAGTTTTCATTTACTTTGGCTGTGGTACGTTCCAAACTAATAATGTGCAGCAGGTAGAGTCTCCAAATCAGATCAACTTCTGAGCTTAATTTTAATGAAATTATTTACATTATCGACATGGGTAAATTCATTATTTCTTCAAATTAATGTAACCTCACATTATTTAATCATCATTTTGTTTGTTGTTTTTTTCCTCCATGATATTTTAAGCCATGAACCCGTAATATAACTTACACATAACTTCTAAAATAGATGCACAGCTGTTCATGCACAACTATGGGACTACAACAAAATGGAAATATCCTAAAACTAATTTACTAAATTGCTGGTATTTATCTAGGCTTTTGCACAAAAACAAGAATGACTAAAATAACTAAAACATGTAGGCCTACTTGTTTTGATTTTAATTCAGGTTATTTAACTATAATATTGAAAATTTGCCTGCTTGTATTTACTATCCCTTAAAGACCTAGAGGTATTTTGTGGGCACCTAATGGGCCTGTATTAATATTTTTTAAAGCAGTTTTATTTTGATTTTAGCAGCCTCAAGCGTCATGTATTGTTTTAAACAGGAGAACCTGAAGCTTCAATCTGTATCATTTAAAGGTCCAGTCTAAAATATTTTGTGGTCCAAAAACATATAAACAGACAGAAAATATTCCAGAATTTTAAGAAAACCTTTTTAAAAAAGTGACATTTTCTAGTTAACCTCATGAAGTTTGCTTTTTTTCTTTAGAAATGCACGCTATGATGTTTTATACTTCCAAAATACATTTTGTCTACATCCACCATTTCCTGAGCAAGTTATTTCAATGTTATTCTAAGGGATTTTTTAGTAGGAAAAAACTAGTGCATTTATTTACTGACAGTGTATTTGCCCAAAAGTTTTGGGAATTAACTAAAAAGAAAGATTGTTACAAAATAACAGAGCACTGAAACAAGTTTGACTTTTCCAAATAATATAATTTCAGTTACCATAAACAACAGCACTTACAATGAACAAATAAAAAATAAGAAAACAAGCTATAATGCGTCAAAGTCCAAATGAACATGGTGCAAATCCTCAGTAAAAAATTAGATATAAATATTTACTATACTAAAAATAGTTAAATAACTAAACTAGATTCAATATGGACCATCCTTAGGTTTTATGTGCCAGCATGGATATGGTGTTGACCCTGCTGCTTCTCAACTTATACGTTGCAGACAAACAGCAGCACCGCCATTTGCGTCCTTTAAAAACAGCAAGAGCAGCACTTCGTCTTTGCTGTGTCACTGTTTTGTCATGTTTTTGTGCATGTAAAAAGTACTTAGTATGAGAGTTATTTCATGCAAAACTTTGTCTTTGTGTTTTATTTAGCCGTTATCTCATTCTGGGTTGTTCAAATAGCTGATTGGTGATCCACAAAGCGAAACCTATGCTTATTGGTTGAGAGAGAGCTAATTTGAACCAATCTGGGCATGGAGGAGAGACAATGCATCAATGCATCATGTCTGGTTTGTCAGGAGACACAAGCCACGAGCGTTCCCTTGTCAAATCAGCGTTGTCAAAATGTGATGACGTAACCACACTGATTGCGGAGCCTCTGAAGGTCCGTGAATGTATTGTGTTATAGCGATGAAAATCTGAGATTCTCTCTCTCCTTGTGCCAATCTTTGAATTGTACGGATCGGATCAGCGGATCAAAAGTTATTAAACATTTAAGAACAATACTTATTTTTAACGGGCGGCTGTCTCGGTCTTTAAGGGTTAAGAACTAAAGATAACCTGTGTTCAATGTTTAGACATTGCTGAAACAGCATCAGGCCAAATCCTATTCTAATTGCCTACTTGAAAAATCCACCTTATTATTATTATTATTATTACAATTGGTATTATTATTATTATTATTAGTATTAAAATTATTAATATTATTTAGTTTCATTGTAAACTTTTAGTCTATTTCAAACTGTGGACATTAGCTTTTAGCATGGATCTGCAGTCTCACCTTCTCCTTCTCCTTCTTGGAGCTGTCTGCGTGGGCTTTGGGCTGCGTGCTGGAGCTGCTGGAGGTGGTGGAGGATGGCTGCACCGCACTGACCGGCACAGCAGGAGGAGGAGGAGGCCCACAAACCACTTTGGTCGGCACAGGTTTGAAAGACATTTTGACTGGCGCAGGAAAAATGGGCATCGCCTGCTGAGAAATATATGCGAGTGGTAAAACCAGATCAATGCTCACTGCAAAATTCAGAAGTTTTATTTGCAGCTTTAACAGGATATCTGCAGTTATATTGAAGACCTTTTTAACACCACACAGAACTAAATGTAAGACCAATTTTAATTTTAAGCAACTAATGAGCATCCCTAACACTGTTAATTACACAAAGTGTGGAAAACCTCAAAACAATATTATTGTTATTATCAGGGCTTGACATTAACACTCAACAACCCACCAAATGCAGGTAGATTTTAGCTGTGGCTAGGAATTAAATAATTTTTAAATTGTTTAACTCAACACCACTGTAAGGATGGCCCAATATGCATGCAAGAGACTGAATGATACCCTTTTACATTTATATATATAGTTATGTATTGTCTGTGGGGCTGACCTGAGATGGGTGGCTTTCGGGCGGCACCACAGTAAATCCGCCCTGCTGCACAGGTGGAGGAGGCGGAGGCGGTGGAGGAAGAGCCTGCACTGCTATAGAGGGCACCTGCATGAGCGGGCCAGCCTGGTGGAGCTGCACTGGTACTGGAGGAGGCAGGCTGAACTGTGGTGGAGCCTGCAGACCTGCGGTGGGAGGCCTCTGGAGCAGTGGAGCGGGGCCCATGGGGAAGCGCATGACCCCCATCACACCCATCTGATGCGGCAGCAGGGGCGGAGGCATGGCTGGCACAGCCTCAGTTGGCAGCGGCGCACTTGGCTCATTCTGTGGGGGATCTGAAATTACACCAATAATGGATATTAGATTATTCAATTAAAATATTAACTCTGAATGTGATTATGCAAACACAAACATACACATGTCTTCTCCTGACTTCAATTCGGTGATGTTTACATCTATCTTGTGGATATTCCTCAGCCATTTAGTCATATTTAGTTAACATTATTAGCGCACAAGTGTCTGCTTTTATATTTGGTGTTGTTTCTTTTGCTATTTGCTGGTAAAGAAAATCTATTCAGTCACTTCTAATATTTATACTTTGACTTTGCATTTCAAGGTTTTACTTAAGTTGCACTTAACCAGTAAATTAGAATAGAAACTGTAAAAAATGTTAATAGGTAACAGATGCTAAACTTTATAAAATAAAAACAATAAAAAAATAAAACACACCTGCTTGTTTTGGGACAGTCGGTGCGCTCTGATCCTCCTCTTGTTTGTTCCAGATGTTGTTTCCACCGCCGCCACCACCTCGATCTCTGCGCGAGTAGTAGTTCTGCACATCAGCGGGAAGAGTTCGCCGCACTGCCCAACTCGACGCCGACGACCACCCGGAGCGATCCAGTGGAGCCTCTGCACCTTCAGACTCTTTCCTCTTCCCTCCAGCTCTGCTATCATTAAAGCGATTGTATGAATCTGCATTATTAGTGGTCCCTGAGAAAGAATTGCGCTGCCTCCAGTTATCTCCTGGCTCCCCCTGCTGGCTGGACGCCCAGTGTGTGCCTCCTCTGCCACGTCCAGCACTCCAGCCGCCCCGAGACCAGGTGTCTCCATCTCCCAAATTCTCCTCTCTTCTCGCCGGCTCTCGCCCACGGTTATCAGCATCCATCCAACTCCTCTCCCTCTCCCTTTCTCTCACCCAATCAGGGTTCTCGTTCCTCCCTCGATCAGGTGAGGATTCATGGAAGTTTCCATTATCGGAAGAAACAGGGTCTCTAGTTGAGAAATGTGCAGGTTTTTCAGTGTTATTCCTCCAGTTGGAATTGCGAAATCCTCGTCCACCACCTCTGCCTCTCCATCCTTCTCCTCCTCCACCCCAGGAGTCTCGTTTTCGGGGAGAGTGTCCTCCGTGGTCTGCACGCTCCTGGGACGGGCTGCGGCGTCCAGGTCTGCTCCTGTTCCTGGACCTAGAGCGACTCCTCCGTCTGCGGCTACGCTCTCTGCTTCGGCTACGACTACGGTTTCTCCGACTGTCCCGTTCTTCCTCTTGGTGGTCACGGTTTCGAGATGTGGAGCGAGTTTTGTGGCTTCGGTCCCGGGATCGAGACCTTGATCTGCGTTCATTCCTAGACTCCCGGTTCGGAGACCAAGTGGTTGAAGATGAGTGGAAGCGGGACCTGCGGGATCGTCCCTCCTTCTTATCCGAGGTTTTCGATTCTTTAGAGCTCTCTATCTTCTCAGCAGGATCTTGATTGGCCATCTGAGGCACAATCGCAGCGGGAACCATCTCCACCTCAGCAGCACTCTCTGATGCAGGAGAATCACACTCCATGGGAATGAGGTCAGTGTTGTCCTGAGAACTCCTCACATTAGTGTCCATTGTTTCGGGAGCAAAAATATCTCCAGGAACTGAAGGTCTAGTTTCGAAAGCAGAACTATCTCCAGGTACCGACGGTCTAGTTTCTGGAGCAGAACTTTCTCCAGGAACTGACGGTCTAGTTTCAGGAACAGAACTATCTGCAGGTACTGAAAGTTTAGTTTCAGAAGCAGAACTATCTCCAGGAACAGGCGGACTAGTTTCGGGAGCAGAACTATCTCCAGGAACAGGGTGACTAGTTTCAGGAGCAAAAATCTCTTCAGCAACTGACGGACTAGTTTCAGGAGCAGAAATCTCTCCAGGAACTGACGGACTAGTTTCAGGTGCAGAAATCTCTTCAGGAACTAATGGTCTAGTTTCGAGAGTAGAAATCTCTTCAGGAACCATTGGTACAGGGCTCTGGTCCACCTCCTCTGTGGTGTCAGGCTCTGGTATCAAATCCACAATCTCTTGTAGAGCTGGAAGGTTACTGGAGTCTTGTGTGTAAGCCTCCTCTGTGGTGTCAGGCTCTGGTTTCGGATCTGCAATGTCTTGGAGATCTGGAAAGCTACTGGAATCCTGCTTTTCAGGATTGTCTTCTGTGCTGTCAAGCTCTGGTTTCAGATCCAAATCCTGATCTGAAGCATCTGTAGGTGATTCAGCTGTCAGTTGCTCTTTAAAAGATAAAACAGCATCCTGGGAATCAGACGGAGACTCCTGTGGTTCTAAAGATCTGGAAGGAGACGAGCAGTCTTGGTTCAGTTCTGGTGAAGCATTCATCAGCTCCACCTGATCTTCATCATCAGTCATCACTTCTTGCCTGCTATTGTCGTCTTCTTCAACCACATTCTTAGTGACCACTTCTTCTTCTTCTGCAGTTTCCTCATCCTGGTTATCAGCATCATCAGGTTTGTTCTCAGAAGGACTTGTCTCATTCTCCTCCTCCATCTTTTCCTTTGTGTCCACTGGGTCTTGCCCACCATCAATCTGATCCGAGTTTGCTTTCTGGTCAGTTTTTGATTCTTCGGATTCAGCTGCTCCATCTTCCTTGTGATTTTCTGCTTCAGGTTCTTGCTCCTCATCCTCGCGTTTCTCCACTTTCAGCTTCTTTGGCCGTCCTCTTGTCTTCACTCCAGATCTCGGATTATTCCCTTGCTGGCCTCTGCTTGTAGACGCAGTATCATTTAGCGTTTGTGAGGTGTTGTCAGTATCGTTCTGTTGTGAGTGTGCAGAAGAGGAATCCTCCGCTTCTCCTCGGCTGCGTCTGGAGGACCGCCGGGTTGCAGGAGCTTCTGCCGGCTTCACAGAGCTCTTTGATCCAGAACCCCTTGTGCCTTTTCTTTCCTCACCTTTGGGGCAGGTGACGGCACAAACCATGCCATGAGGAACTAAGAAAGGAGATGCAGCAAGTGTTAACAAATCTTTTTAAAGTATGCAATTTTTTTAACCAATACTTTTAGGCAGCCAAAAATGCAGTGCATCCCTACAGCTGCCTTCGACTGCACACGACATTCGGAAACGATTGCCGGAATGCGCCCCCTTGTGGCAATTGCCCAGAACTTTCAGTTTTGTCATGCACCATGGGAGAGAAGCTGATTCTCGCAGTGTCAAAAATAAAGGAGTGCAAAAGCAAGATCCTTTATTCTCCATGCGTTCACCATGGTTGAATGAATGAATGAATACTAGAAGTTCAGCGCGCAAAATATTTGGGAGGGAAGGTGGAGACAACATTAAAAAATAATGAATAGAATAGAATAGAAATGTTTTTTTATTATAGACTTTTTTGTAATTAAAAAAAATAAAAAACTATTTCTCATCTCGAGCACACGGACCTGCTTGGACAATGCTGAAATGCATCACACCCAGTCGGCCAGTCGCATACTGCCTAGTCGCAGGAGTTCAAATACTTTAATGGATCTACAGCTTAAATCGGATCTAAATTTTCCACATACGGAGATGATCAGAAGTCCACAGCTCCTGGACTACTCTCCACTGAAAATGAATGACTTACGGTCTGTCGTTTACAGTGGAAAGGCAGTTAAAGAATTTAAAGTAAAACTAACAAACAAAAATAAACCAAAAACGGAAATCGACAACAAAACTTACCTGTATGTTCTGAAAGCAGCAGATTCAGAGAAGCAGAGACAGCTGACAGAAGTAGGTGTGAGCGGACTGACACCCTAAAAATCCACATACATGTTCAGAAACGACAAACACTTGCATGCAGTTGCAAATCACAAGATTAATCTGAATAAAAAGTTAATAATACAACTTTTTGTCAGACCAATTATGCAGACCTGATCAACTAAAATACAACTAAATACAACTAAATTTACGTTTGCCCTTCCGTTTGCATTGTATACATACAGTTGAAACCAGATGTTTAAAAATGTTTGATGTTTGAAAGTCAGATGTTAATTTGACTAAACTTCTCTTTTAGGTAAGTTAGGATGATCACATGTGTTTCTGGTCTGCTTAATAGCAGAATAATGGGAGAGATATTTTTTGAGAAATTGTTGAAACTTTTCTTGATAGGCAAGTTGACATACAATAAGATTATTCTGCCTCTGAAACAGTTTAGAGCAGTGGTTCTCAAACTGTGGTACGTGTACCACTAGTGGTACACAGGCTTCCTTCTAGTGGTACGCGGAGGAATGAAATATGTCATGTACATGCTACACACATTTCAAAATTTATGAAAAATGATATATATATTATGTATAATATATGCCATATATGACATATAGCCTATATTTCTGAGGTGATCTACCACGTTTTTTAACTGTGCAGAGTTGTAGCTGCTTTACTGGGCCTACTGTGCTACTGTAGTTCAATACTGCTCATTTTAGTGGTACTTGGAGAGACAATTTTTTCTGAGGTGGTACTTGATGAAAAAAAGTTTGAGAACCACTGGTTTAGAGGATGGTGTCTTGGTTTTGGAAGTTTCTGATTGGCTAATTGACAACAGTTAATTGAAGACACAACTGTAAAATAGTATTTAAGGAAAACCTCAAACACACTGCTTCCTTGTGTGACAACATGGGAAAATCAACAAGCCAGAATCAACAACAAAGCCAGATTACAATTACCTAAATTACACAGGGAAAAAGACTCATGTTTGGAGGCATGTCCTGTGTTCTGATGGAGCTAAGATTGAACTGTTTGGCCATCATGAGCAGTGTTACATTTGGAGGACAAAGGGGAAAGCTTACAAGCCTAGGAACACCATCCCAACTGTGAAGTATGGGGGCAGCAGCATCATGTTGTGGGGCTGTTTTGCTGCAGGAGGGACTGGTCCACTTCACAGCATAGATGGCATCATGTAGAAAGAACATTATGGAGAAATACTGAAGCAACATCTCAACACATCAGCCAGGAAATTACAACTTGGCCACAAATGGCTCTTCCAAACAGACCATGACCCTCAGCATACTGCCAAATCAGTTCAAATGTGCTTTAAGGACAACAGAGTGAATGTTTTGGAGTGGCCATCACAAAGCCCTGACCTCAATCCTATAGAAAATGTGTGGGCAGAGTTGAAAAAGCTTACGTAACAAGACTGCCTACAAAAATCCGACTCAGTTACACCCGTTCTGTCAGGAGGAATGGGCCAAAATTCCTGCAAACTATTGTGAGATGCTTGTGGAAGGAGACCCAAAACATTTGTCCAAGTTATACAGTTTAAAAATAAAACTAAAAAAATACCAATACCAAGGAAATGTGTGTAAACTTTTGACTGTCTAGAAATTACAAAAAAAAAAAAAAAAAGATAACGTAATTTTGGTAATTTAGGTAATCCTAAATGAGCTAAAATAGTAAACGTTTAGTATGATTTACCATCAGACATTTTTTTAAATGGTTATGTTCCTTTTTTTAGAGTGTATGTAGAATTCTGGTTTCAACTGTATGTATGTATATATATATATATATATATATATATATATATACACACACACACACACACACACACACACACACACACACACACACACACACACACACACACACACACACACACACACAAACACACAAACACACAAACACACATACATACAAATATGTTTAAAAAAAAAAACATGCTTCTCACCTGGGAACACATGTAGAAAAACTAGGAACAGACGCTTGATGCAACCTGCGCTTTCTCTCTAATCTCCTCCACTGGACGCCGTCCTCACAAACCTCAACCGATCCGGCCCTACAACACACAAGACAGACAAAAACTCTCTTTAATATGATGGAGGAGACACTTTTCAGCCAATTAAATGACTGAAGCTTCTTACATGACTGTGCCGACCATTGCTCCCTGCTGTGATGAGTGGAAATGCTGAGTGGGCAGAAGAGTGTGGCATGAGTCTCCACTGGCCTGCACACATAAAACACAGCTTAACACTTTCGCTTTCATTTACACACAATTCATTCACCATACAATCATAATGCAAGACTAACCTTTTTATTTGAATCCACGAATGCATCAGAGTCACCTGCTGGGAATAAAAGAGATTTATGTTGACAAGACTGACAAATAAATCTGTGCAAAGACACAGACAGTTCACACAAAACATGACAATTAACTCAATATTTACTCTCCGTCAAGTGGTTATAAACCTTTGAGATTATTTCTTCTGTTGAACACAAAAGAAGATATTTTGAAGAATGTTAAAAACCTGTAGCCATTAGCCCCTTTCACACAGTGATGCCGGTAAAAATCAGTAAAATTTCCGGAACGACTTTACCAGTATATTTATAAAAGCGCTGTTCATACAGGTGAGGACATCACGGAATTTTTTCCGAAAAAGACTGTTCACACATCCATTCCAAAATACCGGTAAATTCTGACATCATTAACCAGAAATTATCTCTAAATGGCTGCGCTTGCATTTTGACTACATTACAAACTCTGTGGATGGATCAGTATTGTAAACAACTTCGATGAAAACATGAAGGAACACTTTTGCATGTCGAGATGTACATAATATGTGTGTGTGCTGGCGCTCACGGGCTACTTCACGGGCACACGCAACGCATCAAGCAACTGAAGGAAGCAGAGCTTGAAGGTAAACAAACAACGGCTTATCAAAAGTGCATTTGCTCTTTCCGGCAATCTTCCTTCTGCGTTCACACAGCGCAGCATTCCGGCAAATTACCGGTAATCTTACAACTTCTCTTTCCAGAAAATATCCGGAACCAATTTACCGGCATTTTTAAAAAGGGCCTGTTCAAACATACAAGACCTTTCCAGAAAATTGCCGGTAATTTTCCGGAAAGCTCTGTATGTGTGAACAGGGTTATTGACTTCCATAGTAGGACAATATATACTATGCAAGTCAATGCTTACAGGTTTCCAACATTCTTCAAAATATCTTCTTTTGTGTTCAACAGAAGAAAGAAACTCAAACAGGTTTACAATAAAGCAAAAGGTGAGTACATGATGACAGAATGTACATTTTTGGGGTGAACTATACCTTTAATATGTGTAGTGGTGTGTGATATTGACAAAAGTATGATATCCTGGATATATTGTGATTTCAATAGTCAAGTTATTTTAATGATTGTGGTTTTCCTTGGCTGATTTAGATCTTGCATAAATAAATATGACCCTAAAACTCTAATACCACCAGTATTTATGATTCACTGAATGATTTATTCAAATGATTCGTTCCAAACGACTCATTCATTTAGAAACCAATCAAGTGACTGTTATGAATGGATAAATGAATCAATAATTTGTTCATAAACAGACCGTTTAGGTTTGGAAACACTGCAGTGAGAAGCAAACATTTTCTGCTGTAGCTTTGAAATTATTTTTGTTGGTATTAAAAGAAAGAAAAATAAACTTGTTTACTATGAACAATATGAAGTTTCTCATTTGAGTTGACAGCCATGTATATGTACAGTTGAAGTCAGAATTATTAGCCCCCTTCCGATTTTTTTCTAATTTAGATATTTCCTAAATAATGTTGAACAGAGCAAGGACATTTTCACAGTATGTCTGATAATATTTTTCTTCAGGAGAATGTCTTATTTGTTTTATTTCGGCTAGATTAAAAGCAGTTATTAATTTTTTTAAACACTGTTTTAAGGTCAAAATTATTAGCCACTTTAAGCTATATTTTTTCCTTGATAATCTACAGAACAAACCACTGTCAAACAATAAGTGTATAATTACCCTAACCCACCTAGTTAACCTAATTAACCTAGTTAAGCCTTTAAATGTGACTTGAAGCTGTATAGAAGTCTCTTGAAGAATATCTAGTCTAATATTATTTACTGTCATCATGACAAAGACAAAATAAATCAGTTACTAGAGAACAGTTAATAAAACTATTATGATTAGAAATGTGTTGAAAAAAATCTGCTGTCTGTTAAACAGAAATTGGAGAAAAAATATATACAGGGGGTCTAATAATTCAGGGGGGCTAATAATTCTGACTTCAACTGTATATGCAGTGCTATATATTTAAATATGTGGAGTGATTACTAAGTAATCTAATTAAATTACAGCCCAATTACTATCAAATTAAAACATCCTAAATTTAAACTAGCATATTCATTAATGCTTTTTCATCTTACATCAACATATTTCCCATACCAATAGATTAGAAAACGATGAAATAATTGTTAAAAATACTGAAATAATGACATTTTTACAACCAAACATGAACAAAACAAAGATCACGTACATTTTCTGTGGCATTTCTGTTTGGGATTGGCTCTTTTCTCCTGCGTTCTCTCCACACTTCCGGTCTCTGCCCTGTAAAACACACATAACTAATGAACAATCAGACGAACAGCAGAATGAGCATGCACAAACACAGGTAAACAGGACGTACGCAGAGTTTCCACACATGCGTTGACCATCCTGACCGCAGCCCGTGCGATTGTCCATCAGTCTGGGCTTGATCTTCACAGGAAGCTGAAACATAGAGAGGAATCATTTAATATAATCAGGAATACCTTGTATGTATTTTGTTTAGCTTTTTAATTCTACACCATTTCTGCTGGTTTTTTTGTCTTGATTACAAAGTTATTCCTAAGATGGCATGGACCACTGGGGGGGGGTAGGGGGTGAATTTAGTTTTTGTTTTATTGTAAAAGAAATTTGAAGGATTTTTATGGCCTCTCATGTGTAAAATCAATAAGACAATTTGCAGGAATACGATAGAGAGACATGCAGGACATCAGGAAGGCTGACCTTAATGCACTGCTGCGAGGAGCCCTGAAGGAAGATCACGCTGAAGGGTCTGCGGTCCACCGGACAGGACTGAACCATCTGTGGCACAACACACACACACACACACACACACACACACATCATAACACTGCAGATGCAAATTATATACAGGTAGTTCAATCTGGCAGAAAAACACACTTAACATTGGATGGATGCATGGATGGATGGGTGGTTGGATGGGTGGATTGGATGGGTGGATTGGATGGGTGGTTGGATGGGTGGAAGGTTGGATGGGTGGTTGGATGGGTGGATTGGATGGGTGGATTGGATGGGTGGATTGGATGGGTGGTTGAATGGGTGGTTGGATGGGTGGTTGAATGGGTGGTTGGATGGGTGGTTGGATGGGTGGAAGGATGGATGGAAGGTTGGATGGGTGGTTGGATGGGTGGATTGGATGGGTGGTTGGATGGGTGGTAGGATGGGTGGAAGGTTGGATGGGTGGTAGGATGGATGGAAGGTTGGATGGGTGGTTGGATGGGTGGATTGGATGGGGGGTTGGATGGGTGGTTGGATGGGTGGAAGGTTGGATGGGTGGAAGGTTGGATGGGTGGAAGGTTGGATGGGTGGAAGGTTGGATGGGTGGTTGGATGGGTGGTCGGATGGGTGGTCGGATGGGTGGATTGGATGGGTGGATTGGATGGGTGGATTGGATGGGTGGATAGGTAGTTTGATGGGTGGTTGGATGGGTGGAAGGATGGATGGGTGGTTGGATGGGTGGTTGGATGGGTGGATGGATGGATGGATGGATGGATGGATGGGTGGTTGGATGGGTGGATGGGTGGTTGGATGGGTCGATGGATGGGTGGGTGGTTGGATGGGTGGATTGGATGGATGGATGGGTGGGTGGGTGGATGGGTGGGTGGATGGGTGGAGGACAGATAACTGCTTTCAGGGTTTACCATGGTAAGTCAGATATCTTTTCAAGAAATTTGAGGGGGGTTTAAAATAATAAAGATAGCAGACGTCAATGACTTATTTGAATTATTAAGCCTGACATGTTTACTGTTTCAAAATATTTTTTAAATAAATTATACTGTGTTTAATGGGAAAAAATTTTGTTGTTTTTTAACTAGACATTAAAAATAACCATATTTTAGTGAAGTAATCACAATACTGTGATTTTTTTTTTTATTTATTAAAAGGTTATCATATCGACCCATGCCTACATGTACACAACTGCTCGACAATCCCTATAATGCACCATGAGAGTTAATGTGGATGGTCCTTTGCTGCTGGAGATACTGTTGTCTAAATAAAGTCTTTGACACCATAGAAATAACCCCTAAATACTTATGATATACCACAGGAATGGTGTACCAGAACATTTTACCATAACCATTTAAACCATGGCTTTTCCAAACCGTGGTAAACCTTGAAACCGATTATCATCCCATGCTTAGGTTATACAGCGATTAATCTGACCTGTGCCCAGCGAAGGATGCAAGCAGAGCAGTAGACATGTCTGCAGCAGTCGGGAACGGCTCGATCGCTCCGTCTGGGGCGGTTCAGACAGATCGGGCAGCGCTGAGACTCTTCATCCTCCAAAGTGTCCTCCGAGTTCTGACCACCTGAAAAATCACAATGTTGAAGTTTTAATAGTGTTGACACGATCACTGGTATCAAGGTGGTTAGAAAACAACTATTCAAACTGTGTTATTGAAATCATGATTGTTATTGCAAATCAACTGTAAATGTGAATGCATATTTTGATATACAGTAGTCAACAATTGAAGTGGTTCAAATCCTTTCAGAGTTGTCCTAACACTATTAAACAGCCATTCTTGCATTAGGATAATTTTGAAAAACATTTTTGATCCATTTCAAATGTCGACTGCTATAGTCATTTAATAAATACAGTAGTCAACATACGAAAGTCAATCAAAAATGTTTTTCAAAATTGTCCTAGGACAAGAACAGATTTTGTCAATAGTTTAAGACAACTTTGATGAAAGGTGATGGTCCTCTTTAAATGTTGACTACTGCACACAGTCAAGCCTAAAGGTAATCACAGCCCTGGTAAATTCTGACTTAGAGTTTTTCTCCACAATAATGCCTCTTGTAAATTATTGTATTATCTTTTGGGAGAAATCAGGGTAATTTTTGGTTAAAAGAAAAAAAAAAAAGATTTAATTAAAGTGAATTTAGGTCAGAATATGCAAAGATTATGATTAAATACAGGCTTCACTGTATAATGTGTTTTAGGACTGCACAATATATCATTTCATCATCAATATCTCAAAACTTACATCGCAGGATATGCAATGTTCAGTCTTGACCAGAAGCTATAGAACTGTATTTAATTACTGTATTTATATGAAAAAAGCACTTCAAATTTTGTCTTGTTTTTATTCAAAACATCTACATTTCTAAGCGAAAACAAGATTATTTTACCTACCCCGTGCACTGGCAGATTATTTAGCTTGTGTTAACTCTTAAATTTGACTTACTACTTCTGAAGTTGAAAACAAAGCAATATTTTTACTTGCTGCAAGAATGTATTGATACTTGGACTAGAAACCAGACAAAGCAAAATTAAGAAAGCATTTTATTTGGCATCGTGATTATTCAATTTCTATACCTGAATATGTTAGACTGTCAACTACTGTTAAGACTGTCAATAAAAAAGGTCAATTAGTGCTATTAACTATCTTGTGAAACTATACTCATAATCCATTCATTCATTTTCTTGTCGGCTTAGTCCCTTTATTAATCTGAGGTCGCCACAGTGGAATGAACCACCAACTTATCCAGCAAGTTTTTACGCAGCGGATGCCCTTCCAGCCACAACCCATCTCTGGAAAATATACTTATTATCGCAATATTTAATCGCAAAAAAATAAAATATCGCAATCTCAGACTTTTAATATTGTGCCGCACTAATATTTTTACTCTTTTCTTTTCTATTTATTTAATGTATTTATTCTAAATATAATATACTGTATCTATAATTTTAATTTACAGTTTGTTGCACACTATTGTAAATACTAACTATTGTGAAAACTTAAAAAATAAATAATAATAATAAAAAACTCTGTCCAACATGTCTAAACGAGATATTTTCATCAAATCAAACAACCTTTTTTGGCTTTTATAAAGGAGCTTAATGAGGTTTTGTGAAAAACAAGGGAAACATGGATCCCTGTGAGGGAAATTTCCAAGACTTAACAAACAAAACCTTCAATAAGAAAACCAAATGTTTCAATAAAAATATGCACATGAATTAGGGCTGCACAAGCATCGATATCGCAATGTGTGAATCTGCAATAGCCACATCGCAAGATATGCAATGTTGAGTCTGAATTATAGTTGACCAGGAGCTAGTTAGTTACTGTATTTATACAGAATTTATATGACTTATGCAAAAAACAACAACAACAACAACATTTTTTCTTACTTAGAATTGTTATCTTGTTTCTAGTCCAAATATCTCCATTTAGAAGCAGAAACAAGATTATTTTACTCAACCAGCTGGCAGATAATTTAGCTTCTTTTAAGGAAAAACTCCTAATTTTGCAAAGTAGAAAAAAAACAACAACAATATTTTCACTTAAATCGAAGAATTTTTTTGATATTTGTAATAGAATTAAGACAAAGCAAAGTAAGAAAGGCAATTACACCACTGGGATTATTTAATTTCTATAACTGAATACTGTTAGACTCCCCAAAAAAACATCAAATAGTTATTAAACTATCTTATGAAACTGAACTTACGTCGCAATATTTATCACAGAAACATTAAATATAGCAATCTCAGATTCTTACCAATACCGTGCAGCCCTAATGCATTTCTTCTCAATACAATATACAGTATCTATTCTTTTAATTTACAGTGTGTTGCACACTATTGTGAATTCTAACATGAAGCTTGTCTTCATAAAAATAAATAACAAGTAAATAAATAAAACAAATCTGTCCAACATGTCTAAACGAGATATTTTCATCTAATCAAACAACCCTTTTTAGCTTTTATAAAGCAGCTTTATGAAGTTTTGTGAAAAACAAGGGAAACATGGATGTCTGTAAGGAAAATTTCCAAGTGCAGATTTAAAAAAATAATATCTTCAATAAGAAAACCAAATGTTCCTATAGAAATATGCAAATGAAATAATAGAAACAGACATAAACAAACCCCAAAATTCACAGATCATCATTTATGTTGTTTATAAAGCTGCCAGTTTAATTTATTATCTTTTCCTTTCAGATACAAAGTTTAACGTATTGTCTTAAATGTGTGTGACATTATTCATGAACACTGTAACAAAACAGTGGTGATATTAATAACTGCGATCAATTTGGTCACTATAATCGTGATTACTAAAGAGTTTTTGTCTTGCTTCTAGTCTAAACATCTTCAAATTCTTAAATCAAGAAGCATTTTCTAGACAAGTAAACATTATTGTATTGTTTTGAAAAATAATATGTTAAAATTGACTGAGTTTTTCCTTAAAACAAGCAAAATAATCAGCCAATGGGGTAATCAAAATAACCTCATGCCAAAACGAATAACAACATTATTCAGTTCACCCCAATTTTGGCTTGTTATTTCAGAAAACAAGATAATATTTAGTGCTTGTCCAAAAAATGCTTCTTGTTTTAATAATTTTCAGATATTTAGACAAGAAACAACACAAAAACTCTGAGTTATAAAAGCATTTCTAGTAGTGTACATGTTTTAATAACAATACTGTACACAAAGCAACCAAAGGAATAATACCCAAACACAAGGGACACATTTCAGACGAACTTAACAGCTCAATCAGTGTATTATGTGTGTAAATAAACAAACAGCACGAGCAGATTTCAAAATAAATCAAATAAAAGCCCCACTCACCCTTTCCTGGCCCTTCCTGCATCTTTGGCTCCGGGTCACAGCAGCTCTGAGCCCTCGATTACTTCACCAGCACATTTGCAGAAATAAAAACATATACAATAAGTATAACTGTGCCACATTATGCCTATAATAATGACAGCACTGTGTCTTTATTTACTCTGTTTACTCTCTCACTCTCTCTCTCGGCACAGCTGAAGTTAGTTGTTCATTAGCCATGTTTAAATGAGACACAGGTCTCATTTAAATACACGAGTGCTCATTTAAGTAAGTCCTCTGCGTGTTATTGGTGCGGATAACACAGAAATACGCACGCAGAGATGTTTACGTGCCGTGTTTATAAGTTCAGACTGTTGTTTATCAGTGTGACGCGGCTAGCTGTGTTAGCATCTGCTGTCATTAGCACACACTCACCTCCGCGCGCGTTCCTCCACAGACTTCAGATCATATAATAACACACTCGTCGCTCCTCAGCGCAGAAATACACACTTTTCTGGCACTTTCATCAATACTTGTGCTCGTAATCTCGATAGATTTAAAGGCGTCCGGCCACATGTGGGTCAGAGGCTGCAGTTCCGCCTCTTCACCGCTGAGTGGCGCTGCTACGGGGCATGACGGGAGACTCCCTGCGTCATCACGTAGGGTTTAAGGTTCACCGACGTAGTCTTTTTTGTTTTTAATTAAAGGGGTGGTCCTATATTTAAATGTTCACATATTTGCTTGAACAATAATAGAAAAGCATTAATACTTTTAAATTGGCACAAAAGACGATTATTTTACATTCATAAACTTAACATCGACATTAGCAATAATACTAATTCAACCATACAAAATTATATAAATATTTAAATAATATAATAACGATAAAATAGCGAATACAATAATAAAAAATAATCAGAAGGAGAGTTTAAGTTCTCATAATTCACGGAGGTAAAATTCAACGATGACTCTTTTATTTATTTATTTATTGAACACATAGTAATGTAAAACAACTTTAAATTCTCAATTCTTCTTCACATTACAAAAAAAATAACAAATGCAATAAAAGGGAATCAATTATACACATAGATAATAACAAAAATTCAACGAGAACTGCAAGCAAGCGGGTTGTTGCTAGAAGGGATACAGCTGCGGCCGGAAGTTAACGATAATAATTTCTACTATTTATTAAATTAACCGTTAAATTGTATTTTATTAACGTCTACCCCTACCCAAAACCTAAACTCAACCCTCAGAGTAATGTAAAAATATGACTTATTGTTGTACAACGTCATAATCATGATGCTTTATTGACGCGTGTCCTCAGTTGTATCCTATCTAACGCTATTTAGTCCAGCAGAGGGGGCTCAAAGATTACACAATACCCAAAAGCGCGTAATAAATCAATTATTATCCATATAACCGATACTTTATTGTTGATTTTAGTCCGTTTTATTGGATTTAGTCAATTCTAGTTTCATCTGCAATTAAAAAAGTTCATTTTACAGGCCATAGAGGGGATTTATAAATGTGACGTCTTATTTTGAAAATATTATATGTGACCTTGTATGACCTTCAGGTCTGGACAATAATATTTGAAACAATAATTCATTTTCCTTTGCCTTAGTCCCTTTATTCATTAGGGGTCGCCACAGGGGAATGAACCGCCAACTATTTCAGCATATGTTTTACATAGCTGATGTCCTTGCAGCTGCATCCCAGTACTGGGAAACACCCGTACATTCATATTCACACACATACACTACTGCCAATTTGCTTTATTCAATTCATAGCGCATGCGTTTGGACTGTGGGGGAAACCGGAGCACCCAGAGAAAAGTCACACCAACAAGACGCAGCACGATGGCTCAGACGGCACTGTCACCTCACAGCAAGGTGGTCTCTGGTTCGAGTCCCTGCGGGGTCAGTTGGCACAGTCCAAACACACGCACTATAGGGGAATTAGATAAACTAAATTAGCCGTAGTGTTTGAGATTGTACAGATGTTTCCCAGCACTGGGTTGCAGCTGGAAGAGCATCCGCTGAGTTAAAAACATATCCTATAATAGATGGTGGTTCCTTCCGCTGTGGTGACCCCTAATAAATAAGACACTAAGCCAAAGAAAAATGAATAAATAAACTGAAGTCAAAGTATTTCCATTAAAGTAACTCGATGACAGATTTATGAAGTTAATTTTAAAAGATCACACGTGACCTTGTATGACCTTCAGGCCTGAATGATAATATTTGAAGCACAGTGTTCCCATTAAGTAACTCGCTGACTCATAGCTGGGTTATCTTGAACCTTTAATAGACATTAATTACATGATATACATAGTGTTTCATTGAAACAAGAGCGTATCATTCGCAGGAATGGCCTCTTGTACATGAGGAGCTTCGACCCCTCGCAGGTTTGAGTACAGCATTTTAGTAGTAATGTAAAAGTGTGTGTTCATGTGTGTGTGTGTGTGTGTGTGTGTGTAGAGGGTCGATCGAAACCCAGAAGCACACACTGAGGGACATGTAAAGTCATATTTTAAACATGTTGAGCAAAATTGAGAAGGAATAAAAAGCCCAAAACAACAGCATATATACACTTCACCATTCTGTGGTCTATACACATATATACAATATATATTCATATATAAATATAGTAAAATAGATTAAATTACACTGATGTTCTTCCATAAATAACGGCTGGAGAGTAACAGGTTGCTGACACGTGAGGTTGAGCTGTTGGAAGCACACAGTGAGGTGTGTGTGTGTGTGTGTGTGGTCATTCATCACACTCATAACGGCTGATTAGTGTAGACACACACTCCTCATCTGTCTATCTGTCTGTCTCTCAATAATGGAGTATCTTCAAGCTGCCGATGGCAAACACTGAAATGGTAAATTAATCACTCTTCAACAGCGATGTTTGGCATCTGATTCTGCGCTTAAAACATAAAACCAGCAGAACGAATGACCATTGAACAGAGATGCTTTAAAGTTAACGCAAACCTAAACTCATTTTGCTTCCGTTTCCCCGTTCACCAAGGTAAAGCAGTCATAAAAAGCACAGCAAAAATAAAAACACGGTGTCTTAAAGGGGCAGTTCACACAAAAATCAAATTCTGTCACCATTTGATCACCATTACGAGCTTCTTTCTGCTGCTGAACACAAAAGAAGATATTTTGAAGAATGCTCACTTTCAGTAGTGTTACTTGTTACAACTATGCGAGTCAATGGTTTCCAACATTCTTCAAAGTATCTTCTTTTTTGTTCAACAGAAGAAAGAAATTCTGGAAACATTTGAGGGTGAATAAATAGTGCGTTCATTATATCTATGGGTGAACTCTCCCTTTAAATCTTTTATTTTGACCATATTGTCGTAACCTTCGTATTATTAATGTTAAAGATTTGAGAAAGGATGCATCTTCTACATCAGTCTTAAACAATGATTAAATCATTTTAACGACTGATAACCGTGATTTAGTTATTTCAGGTCAACGTGAAACAACATTAGCAGCTCATTCGACTTTAATAATGTGATGGATATTAAATTTCCATCATCATCATTCACTACCGTTATCGCTACCTTCATTGTATTAATGTTAAGCAACATTAAAGGAAGGGAATAATCCCTACAGTAGACTAAAGGGCCGTTCACAGCAAGTATGATCACTATAAATACAACAATAAGGATAAGTCTAAATGTAAACCAGCAGCAGAGTTCAGATCACAGCTATAACTATAAAGATGTGGAGAAATGAATTACTTTCAGACTGATTTTGTCCAGCTAATACATGATTAAACCCTGACAGCCGGTCAGAATCCATTAAATAATAAGGATTTACGCAATTTAAAGCAACAGCAGACATTGTGGAGAAGCTCTGCCTGATGTTAAACCTTCTTTAAAATGTTATTTAAGATGATGACTATAATGGGTGACACGGTGGCGCAGTAGGTAATGCTGTCGCCTCACACCGTGAAAGCCGCTGGTTCGATCTCCAGCTGGGTTAGTTGGCATTTCCGTGTGGAGTTTGCATGTTCTCCCCGCGTTCGCGTGGGATTCCTCCGGGTGCTCCGGTTTCCCCCACAAGTCCAATGACATGTGGTACAGGTGACCTGGGTAAGCTAAATTGTCTGTAGTGTATGAGTGTGAATGGATGTTTCCCAGTGATGGGTTGCTGCTGCAAGTGTAAATACTTGCTGGATAAGTTGGCGGTTCATTCAACTGTGGCGACCCCGGATTAATAAAGGGACTAAGCAGAAAAGAAAATGAATGAATAATGACTATAATATAATTGATTATTCCATGGGGAGTAATGACACATATGTACATTGAAGTCAGGCTAGCAAAAAAAGCTAAAGCATAAAAATGAAAGTACCTCAGGTATTCAGTGCTAGCTTTGGCGTGTTTGTAAATGCTGGAGGCAATAATGAAATACACTTACTAAAATGGCTAAATTCACTGTTTATATTATGTTACATAAATTACACAAGCTGGATTCACTGGTCAGATTCACTAGAAATGCAGCACACCGAGGACATCTGCTGGATAAAAGGGGGTATTGCAAAAGAAAAGACTAAAACTAAATGTTCTTGCTTGCTGGCGATGACATAAATAGTAGTAATATTTGTACAGTTATCATCATTACTATGTGAACAGCCCTTTAAATAACAGTTATTAAAGTATTAATGAACATCATTTTGATGTGTCGTATCGTCTCAGATAACACGTGATGAAGAACCGCTCCAGATTAGATAAGAAAAGTGAGTTTTAATCTCACATCGACTTTAAAGCAGCCATCACTGTGGTGAAATTCAGCCGTTCCGCCTGTCTGAAATCAACAACTACTGCTGATTATTTGTTCATTAGTAGATCTACACGACAGGTAAAGGTGACTCAAGTAGTAGTACAGTATAAATGGCATCGTAACCAATGCAATTTAAAGCACAGGCAAAATGTGCGAAATGACAGTTCTGTTTTTCACATTTGCTGAATAAAGACTAAGTGCTTATCCACATATAAAAACACCAATATTGTTTTTGGCAAGGGTACAAACGGATCGCTCCGCTCGCTCAGTACGCTTTTGGTTTGTGAGAAAACGAAACGCTAAACCTGAAACCGGTTGAAGGATGCACACGCTCCCGTACCAGCTGTACCAGACGAACAACGTAAAAAAGAAAAGCAAATCAACAACAAAACAAATACGCGTGGATCACCATCTGTGTGGCCTAACGGGATACTGTACAGAGTTCAGAACATTCTCTCAGAATGGGATGTTTGTCTTTGCTCTGCGCTGATAATAGAGCAGCTTCTTCTAGATCTCAGTAGCAGCGCAAGCGGCTTGGCTCCGCCCACCTGCCTGTCAATCACAGTCAGGACACGCCCACTAATGGCCACCAGTGTGTTCTTCTGAAGATAACGCATTGTGGATCCAGTCCATGATGATTAAGGCCATGCTGCCGGTCATCACCAGGAAGCCCATAATGAGAAACAATGTGGCCTGATGAGGAGGAGAAGAGTGATGAGAGACTCTATCAAACCACTTCAGAATCCTTTAAATACATGCAGATGGATTTAAATGTCTTACCCCGATTTTCTGGACTGATTTCATAGACTCTTTCTTCACTAGTTTGATGTAGAAAGCTGAAGGCAGGATGAAAATCAGCATAGCAGCAGCAGACGCACCTGAAGACAGACAGGAAAAAAAATATATATTTACATATGATAAAAATAATAATACAATAAAATAAAAAAGACCTACTTTTATAGGATATATTTTAGGCAACCTGATAATAAAATACATTTAAATATATATATAAAATAAATATAATTTTATAACATATATTTTATATAATATTATGTAAAAAATAATCCAATAAAAACTATAATTATAAGATATTTGATAATTTTATAAGACATATAAATATCCTATAAAATATCTTGTAAAATGATTAATAGTTAATTTATAGAAAATAAAATTCATATAATCCAAAGAAAAAATACAAATATTATAAAATATATATAATTTATATATATTTTATTTACGCAATGTAATAAAAATAATAATAATAAAAATACACATAGTTTTACAAGGTTTAAGTTATTTATAGATAGATAGATAGATGGATAGATGGATAGATGGATAGATGGATAGATAGATAGATAGATAGATAGATAGATAGATGGATAGATGGATAGATAGATAAGATGGATAGATGGATAGATGGATAGGTGATAGATAGATAGATAGATAGATAGATAGATAGATAGATAGATAGATGGATAGATGGATAGATGGATAGATAGATAGATAGATAGATAGATAGATAGATAGATAGATAGATAGATAGATAGATAGATAGATAGATAGATAGATAGATAAGATGGATAGATAGATGGATAGATGGATACGTGGATAGGTGATAGATAGATAGATGGATGGATAGATGGATAGATGGATGGACGGACGGATAGGTGATAGAGAGCTGCACCCACCGATGAAGCCGAAGATGTCTCTGATGGTGGGAACGAAGATGACGAGGATATTGACGCAGACCAGCAGAGCGACGGTAATGCAGATGTGCCGCGGCCAGCTGAACTCCTTACTGGCGCCCAGCAGATGGTTGACAGAGGTGCGGATCTGCAACATTCAGCAAACATCCAGTCAACACTCCCGCAAACCTTTTATGCATGCTCTAATGCAGTGTTTCCTAACCCTGTTCCTGAAAGCTTAGAATTGAATTGAACATTGGAAGGGACTCCACAAGCTGAGGTTAATGGGTCAGATAAGGGAGACGTGCATGTATTTTTTCCAGAATAAACCACTGTTATACAATGACTTGTCTAATTACCCTAACTTTACCATAATTACTCTAGTTAAGCCTTTAAATGTCGCTGAATACTAGTGTCTTGAAGAATGTCTAGTCTAATATTATGTGCTGTCATTATGGCAAAGATAAAAGAAATCAGCTATATTAAAAGAGTTGTTAAAACTATTGTGTTTAGAAATGTGTTGAAAATAATCTTCTAATAATTCAGACTTCTGACAATTGTAAATAAAAAATATTCTCACCGGGAAGAGAACCACAGGCACAGTCAATGTAACGGCGGTCAGGACGGCCAAACGAACGATCAGAAGCACCACATCGAAATTGTAGACCTTTGAGTATGTGTGCAGGAGCTCGGGTTCAACAGCCTCTGTGGAGAAGAATAAGCAATAAACACATCAGTTACTTCATCCACTTCACACTACACACACTAGCCATCACATATCAGCTATTTCATCAATATACTTACTATATCAATCATGCTTATTTTTCAATGTTTTAATAAGAATACATTAGTACTAAAATGTGATATATTTAGTTGATATTTTTAGTTTAGTTTTTAACTATTTTTTATTTACATTTTTTATTATATATTATTAAAATATAATTTAAATATACAGTAAATATATATATATATATATATATATATATATATATATATATATATATATATATATATATATATAAATATATATAAACTATCATGTTTATTTACTATTTCTGAACATTATTAAAAATGTAATCATTTTTAAGTTATATTTATTATATATCTCTATATGTTCTAAATTACAAATTAAAAGCTTTTTTATCAATATATTTACTATATCAATTATGTTTATATTTAAATGTTTTAATACATTTTTACTTTATTTAGTTGATATGTTTTATTTGTTTTTTTTGTTATTTATATTTTTTATACTTTTTTTATTTTTGAATCACAATATGTTATAAAATACAAATTCAAATAAAAAATTATAATAAGAAATATTGAATATGTTCTATCTATAATATTGAACATGCTAAAATATATTTTATATTTCTTTAGAGCTATTTTAGCTTTTTTATCAATATATTTACTAAATCAACTGTTTATATTTAATTTTTTTATATAGTTGCACTAAAATGTAATATAGTTAGCTGATATTTTCAGTTTAATTAGATATTTAGCTATTTTTAGTAAACTTTAGTTAGCTATTTGTTCATTTTTTGTTAATTAATAGTTAATGTTCTAATACACTAAAATAAAAAATAATTAAGTATTAAGATGTTTTATATTTTTATTTATTATATCTTGAATAATGAACATGTTGACATATTTTATATTTATTTAATTTTATATTTTATTTAATATTAAGTAACAAGTCAAGTTTTTATTTTAAAATTGGAAACAAAATGATAATGAGTTTAAAGTTTAAATATATTTTTATTGAATATTTTATACTTACATTAAACATTATATTGAAATATATTTTATATTCACTTGATTTTATATTATACATTATAGTCAAGTTTTTAAATTAATATATTTAATTTAATAAAACAAAATGAGAATGAGATATCTATTTTAATATTAAATAATATATATTTATATTGAACATGTTGAATTTTTTTTCATTTTATATTATATAACATAAGTCAAGTTTTTATATCAATATTTTAAAAAAATGAGAAAGAGAAAAGTTGAAATATTTAATATTGAATATTTTATGTTTAAATTGAATATGTTGAAATATATTTAATATTTATTTATTTTATATTTATTTAATATTACATAACATAAGTCAAATTTTTATATTAATATTTAACAACGAGAATTTTTTAGTACATTTAATATTAAACATTATATAGTTATATTAATTGTTGAAATAGATTTTTATATTTGTAATGTAACATTATATTATAAAAAATGTCAAGTTTTAATAATAATATTTAAAACAAACTGACAATAAGTTTAAATAGATTTTATATTTATTTCATTTAATATTCTAAAATATAAAATGTGATTTTGATGTTTTTGATATTTTAAACAAACTGCTATTGAGAAATGTTGAAATATGTTATATAGAATATATTGAAATATATTTTGCATTATATAATATGTCATGTTTTTAAATATTTACATTGAAAGCAGTCTCTCTCTGAAGAAACAATAATGTTTTGTTTAGTTTTATTTTAGTTGCACTGATCCAAACAAATAAACAGAAAAACCTTTTATTACTTTTAATAAAACTATGTCTAACACATCAAACAACAGATCCCACAAGAATGTTTATTTTCCCTGGTCTGAGAAATCCCTCTGTTGCATAACCTTTCCCATCTATCAGGACAGAGTAAAAACATCAAATGTGATGTTCTGTTCCTGCTGCGGCAAACAGCTGAACGCCCCTTATTTATTCCCAAAACTTGCGAAACAGATCAGACTGAAAGCTGGCTTTGGTCCGGCTCAATCCGCAGGCCTTTAACACACACACCTCCATTAAAGCAAACAGTGCGGCTCTGAAACTGGCATCAGACAGAGGTTTCGTAACGCGCTCTGATGTGGACATGTGTCTGCGTTTCGCTCACCATTGAAGGTCAGGTATCCAAACAGCGCAGCCAGCAGATACATAATAAACATTCCCAGAAACGACACATTAGCAACGTTCTGCATCTTCCTCCTGGAGCGACTGCAGAGAGAAGAGAAAGATACAGTTACTTTCAGAGGTTGATGCATTTCATCCGGATCAATTTTACAATTTAACTTTTATATAAAAACAGGATTTTAAATTTTTTAAAAAAAATAAATAAACAAAATAAATACATATAAATGAATACCAATTAAATAAATAACAATTATAAGATTGAATACAAAACAACTAATGCAAACGGGGAATACATTTTTTTTATTATTGTTGTTGTAAAATTAAAAATAAAAAGATTGCACATTTTTTGTAATAATGTTATTTATTTATAATTTTACAACAACAATTGCGGCAATTATAGTAACTTTTACTTTATTTTTGTATTAATAGTTAAGTTGTTATTATTCAAAATGTCACATTTCACTCTAATACATACCTGTGCACCAATTTTATTTTCATATTCATTTTATTGATAAATTATTTGCCCTTCTGAGAAGCTTTTTTTTTTTTTTTTTTTTTTTACAGTTTTCTCAAATTATATTTAATACAGCATAGATATTTTCCAAGTATTTCCTATGATATTTTTTCCTCTTATAAAGCTTAATAAAAGCAGTTTTTAAACATGTTAAAGTCGATATTGGAAATTATTTATTTTGGTTCAGACCACTATTATCCAATGACTTAGTTAATCTAATGAACCTAGTTAAGCCTTTAAATGTCAATTTAAGCTATTACTAGTGTCTCGCTAAATATCTAGTAAAATATTCTGTGTTGTTATCATGACAACAAAATAAATTAGAAAAGAAAACTTGTTGAACAACACATGGGAAATATTTTGTAACAGTAATAATCTGTCACACTGTACCTTTAACTGTCTCTTCAAACACATTCCAATTACATTTAAATTTCAAAAAAGAATTCTGCATCCTGTTTGGAATCGCAGTTCTAAATTCAAAAATGTAATATCTTGCAAAATGACGATTCAAATATTATGCACTGCCATCATGATGAAGACCAAAAGAAAATAACTTTCATTAAAACTATTATATTTTAAAAATGATCATTTGAAAAAGGATGCAAACTTAAAATAATTTAGTCTTCAACCACATGAAAAGCATCTATTCATCATCTGCGGGTAAAAAAAGCTGTACTCACTCTTTGAGCTCCTCATACATGGGCAGAATGGCCGGATGGCACACAAAGGCAAAAGTCAGGATGGGCACAGCATACACAGTCTACAGAGTCACACAGATCAGCACATTAGTCTCAGTCAAACACAAGCATGGAAACACAGTATGGACCCTTCCACAAGACGTGTTTAACAGTCATCAGCATCTTAAATCATTGAAAGTTTTTAATATGTAGATATTTTTCAAATGCATGAACATTTCTATGTATTTATGTATATTTAAGATCATCTCTGTGTCAAATTACCAAGAATGAATGACCGCTTATGCGAGGTGTTTCTAATGCAGCATCTATGGGGCCAAGACAGTAAATCTGACAATATTTTTTCTTCTAACTGCCATTATCAGTCTCACACTATTGTTTCCTTTTTCTGAAAGTCTTGATAACACCATCATTTTCTTTAATTATTTCAGCAAATATTCGCATTCACATTCACTGTGATCTAAGTATATCAACTATGAGGATCTCTGCTCATGTGAAAAGTCTCCATGATCTCCAGTGCTGTACCTGTGAGTTGAAGATGAAGTATTTGGGTTTGCAGCACTCTTCATCGGTGCTGTTGTTGGTCTGCGGCGGCTGAGAGACGTTCACTGTGATGTTAATGAAGTTTTCAGGCAGCGGACAGGGGATCTGGAACTTCTTGTAGATCACCTGCAGAACAAAAGGAGGAGGAACAGCTCATTAGACTCACAACAGCAGCTCTCGCTTTCATTTGCACATCTTTTACTATGGTAAACCACCGCATTATTCGGGGAGTATCTCAACACTCACCACAATAAGGAAGAACACCATGCACAACAAGGAGAATCCACTGGTGTAGCCCAGATAACCTGAAGCAGAAGACAAAAACCATGAGGATCAACTCAACACACACACATACACACATACACAAATATATAGATATATACTTATGATTATTATTAGTAGTAGTATATTTATATACATGTTTAAAATTACATAATAAAAAAGCATTATTATATCATTATTAACATAAACTATGCCATATCAAACTGATGATTTATTTATAAATAATGTTATAAAATGCGTGTGTGTGTGTGTGTTACACATATAAACTGTATTAATCGACATTATATACAATTAATACTATAATAAAAGTGATATATAATTAATACAATATTATATTAGACACATTAATTATCTATGCTTTTAATTTATTATTATATACTTTTTCCCTTTTTTATCAATAATTAAGAAATATGGTATTAATAATTTAGTTGTAATTATTTAAACTAACATTTCAACAAGGGCTGGGCTGATAAATGATACTATATTGAATCGCGATAAAATTTATGTCAATAACAATGATAAGCTCTGGATATTTTATATTGATCAAAGAGCCAATCACACAGCAGAAATGTGCAACAATATTGCCCTACTTTAAGGACAGTCTGGGAGGGGCTTTTATTTTAACCTCCTCCTCCCAAAAATATGTTCCACCATGTAATAGACCGTCTAATTTTTTGGCTTCAGCCCTTCTTGGGGTACTCTTTTAAATCTGGAAGCATTAACAACCTAATTAAAAATATATTGTTATCATTCAATATGGAAAATAATTATTGAGATCGCATATTTGCCATATCGCTCAGCCCTACTTTAAACCACGAAAATAATTTTACTACAATTTTATTTTTACAATAATTGTGTGTGTGTGTGTGTATGTGTGTGTGTGTATATATATATATATATATATATATATATATATATATATATATATATACACACACACACCAAATTTTAATTATATAACAAAATATTAAAATTATCAATAACAAAAATTTTATTTATATACATATCTCTTACGTCTTAAAATATTAATTTTATAGTAATTTGATCTATTATAAAATCATAATACAAATATATCTATAAAATAAATAAACAAAAAAAATAAAAAAATAAACAAACGAATAAATAAATAAATGCGTTTGACATTTTTATGATGAAGAGAAAAGGATTAACATCCAACATGCAATATGTAATTTTGTATTTTTTCTGGGGTAACATTCAAACACTCACCCAGGTTTTTGAGCAGCGAGAGAGGCAGGATGATGCTCATAGTGACGATCAATACCAGGTAATCTCCGTTAGTGTACCACGCACTGCAAAACACACACAAACACAAATATTAGCACACTTAGGAAATGACACGCAGCTGTTCAGCAACATCCTGTTTCGCAAAATAATCCGTGAGCATGTGAGGTTTATGGGGCCGTGTATCTTGTGGCTTTGTGCGCAGGGGCCTTTGGGCTCCATGTAGGGGTCTGAATGTTTGATGTCAGTGTTTGTTGTATTAGGTCACTGTCACAAAAGCTCTCAGACCCCCCGACCGGACAGCTGTACAATGAACAGCGCTCACACTGTTCGTACACAGAGCTGGAAAACATTCCAGGACAACAACAACTACAACAACACTGGCCTTTCTGTTCAGCCCTCACATCATCCATGAGATAAACACACACATCTGCACTGCAGTAAATCAGCCTGACAGGGACATATGCTGATATTCAATAGCTCAATATATGCTGATAACAATATTGATATCATGGGGAGTCCAAAATATAGGGAATGATGCTGTATTTGCAGTGTTCATCAGAACTACATGCTTAAAGACTTAGAATTTTGGTCATTTAGCACATGCTTGTTCAAAGTGACTAATAATTGAATGTTTTCATGTTAATCTGGAATATGAAGTTGAAAAAACATTGAAAATTCTGCCTATTTATTGGGCTATTGTTAGTTAACTGTATAGCGAGTTTCCCTTTGTTAACATCAGTTGATTTAACTTAAGTCAATGTAATGTGTATCGGTGTAATCACAGCGGAAGTTCATTTCTTGGCTAATTACTAATAACGCTTTAAATCTATAGTCCTAATCATTTTATTAAACGGAATTAATAACTAATAAATTCAGTAGTTTTTTAAATTAACTATAACATACATCTATAATATTGCCATTTGTCACAGTTGATTTTAATGCATTAACTAACATCACGATTGAGACTTTATTGTAAAGTGTTTCCTATAGTACTTTATAACTAATTTAATTAGCAATTCAATTTGTTCAAAAGCCTTTATCTACTCTGAACATGTATGTGCAGTAAGGCAATACACTTGGTATTTCGGGTCATTATACTTTTATAGGTTATTATGCATCTTAGGTCAATATCATAGTAATACCGTATAAAAGCTTTAGCTTTTAATCACAACAAGAACAGATAATACTCTCATAATCTTAGTCTGAGGTGAAATCTGGGCAGCACTGTAGCCTCACAGCAAGAAGGTTGCTGGTTCAAGTCCCGGCTGGGAAAGTTTGTATGTTCTACCCTTGTTGGCGTGGTTTCCTCTGGGTCGGTTTCCCCCACAGTCCAAACACCATGCACTATAGGTGAATTGAATAAACTAAACTGTACATAGTGTATAAGTGTGTGTGAATGAGTGTGTATGGGTGTTTCCCAATACTGGGTTGTGGCTGGAAGGGCATCCGCTGCATAAAACATATGCTGGAATAGTTGGCGATTCATCCCGCTGTGGCAACTCCTTATAAATAAAGGACTAAGCTGAAGGAAAATGAATAAATGAGGTGAAATCTTACTTGTCATTGGAGTCTAAGAAGGCCCTGATGACGATGGGCAGCTCATACTTCACGATGTAGAGGTAACTCGCCATAGCTGTGATGCAAAAAAACACTTTAGCATCTTAGCAATTAGCAATTTATCATCTTATAGCATCTTCTAGCAAAGCAAACACCATGTAAGTGCATGTGCAGAGTGCAGGCCGTACCTCCAAAGTTCTGCATAGTGATAGAGCAGGACGCTGCCAGCTTGCCAGGAATCCCGAACGCTTTGTACCCCAGCTGTTCGTACACCAGAGACCCTGGACGGAAGGGTCAGAGTATTAAAACATGTGCTTATCACTGTTAAAAATAGAAAGAGCCATGCACACAGAAGCCCACCTCCTTCATTGGCCGTTTTGAGCAGCAGATGGACTGAGTACAGCGAGAAAATGGCCACAGCCACCAGCAGGATCCTACACAAAACACACACAAAAATAGATGAATTATTAAAATCGCTCTCAAAGCTCTCTTGAGGGTTGAAATGTTCTGTTTGTGCACATGAAGAAGCATTTTATCTCAAGCATATTGAACACGAATAGACAATTTGAACTGCAGTATAAAACCCAGCAAACATTTATGTCAGCATGTAAGGTTATGTTACACTGTAAAACCCAATAAGTTAAGTTAACTTAAACTGTTTGAGGAGTTTCTAAGCAAAACTGTAAACTATATGACTATGCATAGAGTCATATACATATAGATTATTTGTGTTGATAATTTGTGTCGTGAAACTGTTAGAGTATTAGCAACGTAAACATTTTAGGTTCAGCTATCAAATCGCTGCGAGTTCAAGAATTAAGTCATGAATTAAGTTCAAACAACAATATAGCTACTTAAATGTTTTGGCATTGCTTTTACCATTATAGTAATCACAAAAAAATAATTAAATCATTTATAACTCATTCATTCATATTAATTTATTTGTTTTGAGTTCTGCTTGATATAATCAATTTATGAAATACGAAAACTCTTTTTCGTTGAGTCAAAGTAACCTCGAAGAAATTATAAGCTAAGCTAACTTATTTCATTAAGGGATTTTAACTGCTAGGTTTTACAGTGTACTAAAATAACGTTTCTGTGATATTCTTGTAATAATAATGTAGTCAATGTTAATAAAACAATGCATATGTAATGTTATTAAAACATTTTTAAAAACGTCTTGAGAACATTATAATAACATTAGACTAAAGCACTTTTGAATAATGCAATTATAACAAAAAAGAAACATCAAAACATTGTCTAAAAATAATAAGGTAATGTTTTTAGTACTGGGAAACTGCTCTGGTTGATTGGATTTCCAGTGTTCTAATCTTCTACAGGCTTTTTTTGCCATTTTTATGGTGAGTAACAAGCTTAAATACCAAAATATAATAATTAAAAACACTATTTCCAATTTAATTTATATAAAAACTATAAAATATTTCAAACGTTGAGTCACTTAAATTGATTCAGAAGTGTTTGTTCGGTCATATTAACGGCTAATCGTTTTTTCCTGTTAAATTAAAATACTATTATTTGCGTATTTTTAATTTGCTATTTCTTTGTAACTCCTTGTAAAATTTACTGATCATTTTCTGCCCCATCTCTTCTATCATAAGGTCATTTAAACCATCAGAGTTTGTTTAATTAGAGAAGCACAGCAGTGTATCTTCAGTTTATATTAGGAGTGTGAAATGAAGAACTACACTGAAAATGTCACTTACACCTACACACTCATTTTGTAGCATATGCATTAATACACTAATGTTGACTTTAATTGCAGACGTAATGACCTCAACTCCAGTATTAAGTCACATCATGAACATAAACACACATGTCCTTATAAAAGAGAAATGTGTGAGTGTGGCGTAGTTTCACACACTCATTCATTCCACTGTCTGGAGGTCGCTTGATCCCGTTATAACCTACGCGACCTTCAGTAGATTTCCATTCCACATGCCTGGAGCTAAACGTCACATCACTGCTCAACCCCTGAGCTTTTCCTCAAGAACCAGAATTTAATCAGCCGTGCCCATTTATTTGATGCATCTTGTGTTTTTATAATCTAATTCTGGCTTTATCTGGATTATATTATTAGATACTGAAAATCTCAAGGTGAGCAACAATTCAGTCTTTGATAGAGTCTTGGAAATTTGGCATCAATACAAACTCAATTTAGAAAGGCAGCATGGATATCTGCAATGTTTTATAATGTGATATAAACACAATTTCATCAGATCAATGTTGCATTGATTTCAATGATTTTATAGGGGAGTGGATCTGAATTAAATATAATAAACACATTGCAAGCATAGATGAATATAATAGAGCAAAGATGCAAGTGAAATAAACAGTGCTTTATGGTGTTCTGGATAGTCTAACAGCATTCAGACGCAGAAATGTAATAAATTAATGTAAAACAACACAGTATAGTCTTCATTGTGTGCATAATAATAATAATTATTCTTTATTAAAGCTATATGTTGTATCTGGTTATAATTTCTTGTGTTTGAATGATCTGAACATGCCTTAAAACATATGCAAATGAGAAAATATACACAACTTTTAAATATAGTTGTTACAATTGCAATTATATTACTGCTAAACTCTGCAGTGACTCCACAAATGGCATGTTTTCTGAGCTGTAGAGCTGCTATAATCCATATTCTACCATGTGATTATTGCACATAGCAATTGCCAATGCTGAAATGACATATTGTGCAACTCTAACACACACACACACACACACACACACACACACACACACACACACACACACACACACACACACACACACACACACACACACACACACACACACACACACACACAGCTTTGTATGTAAACACTGAAAATCAGCAAATTTCCAAGCCTCTCCTGCATCAGAGCTGAACTGACTGACTCTGACCACCTGCAGCAGATTTACACTAAAATCTGGGACAAAATGCTGGAACAATTAATGCTACTAATTATCCTAATCTGTGCTGTAAATCGGGAACATTTATGCTTTATAGATTAGTACATTCTAAACTCAATGCTCTCTAGAGCCAAACAAGAAAGCAGGTCTTGTATATTGTGCATTTTTAACCTTAGTTAAAGTAGTATAGATTAGGGCTGCAGGATGCTGGGAAAATATGCGATATTAGTGTTGAGTATTGCGATATTGATATTTCTTACCTTATAAAATTGCTATTTTTATTAACTCCTTTAAAATAAGTTATTTCTGTAATATTATTAAAATTAATAGGTACTTTTTCCAATCTAATTAATTGCAATTCAGACCAAAAAAACTGGTGCAAACATTTAGTCTGAATAAATACAACCAATGCATTAAATTACACCATCAAGAAGATCTCTTAATGAACTGTTTCCATATATATTGTGATTCACATGGAGTTTTCTGTTTGTTTACGGTGGTGAACTGCATTATGGAATGTTGATCTCTGCTTTGTTGACTTCTGATGTTGAAAATTAAACTCTACAGTTTAACAAAGTGACCTTTATTGACATTTTAGTTGTTTGAAATAATAATATAGAGATAAATAAGTCTGTAAAATAACAGTAAATGCACTGGCAGGTTTTTACAAGGTGTTTGAAACAAAATATATCCCTTTAAACTATTGAAATGTTCATAAACGTCACTTTTTCTAACTTTTAAAGGTTTAAGCGTTGTTGAAAGAAAGATCAAGGTCTCATAATGCAATTCAAAAGCAGAAATAAATGGGGAAACATAAAAACATAGATCACAAAATATAGAAAACTGCTCATTGACATTGCATATAATATAAATACCAGCAATATATTGTTCAGCTCCTGTATGGATGACATAAAAAACATCCCAAGCACAGAATCCCATCAGTACTCACACAAACATGGCGATGCCGGTGTTGGCCATAGCATAAGACAGTCCTAGGATTCCACTTCCCATGATGGCATTGCCCAAATTAAACACTGACATCCCGAATGACGCAGATCCAGGGCTCTATAAAAGCAAGATTTACGTGTCATTTGCACACATGACACCACAGAATCTGATTCAGCCTCTCAAACTAATGAAGCACTTACATATTCAGCCTCATATTTCTTCTTCCCCAAGTGATGATCTGACAGGAAGTTCTGACTTTCTGCTTCCACATCACTATACTGAATCCTGTAATCACATCAGTGGATTAGATGAAGGTTGAGATTTGTATAAAGGTCACTTAAGAAGGAAAATAAAGCAGGTTTTACCCATTGAGAGGGACTTTTGAGGCATGGTCCTGGTAGTTTGTGTATTCATTGCTGTTTGTACTGCTGCTGTCCATGTCTGGAGCGATGTTAAAGCGACTCATCTGTGCCGGGGCTTTGTTCATTCTGCAATATAAAAGCACAACGCATGAGGATTTGGGTTCAGCTTGGACACTTGTGGGAACACACCTTCGCATTATTACCCATTATGCAATTACTTTGACTGAGATCACCAGCAGTTTTCTCTTGACTCAGTTATTGGCTCCATAACACTTATGTCTGATGATTAATTATAGTATTATATAATATTTCCACACTAGACAAAACATAAGATGAAAATAAATGTGCATTTTACTCACAGGTATTAATTGTACCTTAAGACTATTTATATATTGCATTTTTAAGCAATGGAAAACATTTAACATGTGATGTTTTATTTATTCATACTATTTGGTTTATTATATCCTGCTTGGATGTAGTGTTTAAACATGTTTACCAATGGAAGAAAGCCTGTTTGTCATTTGAAGGTTTAATAAAGAAAGAACAATAATTTATTTGGCGTGTCCCTAGACATTTCTCTCAATGCGCGCCCCCAAAATGCGCGTCCCCGAAACCCTCCTCGGAGCCGCGCCTCAGACTGCAGCCGGGCATCAGGTCATGTGACCAGCGCTCAGAACGAGTGGAAAATTACAAACCGGCACCGACAACAGATCCGCACGCGCTGCATCCGCCGCATCGTCATCAACTATTAATACCGGCATCTCATCAGTCTATATTTATATTTTAGACACAATATACTTAAACACCACCAATAAGGTATTCAGTTATGGTCGGAATATCTATTTAACGGATAACAACCATTATTGATGACACTATTAACTGATGTAACAAGCCTTCCAGCGTTTTACTATTTCCCACTAAACCCATTGCATAATTAAGGCTGTATAATAATGATAATATTCACAGAATTAGGAAAACTGACATGCTCGCTCGCTCGCTCTTATGTGTGTGTGTGTGTGTTGAGCAGACGCCCACGCATTTATCAACAATCACAATGCAAATCAATAGACACCATGAGGTGAAATCTATTAAATCATATAATATATGACATTTTTAACACATATTAATTTTTAAGATGATTAAAACCGCGCACAATTAGGGTGTTTAGTGAATGAATGAAGGCTATTAAACGGATGTGTGTGGAAAGATGATGAAACACCATCAGTGAGTCACGCCGAGACGAACACAGACACACACAAACCAGCCTAACATCCATAAAAACAAATAAATATAGGGCAAAACAAACATGTAGGCAGAGATAAAACAATGTGGTCAGGTTTAAAAGGGCCAAGAAGTCAATGTGGCTATGATAGCCTACATCAAGATGTTCTTACCTCAGAAATTAAAGAGAAATCCGTTTCTTCAGCTCCGGTATGAATGGAAAAAAGTGAGCAAATCCGGCAGGTTGTGAAGAATGTTCCAGAAAATCGACAGCAAATGGCTTACACTTTAAAAAAATGTACCGTTATAGATAGCAAATAAATATTCTTAATAATTAATAAAGTAAATAAAACATAAACAGAAACACTGTAATACTACACACGCCTAGTGTAACAATAAAAAGGTTAATATTAATGTCGGAGATTAACAGAGATGCTTTCTGGGCGCGTCCGGTATCACAGTCGTGTTCTGATGCGCTGAATGACGGTTTATATTCGCATTGCATCAGCCGCGCTCGTGTGGGCGGAGCCAGTTTTTTTTTTTTGGATTGTATACAAACAGTAGAGCAGCCCGCCAGCCTGACCCAGACATAAGACACAGTCTTTATTTCGAAATAAAATCAGTCAGATTAAACAATAAATAGCACAATATCTTCTTTAAATCACGAATGAATTAAAACTCATTCTTTCTCGTGAGCTAAACGCACTCAATAATGTCTAACCCATAGATATATATCTATGTGTCTAACCTGTGTCTAACACTTCCGTTTCCTCTTTGAAAACCAAAAGCAGCCAACATCTCAATACAAAGTCAATATTTATTGATCTCAAATTCAACATAAACTACTCATTGGTTTTTATTTACATGTTGAAAGCGTCCTCAAAAATAAATAGTCAGATTAAATTAAACATTAAATATCACAATAGTTTCTTTAAACCAGCACCGAGTTGAAATAAAGACTGTATCATTAGCTAAAGACACTTTATAGTCTCAGTAATGTCTAACACTTCAGCTTCCTCTTTGAAACCCAAAAGTAGCCAACAAATCAATATAAAATCAACTTCAAATGATCTCAAATTCAATATTTGTACTGCCTCTTGAAATAAAACGAGTCAGATAAAACCTTAAATATCACGATAGTTTCTTTAAACCAGAACTGAGAGGAAATAAAGACTTCCTCTTGTGCTAAAGACACTTTTAAAATCAGCCAAAATAGCCAACATCTTAATATAAAGTCAAGTTATTTACCTCAAATTCAATATAAACTGTTTATTTAATTTATTTATACAAGTTATGAACACTCTCGAAATAAAACGAGTCAGATTAAACCTTAAAAATCACAATAGTTTCTTTAAAGTAGAACTGAGGAAATAATAAGACTTTCTCATGTGCTGAAGACACTTTAAATGCAGTCAAAATAGCCTACTTCTCAATATAAAGTCAATTAATTTACCTCAAATTCAATTTAAACTGTTTATTTAATTTATTTATACATGTTATGAACACTCTCGAAATAAAACGAGTCAGATTAAACCTTAAATATCACAATAGTTTCTTTAAAGTAGAACTGAGGAAATAATAAGACTTTCTCATGTGCTGAAGACACTTTAAATGCAGTCAAAATAGCCAACATCTCAATATAAAGTCAATTAATTTACCTCAAATTGAATGTAAACTGTTTTTTTTTATTTATTTATATATGTTATGAACACTCTCGAAATAAAATGAGTCAGATTAAACCTTAAATATCAATTTAATAGTTAACAGAAATAAACAGTTAATAGAAATAAAGACTATCATGAGCTAAAGACACTTTTACAACATCAATAATGTCTAACACAATTTCATTTTTATGAAACCCAAAAGTAACCAACATCTTGACAAAGTAAATTGAACTCAAATTCAGGTCATACGTTATGTTAATGTACAATTCATGCTAGTGATAGATCATTAACTATGGCTTTTAGCTTAATAAACTACTAATTAGCTGCTTATTAATGGTTAAGTCAGGTAGCAGTTAGGGTAGACCTATTAGGATTAGCGATGTAAAATTAAACCATACTTTATAACTGCTGATAAACAGTTAATATCTTATTAATAGACAATTAATAACCAGTGGTAAATGATTTTAATTGTTAATTCATCTAAAGCAGGGGTGCCCGACCCTGTTCTTGGAGATCTACCTTCCTGCAGATTTCAGTTGCAACCCATTTCAAACAAACCTGTAAATATCATGTGCTGTTCAGGTCCTAATGAATCGCTTCATGCGTGCTTGATCAGGGTTGGAGCTGAACTTTGCAGGAAGGTAGATCTCCTGGAACAGGGTTGAGCAGCCCTTCTTTAAAGTGTTACACCACAAATTAACAAACTGTTAAAAGTATTCAGATTAAACATTCAATATCACAATAGTTTCTTTAAGATGGAGACATTTCTAAAATATGGAGTTCCTTATCGAGATAAAGGCACTTTTATAGTCTTAATAATTAATTTTTTGGTGAAAAGTGTGTATTAGGAACGAGATAAAAGAATCATGGAGTTAATTTAATGAATATTGTTACATTCATTCATTCATTTTCTTGTTGGCTTAGTCCCTTTATTAATCCGGGGTCGCCACAGCGGATTGAACCGCCAACTTATCCAGCAAATTTTTACGCAGCGGATGCCTTTCCAGCCGCAACCCATCTCTGGGAAACATCCACACATACACACACATACACTACGGACAATTTAGCCTACCCAATTCACCTGTACCGCATGTCTTTGGACTGTGGGGGAAACCGGAGTACCCGGAGGAAACCCACGCAAACGCAGGGAGAACATGCAAACTCCACACAGAAACGCCAACTGAGCCGAGGATCGAACCAGCGACCTTCTTGCTGTGAGGCGAACGTGCTACCCACTGCGTCGCTGAATATTGTTACTATTACTTTAAAGACATGTTTAGGTAGAATTGTTTTGTATTGTGTTGCTTAAATAAAATTATCACAGTTTTTATGATTATTTTTGAAATAAAGTCTAAAAGTCTTCTCTGGTTCCTCAAAGTCTCAAACTGTAGCAAAGACTTTAATATAAAGTCAATTTCCATTCAAATTAATTCATTATAAACCTAAATTCTTGATCTGATCAACAACAAAAATAGATCTGCACTACTGTCTATTTTATTTTTACGGTCATTCTGTAGGACACTAGAGCTATCACAATCATGCAAGTCTAATTAAATAAAGCTAAAAGCTCTTGTTTATGCTTATATAGCTATTTTAGTGGCAAAATAATTATATAAATAGTTTTTTAATCAATTACTTTAGCTAAAAACTGGTTTAACAGTGAAAGAAAAACTCTTAAAATAATAAATTCCAATAAAAAAAGTTTAATTGTGAATAAAGTAAACTCCAATCTATTATAATAAACTTTCATAGTTTTGTTTTGCAAAGAAAACCTTTAAAAAGCAAAGTATCAAAATCTCTAGAAACTTCATTTAGTAGCCATGCAATATGCTTTCCAATAGTGTGGGTTCATGACAGCTCAATTTCAGACGAACCACAAATATAGACCACAACCCACCGTATGCCCTAAATTCAGAGAGGAAGTGGCATTTCCCAATTCAAAGCACACCGGTTTAGAAACTTCTTACGTAGACATAACCGATGACGACTAGTAAAAGAAACATTTGTGCAAAGCAAAACACTGAATTTAATCTGATTTTATTCTACAGAGGAGCAGATGCCAAAGACAATGACTGTATATGAGTGAAGAAGATCATGAGATGACATGACTGATGCTGAAGAGATGAACAATAGGAGGAATTTTCCTAAATATATGTAAAAGAGGCAGCCTTATTATTTCGTATTATCACTAAAATCATTATTATTAGTCCTCTTTCCGATCACCCAATTTTCATTATTATTATGCACATCTTTCCTCATTCTCTATCCTCAATTGTTCTTTAAATAAAATAAAATTTAAATACTATTACCACCATCGATTCTGCGTGTTATACTTTATGAGCAATGAGATCCAATGGACAGCCCATCATCGCTTTCACTCCAAAATACCGGAATCTGGGCCTGTTGCTGGGCGCTGCTGTTGCAATGGAACGTTCTATTGAGTGTCGCCTCTTGGTCATTTTAAGCTCTTTGCCGACACAAACACTGTGCATTTATGAGGTCTGCTACACACAGGTGAGTGGGTTTGACAAACCACCTGTTGAAACACTTTCTCTCTTAAAAAATAAAATCTGTAAGCACAAACAAGTTACTTTGTACAATTAGCTCTTCTTGAGTGCATTGCCTCTTCTTGTTGAATCGCTGATTGCCTCCTTAATTGTAAGTCCCTTTGGACAAGAGCGTCTCCTAAATAAATGACTAAATGTAATAAATATACAAATTGTAAAAAACAAAAAAAGAGGAGGAATGTTTGGGATGACGTTCGACACAAGTGACAGATTAAGCGAGTCAGGAATGAGTGTGGCCCCACGCTGGGACCCTGCGCTCTGCTTTGGGTCACTGCCGACAGGGCAACGAGTTGAGTTTGTTGTTTCTTTTGCTCCCAGCAGAACTTAAACGAATCACTCGCCTCACCACCTTCACACAGAAGTTATTCGTCAACCCCCGATTGGCCAAATCCCCCAGTGGAAGTGGAGCAGGGGTGTACGGGACTGCGGTGATTTACCCTCGGATTAAAGGCCACTGCAGCCTTTGAGCTGGACGCCACAAAAGAGCAGGGACGCAGGAATGTCTGACCTATTGAAACAGGCCGTGGGGCCCCAGGCGACGCCCCGACTCCATAGGTAAGACTGGATCAACAAAAGCATTTTTCTGTCTCCACACTGTGTGAAAAACCCACGGAAGAAATCCCAGCTCTGGGCTCTGATCGATCAAATTTGCATAGATTCCTTCCTACACTGTAAGAAATGCAGGGTTCCACACAATTCCTTCATGCGGTCCCAACACAAATAGATTAAGTTAACCTAATGGATTTTGAAAATTTAAGTGGATTGAACATAAAACAATTAAGTTGTCCCACTGATAAAATAAAAAAGCAAAAGTCATTTTTCTGAGTGTAAAAGTGAACATACACCAGAATAAATTCTCATTTATTCACTAATGACTATGGTGATTTAAAGGGTTCGATTAAGTCAAAATTTACATTAAATGGTCACACTTTAGTGTCGGTCACAATTCATGCTATGAACTACTGGCTCATTACCTTACTGTTCATTAGTAATTAGTAACTGTTCAGTAGTTCAATAAGCAGGTAGTGTTCGTTAATGGTTTGTTCATACTGTGAATAGGGTATATTTGTGTAAGTATGCTAAGGGACTTTTAATTTATCAGTAACCTGGGTTAAGCGCTTCCGGTGAACTGTATGCCATTACAAAATCAGCGCGGTTAAGGTCTGTTTTCTTTAAAAATCAGCAATCCCCCCTGGCTGAGTGATATTTGATAAAAAGTGGGTGTCAGATTGTACAAGCACTGCATTAAATCATGTCTTTAAAATATGAGCATTTATTTTACCCCAGAACATTCAATGGTGTTTTTACGCTTGAGCAACTAAATGAATGAGGTTTATCGGTATGAGAAGAAACACTAGCTCCGCATATACCCTATTGTGACCTAAACTAAAGTTTTAGCAGTAAAATATGTTTCCTTAAAGTTTACTTGCAGCTTCTTCAGTCAAGTTTGCTTTTTAGAGATCACATCTTTTGTGTGGGAGGTGGCGTACGCACATTTCTGCCTCTGTTTTGTGCGTACGCCACATTGATAAACAAAACTCCAGGGGTCTGACTTATAAACCTTCCTACAATTGAACATACACCAGAATAAATTCTCATTCATTTTTGACTATGTGACTATTAGTGACTATGGTGATTTAAAGTGATTCAGTTACTTAAATGGTCACACTTTGGATTAGGTCGAAAGTCATGCTATGAACTACTGGCTTATTACCTGCCTATTATTAAGATATAAACTGTTCATAAGCAGTTATAAAGTATGATCCTATTCTGCATGCCTAATCCTAAAGCCAACTTCTATCTTACTAAATATTAATAAACAGCTAATTAGTAGTTTAGGCTAGTATTGTCAGTTAATGGTTATTTATACTGTGAATTGTAACCTAAAGTGTTAAACAACTTTTACATGGGAAGTGACATATATACGGATGTTTCCATGCCCGATGTGTGCATACGACATGTTTATAAATGAGACTTCAGGGGTCTGCTTTATAAAACTTGTGTAGAATCCTTTCTAGACTGTTAAAATGCTGGGTTTTTATGCATAGGACCCTTAATTTCTTTTTTTTCTGAGCATATAAGTACTTCTAAACACTGTCAATCTAGGGTTTTTCAATTGCAGGGTGAATTTAATTAATTACCATATTGTAAGTATCTGTGATCAAGTTTATAATTTCAGTTTGTTGATGTACGTGTTTGCATTGTACATGGGATATTTCTAAATGTAAATGATCCAATATATATTGTATACATAATTGACACTAATATGCTTTTATAAAGTTTATTTTTTATGCATTTCACAATTATTTCTTAATTGTAATTTTGTTTTGTTGATGAACAGAAGAAAGAAAAGGTTTACAATTACTTGAGAGAGTGTAAAATGTGACAAAATTTTCATTTTTTGGTGAACAATTCCTTTAACTAAGTCTATTAACTGAATAGACTGTTTATTAGTTGCTTATTAATAGTTATTAAGCTAATAGTTGTGCTTAGGTATTAGGTACATAAAAAATAAGATCATTTATAGCTACTAATCTTAATAATAAGCCAGTAGTAAATAGCGTGAATTGTGACTCAAGTGTTACCCAATTGTTTTTAAATGCCATCGTTAATGATTCAGGAGAAAGAAAAACTTGTGCACCCTTTACAACAAATACAGATTATTTGCAATGACTTCAATCAAACATTTACTCACCCTACAGTGTCCACCCCTGGCATTTCTTCATCTGTGCAAATGCAAAAGATTGTCGAAGTCAGGATTATTATTTTTCCAAATATTTCCCAAATGATGTTTAACAGAGCAAGGAATTTTTCACAGTATTTCCAGTAATATTTTTTCCTCTGGAGAAAGTCTTATTTGTTTTATTTCGGCTAGAATAAAAGCACTTATTAATTTTTGAAAAGGCATTTTAAGGTTAATATTATTAGCCCCCTTAATATTTATTTTAGATAAACTAAACAAACCACTGTTATACAATTTGCCTAATTACTTTAACTTTACTCCAATTACCCCTAGTTAAGCCTTTAAATGTTACTTTAAGATGAATACAAGTGTCTTGAACAATATCTAGTCAGATATTATGTACTGTCATCTACGTTAAGCAGAAATTGGGACAAAAAATATACAGGAGGGCCAATAACTGTATATTCACTTACTGCATTTGATCAATTAAATGTTCTCTGACATCTCATCTGTCCTAAGATCATCTTTCGTCAGAGCGTCAGATCATCCTGGAAAGTTTTTCTGCAAACCTGAGAAGGGCAGCGATGTTTTTATTCTGCGAATCAGTGGTTTTCTCTGCGATCACCTCCCATGAGCACTGTTCTTGCCAGTGTTTTTCTGGCGTTATCGTGTGTCTGACATCTTAATCAGAGAAGCTCTTTTTAAGTCACTTGTTTGAGATTTTTACACTTTACCCTCACACAGATCTTCGTAGGACGTCCCGTCCCAGGGAGAGGTGTGGAGGTGCTGGATTTCTCCTTTTTGGTAACCTATCTGCCCGACTAAAGGAGGCCCGAGTACAGTAGAAATCCCTTTGCAGAGCTTCTGAACTGGTTCACCTCTTCTCCGAAGTATTCAGATCACAGTGGCTTTCCCTGAAAAAAAAAAAGAGCAGGTAACAGAAATGTTTAGTGTGCGAAAGGGCAAACCGAACCCCGTGGCTTTTTCTGAGCTGCAGCTAAATTGAACATGTTGTTCTGTAAATATACTAAAGGGGATTTACTGTTTATGCATGCATTTATAGAGGTTTCTGGTTGATTGCTTTTATTAGACTGGTCTCTGAATGATCCATCTATCCTTTTAAAATTAAAGTTGTGTGCAAAACTGAGATGAGAAGTTGTTTGGATTCGGTCACACTTTATATTTCACACTAATAAAAAATGATTATAGGTCGACACTGTGGCTCAGTTGGTAGTGCTGTGGCCTCACAGCAAGAAGGTCGCTGGTTTGAGTCTCGGCTGGGTCAGTTGGCATTTCTGTGTGGAGTTTGCATGTTCAACCAGTGTTGGCATGGGTTTCCTCTGGGTGCTCTGGTTTCCCCCACAGTCCAAACACATGCGCTATAGGGGAATTGATTAACTAAATTGGCCATAGTATATGAGTGTGTGTGTGTGTGTGAATTTCAGAGTGTTTCCCAGAACTGGGTTGCAGCTGGATGAGCCTTTGATAAATAAAGGAACTAAGCTGAAGAAAAATGAATGAATGTGTGTGTGTGTGTTTGTGTGTGTGTGTGTAATTGTTATTTCAATTTGTTTATGGGGAAGGGTTGGGAATAATATTTATTTTTCTGTAAAACTATTTTGCTATTTCTGTAAAGGTTTGATAAACAGATTTAATAAGTTTGGAGTATGTAAATGCTATGCAAGGTTATTTTTATTTTTAATAATTAACCATTTTTGGTAACACTTTATCTAAAGTCACAACTCATGCTTTTAACAAATCATTAAAGAGATGGTTCACCCAAAACAGAAAATCCTGTCATCATTTACTCTTCCTTTACTTGTTTCAAAGCTTCTTTTATCTATTAAAAACAAAAGAAGATATTTTGAAAAATGCTGGAAACCTGTAACCATTGAGTTCCATAGTAGGAAAATCCATATACTATGAAATGTTATAGCTATTGAGATTAAATAACCACTTGAGGGAGAGTAGAGAGTAGATAGTGGTTCAATTGAAATTGTTTGATTTGGTTACACATTATAATTAAATCACACCATCAATAAAACATTACGATTTTCAGCTTAATAACTACTAATTAGTTCTTTATATATAGAGTTATTAGGGTTTAGGTATTGCGTAGGATGTAGAATAAAACAAAATTTTGCTAATAAACAGCCAATATCTTAATAATAGGCAGGTAATGAGAAAGGCCACATGGAATCTGCACGCACAGAAATCCGCAGATTTTCAGCCCATCGAGTCTAATTATTTAGCTGGTATTTGGTGGTAAATTTATTTTTATTCAATTTTTTAATTGATTTCAGTAATATTACTTACTAATATGAAAATGTTCATATGATTTACTTAGTTGTAAAGTAATCCTTTCTGTCTTTTAGTAGATATATGGTAGATATATTAAATGAGAGACCAAATTAATTGATCTATTTGGATTTGCATTGTAAACATTAAATAAAATGTAAAAATTATTTTTTTATTTAACATATTATGTTTTACGTTGCGATACACTCAAAATCATTCCGTATAAATCCGCAGATTTTCTGCGCAGAAATAGCAATAGATTTCCGCAGATTCTGCCTGGCCCTAGTAATGAGCCTGTATTATCAGTGAGAATTGGTAGTTAAACTATAGTCTTTGCCAATTTTTTTCTAAGTATCTTAGTTTGTGCTTCACAAGAGTCATTTTGAGAAACATAATTATCATAGATTATGAATGGTATTAGTGTAGTGAATACTGTGATTTTATGTTGTGCTGTCTTTTGTGAAAACTACTGCATCTTGACAAGTCACTGAAACAAAAGTTCAAAGGAATAAATAGTTGTTTTATAGTGCTTTTAGGTGAACTCTCCCGTATATGTAATTACGATGGTCATTTTTCACTGTACGTTGTTTTGTTTTTTTAACATTGAACATCTGCTGCATTAGTCTGCGTGGTGAACGGCTTGGTATTTCTCCCAGGTAAAAGTTCTGAAAGCTGACTTTGAACAGAAAATTATATATATTATTAAAAACCGTTCTGGAGAATGTCTGGATTTCTGGGTTTTTGGATCACGGGGGGGTCCATGAGAGAGAAAACATCCCGCCGGTCTCCCGCAGAGAAGGCCAGAGGTCGGCTCATCTTCCCCCGGCTCCTGCCTCATTCTTATATAATCATTTTATCCCCTCGTATTAAACAAACAGCCGCCTGCTGACCGCACTCATGGGAACCTGCGGAGACAGTCCGACACGCATCTCACGCTACAAACATCTCTTCAACATCTTAATCGAATCACATTCCTCCTAATACACCCTGCTGAGGCCACCTTGGAGATACAATCAGATATTTTACGAAATCAAATGAAAGCTTTACTATAGAGTCTTTATTAGCATCGATGGCTCCAGATTACCAATTTCAGAATCCACCCTATGAATGTTGCAGCAGTAAAGAGCCGGGTTTCCATATTAATGTGAAGCAAATCTTTTCAAAGCTCAACTTTATTCAAAGTTATGAATAAATGTTATTAATTAAAATAAATTTAAAAAAGGGATTTAGGTGGTTTCCATCATGCTGTTACACTGGCAGAAATAAAGGTAAAATCTGCTACTGGGGCCGTACCTTTTTTTGCATGTAAAACTACCATATTAATAACTTAAGGATCCATATTGGTACATTTAAAGTAAATATAGTACTTGAAGGAGCTTTAAGGTACATATTAATACCTAAAAAGTACATTTTGAAAGGGTATCAACTCACAGATTCAGTGTAGAGTACCTGACTGCAGTGTAGCAACCAATAGTAAACAATGCAAGCACAATGGAGCCACAATGGTGAAATGTTTAGCACATCAGAGTTTATTCTGCAAATATGTTTCCATTTTTAGTCCAAAACTACACCAAGAGAGCCTAATTTATTTGTTTTACCAAAAGGGATTGAATCACTTGTTTCTCATGCACATTAACACTGATGAAAACAGCGATTGATAGTCCAGGCAATCGTACACGTATGTCCCAGATCTTCTTCAAGGTTTGCATTCGCTGGGTGTTCAGAAATGCTCTTTAGCAGGTCTAAGTTGCAACAAGTGGTGATTTTACCAAGTGCTACTGTTGCTGTTTTACTACCTCGAGCCAATCTCTGACCTCTGACATCAACAGGGCATTTTTTTGCTCACAGAACTGCCAATGAACTTGAAGCAGTTACTGTAGACTGATGAGTACTAGTGCTGATAACACGAGCATACAACCCTTTCTTGAATTAAAACCACAAGTTTGAAGAACATGACATTGCCCAGCCTATTCACTTTAATATATTTTCCCTAATCTCTCTCTTAATTATTTATTTTATTATAATTATTTATTTGACTCAATACACCATGCTGCCTACCTCAACTTACAGTACTGACATGTTTATATGCTTAATTTGTAAAATGAATGTTGTTTATGCATATCATATACCGTTTGGTGCACAATATGTGGGTTACAGTGTGGTTTATTTTTATTTTGTAATCAATTTTGTATTTTTATATATATATATTTTTTTGTTTTGTTTTTGTTTTCTATTTGTACGGTTATTTACTCTTTTACTGCCAACAAATCCAATTTCTTTCTGACATCTGTTTTAAACTTGAGCAGATTGATTACATGCATGCATTACTGCTTTTGAGAAAACCCTACACACCCTATATATATATATATATATATATATATATATATATATATATATATATATATATATATATATATATCTTATTTCAAACTCAGATTTCAGCAATTTATTAAACAAAACAAGAAAAGACTAAATAAATTGATACTGCGTGATTGGCTCTTAGATCAATATAGAGTAAAAAAGCCCAGAGCTTATCATTGTTAAACTTGATTAAATTCGATATAATATCGTTTATCGGCCCAGCCCTATCTTCCTTTGTGTTCAACAGAAGAAAAACAATCATAAATGTTCAGGTATAGGTGAGTAAATGGTGAAGAAATGTTATTTTTAGGTGAACTACCCCTTTAGTAAAGTGACGTTTGAGTACATTTTATGACAGGCAATAGCTTGATGAAAGCCATGATTAATAAAAACACCAGAGGGAAACTTGATAACATAAAAAGTAGGGCATGGGGACATTATACACACATGTCCTCTCAAGCTCTGTCACTTTGAAGCGGTCAGCGCTTTCATCACTTTCTGTCTGTGTGTGTTATCATGCTTCCAGCGTGCATAGCTTCAGTGTATGTTCATAGCAGACTTATCAGACCGGAAAACAAACGCTTTTGACACAGACAGGAAGTGAAACGCACATACGCTCATCTGCATGTGAAACCACCCAAATACGCTCTGTGCATTTCTCTGACCCTGATCCTTTTAGATGTGTGTGTTTTGTGGAGCTTTATTATTTATAAGTGTGTGTGTGTGTACTGGTTTTGGTGGTTTACAAGGACTGATTTTTTGTATAATGACAGAGCTTTGCTTTATTATGGTGGATTACTGGGACATGAGGTTTTCTGAGAAGTATTTAAGTACAGAAATGAAGAAATTGAATGTAAAATAACACTATAGTCTTCTGTAATTAATACTGAATTAAACTAAAGTACTACTACTACTACTCCTAAAGTAAAATTAATCTTTAATACAATTATAAAATGGTACAATTTCTTGTGCCTGAATGTTTTAAACAGGTCAAATATAATCACGCCTCAATATCGATATTGCAGACATAGCGATATCAATGCTGAAACAATATTTTGTGCACCCTATATTTTGAATTGGCATTGAGTATGAAATGCGGTATATGAATAAACTTGCCTTACTTTACTGGGTCTTTTGACATTCAAAGTATTATTAAAAGCCATATTATGCGTGTTTTTTTACAATAGACAATACATTACACTTACGGAGAGTCCTCATAAACCACCAATACCAATGTGTGTGTGTGTGTGTACTG